CGGCTATTTTACAGCGCACGAATATCTCTGGACCCTCGCTGCAGTTGTCGGGGGAGAGCCCCTCCAGAAAGCGGACTCTCAGCACGACGGCCCCCTTCAGGGGCACCGGCTTCCCTGCAGCGATCCCATGGACGAACTCCGGATGCACCCAGCGTTCGAACTTCACGACAGGAAACCTCCGGTCCTCCGTGCCGATCCCCAAGGCAGCAGCCCGGTTGAGGATCCCACAGAGGAGTTCCTCCGTGATGTGGTTCGAGCCTGCACACCCGTCCAGCATGCATTCCACCATGCCGTCGATGACCTGCACGACTGTTCTGTACTGGTACCCCCCGACCTCGTTCTCGCAGAGGTGCCACCAGTCCTGAGGCAGCTCGTCCAACGAGCTGAACTTCGACGACGAGCTCTTGGCAAGCGGGAAAGCGGAGGAGTTCGCCGCAACAACCGTGCCAGCGCTCCCAATCTGGATGGAGAGCGTAGCGAAGGGATTCACCATCCCGGCGCCACTCGGGGCCGCCCAGTTCGAAGGCAACGCGGCTCCCCCAGTGGCGGGAAGCGAATGGACCATGTCACAGTCCGCTCCCTTACGGCACGACCCGTTCTTCTTGAAGAAAGGGCAGATAGTCCCTGGCGGCTTCGCGCCCGCCTTGGACTTCGCCTTGGGCTTGGCCTTGGCCTTGCCTTTGGGCTGCCCTCCGGGTCCACCCTTGCCCTTGCCCTTGCCCTTCCCCGGCGTTGTCGCCAGGGTGGACGCGTCCCGCTCCTTCTTGGCCGCGAGGGCCTTTTTGCGGAGCTCCTTGTCGTGCGAGTAAGGGCACGCGTCCCCTTTTGGGCAGTTCCCGTGGTCGCGGAAATGGAAACAGATAGGCTTACCTTTTCCATTTCCTTTCGGACCAGCGGCAAGCGTGGAAGAGGCGGCCGCCTTGGCCGCGGCCTTAGAAGCCTTGAGCTCCGTCCTCAGCTTCTCGACCTCCTTCCGCGCGGCGGACAGGGCTGGGTCTTCCGTCGAACCTGCGTACACGCTATTAGCCGTCACCCGATGCGCAGCCTCACGCTGCTCATATTCGAGGACGACCTTATGCGCTTCTTCCCAGGTCGAAGGGCCTCGAAGCCCTGCGGATGCGCCGTCGCTAGGCCACAACCGCTTATCACCGCGGATCTCCTTCTGGAGATGTGGAGGCATCTTGCGCAAGTAGCTTAGGAAGAGCTCCCTCGCTGTCTTGCCAAGACCCACACTCTCCAGCTCCGCGATGGAGGCCTCAAACAGGGGCTCGAACTGGTGCCCTGTGAGACGGCCCTTAGTGAGGGCGACGTGCTCCGCGTCCACCCTCATCTCCTTCTCTTCTCGGCTCTCGCCGAAGACAAGGTGCCGCTGCTTGATCCTTTCGTAAACGGCTTGGGGATTCTCAGTAACTTCCCCGGTCTTGGAGGCAGCCTTGTACACGTTAGTAAAGGTCTTAAGCCTCGAGCCGCGGCAGCGAGCACGAAGGGCGATGAGTTTCTCCCGGAAATTCATCCCCTTGCAGTTGTTGGCAAGGCCACAGACGTCCTCGAACTCTTCGTAGAACTGGACCACGTCCCGGATGTCGGAGCGATCGTCGGTGAGCGAGGGCCATTGGAGGTCCGTCTTCACGGTCGTGATCGACGTCTGACCTCCGCGAGACGCCAAGGCCTCCTTGAGCGCCTCGGTCTGGGCCGCCAAAGCTGCAGCGAGCTCTCCGGCTCCGCCGCTGGCGGAGTGAGGCTCGCCGGGCTTATCCTTCTTAAGCCCTTCGAGCTCTATCTCCAGAGCCGCAAGGCGGGACTTCAGGGGTGAGTCCCCCGGACCAGGTTGCGGATCCTCAGGGATCGCGAGCTGAAGGTCCACCGGGAGAGGCGCCGGTGCTCCGGACTTAGAGCCCGACTCCGCAACGGCGCCCGTCCGGGCCGCCAGGGCCGGGACAGAAGAAGGAGTGCTCCAAACCTTCTCGGGATCGCCGCTGCTCTTGCCTCCCAGGGCCAAGATCAGCTCGCCGAGGCACGAGATCTCCTTCTCGACCTCCTCTCGGTCTTCCGACCCAAGAGAAACCGCGGCAACGGTAAACCTGGTGCGCAGGGCCCGCACCATCCTGGCAGGGTGCCAGTCACCTCCCATTTTGCCGTATTCCTCGGCAAGGATGGTGGCCTTGGTAGTGATCTTCTCAAGATCCTCCACCGTGACCTCTGCCTGGTGCGCCTTCAAGGCCACAACCAGCCTTGAAACCCGCGTCAGGTAATCCGCGACCGGTTCCTGGTCGGGACGGTAGAGCTCCCGCAGGTCCGCCTGCAGGGTCTCCGCCGTGACGGGACCACCCGTCCCAGCAGACGAGGGAGGCCCGGAACGGGCCGGGCCGCCGGCCACCGGCGAGAGAGCAAGCGCACCAACACGGCGCGCCGTCTCGGCCACGTCCGCCGGCGCAGCGGCAGGACGCGGAGCCGGTACCCCGGCCTCCGGCAGAAGCTCTTCAGAGCTGGGGCCCGGATCGCCATCCTGAGCACCCGGGCCCGCTTCCGCAGCTGGAGCTTCCTCATCTTCCTCTTCATCTTCTTCCTCTTCCTCTTCGGCATCGAAGTTGTCGTAGAGGAATTCCATCGTCTCCTTCCACAGACGCTGTTCATCTGCTAGCGTCGTGGATCGTCCGTCCTTCTTCTTGGTGGGACGGGACCCCGTTTCCTTACGCCAACGGAGCCAGTACATAAAGGGCATCTTCTCCGGGTACTCCACTGACCCATCCTCGATGCACCTCAGCAACGTGGCTCCTTCCGGCTGACCTGCGACCTCAGCGCTCATGGTCGCCTAGCGAAGGAGAGAGCCCCGTGCCACACAGGACCACGGCCTCAAGGCGCACGACAAGCGCGCCTTCGAGGCCACGTTAAAAGATTGCGGCGCAGCAGCCGCCTGGGTGGCCGTTTCCCAGAACAGCCCCCAATTGTGGAGAACGGAAACCCAAAGGGGCAGCACGCACCCTCGTTTTCCGTCCAAGCAGAAAGTCCAACGACCGTGACAGGTCGAACGTCCGCCCAGGACGGGCTGCGCGCAATTGCGTCGCGGCAACGAGAAGCTACCAACGACACACTGCCGTGCTCACTTGAGCCAAAAATGTTATGAATACGAATTACAGAAGAGCATGCATAAAAGCATACAGCACAACAGCCAGCCCGCAGACTATGTACAGCATACTACTACTACTACTACTACTACTACTACTACTACTACTACTACTACTACTACTACTACTACTACTACTACTACTACTACTACTACTACTACTACTACTACTACTTACTACTAGTACTACTAACTACTACTACTACTACTACTACTACTACTACTACTACTACTACTGACTACTACTACTACTACTACTACTACTACTACTACTACTACTACTACTACTACTACTACTACTACTACTACTACTACTACTACTACTACTACTACTACTACTACTACTACTTACTACTACTACTACTACTACTACTACTACTACTACTACTACTACTACTACTACTACTACTACTACTACTACTACTACTACTACTACTACTACTACTACTACTACTACTACTACTACTACTAAACTACTACTACTACTACTACTACTACTACTACTACTACTACTACTACTACTACTACTACTACTACTACTACTACTACTACTACTACTACTACTACTACTACTACTACTACTACTACTACTACTACTTCTACTACTCGTGTGACCGGTGGCTGGGAAGCCATACCGGCAAAACCGGGGGCCGAAGCCTCACCAGTACGACCGGGGGCCGAAGCCTCACCAGTACAACCGGGGGCCGAAGCCTCACCGGTACAACCGGGGGCCGAAGCCACACCGGTAAAACTGGGGGCCGAAGCCACACCGGTAAAACTGGGGGCCGAAGCCACACCGCTGGACCGGGGGCCGAAACCACACCGGTATGACCGGGGGCCGAAGCCACACCGATAAACCCGGGGGTCGAAGCCGCACCGGTGGACCGCGGGCCGAAGCCACAACGGTAATAAAACCGGGGGCCGAAGCCACACCGGTAGGACCGGGGGCCGAAGCCACACCGGTAATAAGACCGGGGGCCGAAGCCACACCGGTAATAAGACCGGGGGCCGAAGCCACACCGGTAAGACCGGGGGGCGAGGCCACACCGGTGGACCGCGGGCCGAAGCCACAACGGTGGACCGGGGGCCGAAGCCACACCGGTAAGACCGGGGGCCGAAGCCACACCGGTAAAACCGGGGCCGAAGCCACACCGGTGGACCGGGGGCCGAAGCCACACCGGTAACACCGGGGGCCGAAGCCACACCGGTGGACCGCGGGCCGAAGCCACAACGGTAAAGACCGGGGGCCGAAGCCACAACCGGTTGAGTGCGGACGCGAGCGCTCGCGTGCGAGCGCGGACGCGAGTGCGGACGCGTCTTTTAGGGGTTTAGGGTTTAAAAGTACTTTAGGGTATCTTACTTAAGTCTTTACAATGAGGCACAATGAGGCACTGACTGAGGCCCTGGCAATCACAGTCACGGCCGTCTGAACGATGCAGGCCTCACATCAGAGTGGAGTGAGGCCGCCTGCAACTGCAGCACTGAAGGTGATCTGGGGTCGTGGCCACCGTGGTGTCCATCTCGACGATGAGGTAACATGGGCGACCAGGGCAATTTAAGGGTGCAACGCATAGATCAAGTCAAGCACGTGTACTTCTTTCAGGTTTCAGTCACTACTTCTGTCAGTCACTTCAGTCACTGCGATACATTAAGCAGCATTTCCAAGGCACAAATATTGCGGCCGTCCCGCCCCCCCCCCCCAGACACGGATAGTCAACCTAAAGCACAACCAATATCCCTAAAGTACTGTTTCGAACCCCAAATTATGTTAGATGTTGTAGCTTCAAATCCCGGCGTACGAACCAAGCAGGCCACCCTGCCCCGCCCTAGTATGATTTATCAAACCAAGATTTCACACATAACAGGGAACGGAGTTCTATAGGCCTGTCTGCACGTAGCGCTGATCGGCCACCCTCAGAAGCAACTCCAGAAATTGATGGCGGTTCAGGACCTGCGCATTCAGTGGCCAAGCAAGGAGAAACAGCACCGGAGGCAAGAGGCTTAGACGGAGCATGGCAAAAGGTATGCTAGGATGCCCAGTAACCTAGGAATAAAAAGGCCTCTCTTTTTGGTATTGGGTAACTTTATAAGGAACCTAGGGCCACAAAAAGGGAATAAGGGTACTACTGGGCATCCTAGTATTGTTGAAGTCCGCCGCCGTCTTGGAGAAACTGCCACTTCGCAACTGCAACCCTGACACCGATTGCACTGGAATACATCAAAGCCGGCCTCACTTCTCTCACTCCGCTTCCACTTTAGGGGCGCTAAATATTTATGCATTCCAACCTTGTATCCCGTCAACCATTGACAATCCATGGATGGTTGTGGTGACTTTGTGTGAACCCTGCCTTGTCATTTGCAAGCCGCACACCTGCCTTGCGCATGTCCACTGGCAACACCTGCCACCGAAAGCGGAGCGGGACTCGGAGAAAGAACGGCTACTGGCCAGTCTTTCATCTGTCGGCGATTCCTATACTTGACGGCATGATGGAGCTTGCACTCTCGTCTTGTTCTTCTTGTCCCTCTGCTGATTTGCGTCCTATGAATCAGCGAATGTGGATATCCTTCGCGACTAAGGGCCGAGGGTGGTGGGGTTGTGGGACCACGAAGGACATGGCACGGAAGCATGAACCGTGGTAGCCGCAGCCGAATCGGCAACAGACAAGAATGAAGTCACGTGGTTTCCACTGTCAAGAATCTCCGCTACATTCACACAAGTCTTCTTCCGTTCTGCGTATAGGACCGACCGCTTATGTGTGAGACGCCTTGTCTTGTTTCCTGGCTTCTTCTGGCCGGTTGTGTTTCCCTGAGCGTGTCGTGCATGCACCAAGACGCTCTACTATCAGTGGATCGTGATCTGGCTTTACCATTTCATTAGCCTCTGTCTCTGTATTTTTCAAAACGTCGATCGAACAGCAGAGCTTTCAGCAAACCTTTCTGTTGTCTGAAACGCTTGGAAAGCACTCCGGGCCCACATGGGCCCACAATGCCCTTTTGCCTAGATGGTTCCGCAGCCGTCAAGGCTTTAGTCAGTTGGTAACTGTAAGAATACTCAAGGTTGAGTGTTGAGGGCTTCTGTTGCATCTTGTCGCAGATCGGAACTCCCCACTCAACCCTAAACCCTAAACATACCTTTGGTTAGTAGGGAATGGAGGAATGGGGTACAAATATAACTACTATTCCTGCCATTCTTCCATTCCCTACTAACCAAAGGTAGGTAAACCCATGTCCAAAGTTCGACTGCCTAGGGCCTAGAGAACGCGCCTTGGCTGCAATGAAGCACCGGTCTATGTCCGACACCCTGGGCACAGGGCGGTTTAGGGTTTTGGGAACTATCGGTATCCTTGCTGCTTGCCATTCTGTAAGGGATCAAACTTATCTAAATTGCGTCCTCCAGCAACGATTGCGTTGGATTCTGCGATTGCACTGCAGTACAGTAGCACTGAACATCCCAAACCCGTTTAGCCCTAAACCCACACCCTTTGACCCAAAATTGCTACCGCAGAACCGCCGACCTAAAGCCTACACCACTGACTGACTGACTGCCTGGCTGGCCGTCTGGCTGGCTGGCTGACTCACTGGCGGAGTCAAAACAAAGCCCTTCTGGTAATTTTTGTAGGACCCGTTACAAGAGTGTATATGAAAGGTACCCAATTCTCAGCATTAAATGCCGTTATTGCCCTGAAGCTAGAGCTACGGAGACAGACACGCAATTTCACCTTACTACTACCCATGGGCTTTTTGTTGCTATCACTATGAAGAGCTGGAGCTACAGAATCGAAGCTGCCAACAAGATTATTCTGCGGCATCCTTGTGGTGTCGTCAACGAGACCGGCTTGGGTAAGCAGCGCAGAGGCCTCCCGAGACTGTTCAGTGTCTTTTTGGGATGCTGGTGGGGGGTCATAGCAATAAAGTAGCTCCATGTTAGAGCCCTGTGGCGGGGTGTGTATTAGGCATAGATATATGTACGTATGTATGTACGTATGTATGTATGTATCGATTCATGAACGTGTGGTATTTCTGTACATAGAAGTAGGTCTCCGTCATCGCTTTACTAGGAGAACACTGACGGGGAACGACAAAGATATTAGTCTTATTGAAGGTTCCAGGGCACCCCGAAACTGATGCTTAGTTCGCGAGGCTGCTCCAAGAAGGCCAGCACCAAAACCACTACCAGCACCAACAGCAACAAGAAGAATAATAAACCAATAACAAGAGCAAACATACGAGCAGTAACGGCACCGCCGAGACGAACGAGAACGATAAGACCAAGACAAACAAGAACAACAAGAGCAGGAACACGAACAACAACAGCACCACACGACCACCACGACCAGGACCAGCACCAGCTCGACCAGCACGACCAGCACGACCAGCACAACCAGCACAAGCACCAGCAACAGCAGCAGCTCCAGCCACAAGCACAAGCACAACGACAGCCACACCCACCACAACAACCATCACAACCGCCACCACAACAAGAACACTAACAAGAGCAATAAATAGGACAGTGACAAAAACAGGAATGCCTACGCCAAACCACAACAACAACAGTGCAATAGTAACAGCAGTAGCAGCAACAACAACAACAACAGCAACCACAACAATTCCGTCCCTCAATACTCCCAAAAAAATTTATAGGCTCGCTCTGCCTGCTTCCTACTTCGCACCGCTTGGCCTCCAGCTGCGTCACGCCAAAGCCAGTCTCTCCAGTTGTCCCGATGCAGGAGAGGTCGCGGTACAAAGCAACCAGCTTCCGGTAGTTCGATGCAAGCAACCTAGCCGTGGTGCACCGGAACGAGACTCCGCTGTCCCTCTTTTTCAGGTTCCATCATGCAGGGTCCCTACTACGGTTAAACCTGTATCGGTATTCATGAACCGATGGAACTGAACTTGGGTCCTTGTGAGTGGAACGACAAAAGAGCCACCAGAGGGGCGCTGAGCCTTGACCATAAGTAAGTTCTGTCACCTCTCTCTCAGGCCGAGGTGCTGCTGCGTGTCTTGCCGGTCCGTATCTTTACTCACCTGTGGTTACAGCATTCGGGTGCAGGGTTTAAGTTTGAGAGGGCTTAACGTTTAGGATTTGTAGTTGCCAGATTTGGGGCTCATGGGGTTTAGCTTCAGGGTATATGTGTACGTATATGTTCTATCTAGTGCTTCGATCGTAGGGTATATGTGTAAGTGCACATCTTAGATTTATATGTAGGGTTCACGGTTCAATGGTCTGCGGGATGCGTATAGGGTCTAGTTGAAATGGGGTGCATGGGTTGTGGTATGTGCTGTGCGTGCAATCCACATGCAGCGAAGCATTAGACCAAGAGAAAATGTCAAGGACTTAAAACACGCTCGATGATATCTCTGTGAAAACCTGCCCTGCAAAACATCACTTTGAGTTAAGCCCTGAAACAAACCTAACATCTTAAACCGTAGAACCGAACCTTACAACAACCTTAAACACCACACCGCGATATCGCTGAGGTATGAAACGAACCCGAACAGCAACCCTCATAGTAACCCTATTACCCTGCATTAGAAACCGGAGTTTGAGGCAAGTCGCCAACCGGGCGACTTTGGCCCGGGACCAGTCGAGCAGGAAGCACTCCTGAACCTGGCATTCAACACTGCAATCCGGCCTAGAGTTGAGGCTTAGTAGGGGCCTTAAGAATTAGAATAGGGTTCCTTTAAAGGGGATCTGCAAGGGTTACTATAAGGGATCTATAGGGGTACCATAATGTAGGCTCTTTTGTCTGGTTCTTAGTAGGGAATGGGGGAATGGATCCCAACAGCAGCCCCTATATAATCCCCAAGAATAGTCTCCATAATCCATTCCAGCATTCCCTACGAAGAACCAGACAGAATTGGGTCCAGAGTTGAGGCTTTGGTGTTTAGGAAGGAACCTTTTTGCTCGTTTTTTCTCCTCCACGGACAGATTTGACGGCGGCCGGAGGCTACCATTGTTAAGGGACTTGTTTAAGTTACCGTCATACGGAAACCTTATTATTCACTATGGATCCCTATTATGGTAACTTAATTGAAGCCCTGGACAAGAACCCAGTCCAAGCCCAAACCTTGAAACCATGAACCTTTAAAGGGATCCTCAAGGGGTCTATAAGGGATCTATAGTAGGGTTCTATGATATAGAGGCCCTGAACCGGACGAAGAGTCGCGGCCGGGGTGCGACTTTGTCTGACTCGCGGCGGAAGGCCGCGTAGAAGGCCGGGCCGCGTGGGAGCTTCGTTCTCATGCCTGAGAGGTAGGATGTAGGATTTAGGGTTTAGGGTTTAGGGGTTTAGGGTTTAGGGTTTAGGGGTTTAGGGTTTAGGGGTTTAGGGGTTTAGGGTTTAGGGGTTTAGGGGTTAGGGATGTTTAGGGTATAGGGCTTAGGGTCTATATACTACCCTATGCTTCCACGGACCTTGTATTTAGGGCCCAAGGCCCCTTAAGGACCCAAGAAGAAGGTCCCTGGAAGCCTAGGGCTACATAGACTACTACTCTGCCAACTACTCTACCAAACTACACTATCCCATACTTTACTGTACTATACTATCGTAGAGTACACTATACTATTCTACTATATACTAGATGTACTGTACTATGGTCTACCACACTGTTTACTAGACTCTACTGTACTCTACTATGCCATACTACACTATACTATGATTAATATATGTGTACCGGGGCAAGAGCCGTTTACTCGGAGGATCCTGGGACTCAGTGGCTAAGGCGATCGATAATTGCCGTAGTTGTCAGACAGGGTGACTTCAGCTATTTTTGCTGACAGCCCCGATTACCCTAGGGATCAAATTGCCCAAAAGCCTGCTGTAGTATCGTCTTTGGGCCCAAAAGCCTTAATATGTGAGTCCTTAGATCCCTAGGGTTAGGTGACCGAGAACCCCATAGTTGCAAGGTCCACTCATCCTCCTAGTAGGGCTTGGAGGCTCGGGGAGCTGCATGTCTCGAGCCGAAGGTCACACCATAGACGCCTTAATAATTAGAATAGGGTTTTGGGGTGCCCGAAATAATGTACCCCTAAACCCTAAACCCTAAACCCTAAACCCTAAACCCGAAAGCCGGAAACTCCCATCTCAGCTGGATGGCAGGATCACTTCTGAGCTCCTGAAAGCCTTCAGTCTCGACACTGTCCACGCACTCCCACAACTTTCGAGAATCGTCTACTTGGGGCTTCCGAAAGCAGGGGACCCTAATGAAGTACTCTGAATAGTAGGATCCTTATTGTAAGGACCCCATAATGTGGTAACCCTAATTTTCGGAAACTCCCACTTGTGTTGCTACGTGCGCCGTGAAAGTGTCACGAACGGCATGGCAGAATCTCGAACTCAAGTCATGACTTTCTGACTGGGCGAGTCGTCAAAGTGCACTACCTGCTGGCTGCCGGTTCGTCTGAGTATAGGGGCGTATACCGGTATTGGGATGTATTGGGGTGTTGGACCCTCGATCAGCCACGTGGCGAAACTCGGCTTCTGTGATGCGAGGCATCTGAACCTTGGCATGTGCTCGCAAAGCTCCAAAATCCAGAAGTCTGTGTCCACACACAGGGACATAGTAGCCCTAAGCCCTAAACCTGACTTTGGACGATGCGCTGCTGGCTGCGAAAACACAAAACTTTAATTAAGGGAAGTGGCAGTACCTTCCACTCTAAGGAAGAAAGCCTGGATAGTTCAAGCGTGCTTCTCAACTAATTGGTAGTGAGTGCAACGCGTTCCGCGGGACTTCTGATTGCCGCCATCATCCCAAGTATCGGGATCCAGGAATCCAGGCTACCCTAAACCCCTGAACCTTATATACTAAGCCATAATTCCTGAACCAAAACTGAACCTTAAACCCTAAACCCTAAGCCTGAGATTCAAATCTCAACCCCTCAGGCTGAGCCTCCACCTGCAGGACGTTTCCGAGATATCTCCAAGCCTCACCTCCCACACCCGAACCCCGAAACCCGAGACTGAAAAGCCTCACTCGCATCGCAGATCATACCATATCGGTGAATTGAGGTTTCTTATGCATCCCCATGGGCTCCATAGTAGTTCCTTGTTGGGACTACCTTATACAATGGAGCCAATGGGTCTTCGCACAACCTCACAAGTCTCATCGGGCGACTGGTCCGGTTCCTTATTATAGTCATACTATAACATGCCTCAACACCCTATTCTAATTATGAAGGCCCCCTAAAGTATGCACCTTCCCCCAAGTCTGATCGGGCGACTGGTCCGGTTCCTTCCGGGCCATCGAGGAGGACACTGCGCTGGGCGCAGCCCGTCCCCAGAGCGCTCAGCGCCGAGCGCAGCAAGGCCGCTCTGGAGGTCCTCTAGGGCTGTTGATATGGAAGGACACTAGGGGGAACCTAAGGGTTCCTTTAAAGGGTTACTATAAGGGTACTATAAGGGTTCCTTTAAAGGGCTCTATGGGGTTTTAGAGTTTCCGAAAATTAGGGGTACCGTACTTTGGGGTCCTTATAGAAGGGATCCTACTATTCAGGGTACTATATTAGGGTCACCTATTTTTGGAAACTCCCATATGTAGGGGCCTATGACTGCACTTGCAGTAGAAGCCAGAAAGTTGGAACATGGCTTTCGGAGGATTAGTGCTAGGATCCCTTATACTTTACATTATAAGGGCATGAGGATAATAATGATCCAACTTTCTGGCTTCTACTTTATGGGAATTATGGTATATTCCCTATTATGGGTAGTGCAGGACTTATATCATCAACCGTCTTACTTCGACCGGTTAGGGGGGGCTGAGCAAGGGCATCTTTCGGGTTTAGGTTTGCAGGGTTGAGCGCTGTGGGGTTGTAGTGACCATGAGGTTTAGGGTCTACTTGACGGATCATGGGTGCAGGTGGTATGTTATATGCCATAAGTCGGGTCGCCCAAACAAAGGGAACTGAACGCAGGACAGAAGCCTGAACAATTAAAGACATTCTTCCCGAGGGCTCTCGATAACTATAGTACACCACACATACCACCCCCCTACTCTAATTATGTCGTGCATCAGCGCCAAGGCTAAGGAAAGCATTGAAACTTGCGAGCGGAGCACGAGTCCGGTGCTCTCTCCGGAACCCAGAGACTCCAATATCCCTGAATTAAGGAATATACCTTAACTTATAATAGGATTAAATTAGAATAGAATCCCGAATATGATTTAAAGTATATTCCTTCCTTAAGGGATGTTGGAGTCTCCGGAACCTTGGAGCAACACTCTGGCGCCTACACACAGTAGGGCTTTCTTAACTCTTGCAGTTCCATAGACTTGCGAGCAACTCTTGCAACTTCACATGTCCTGACACCTTTGTGCTTACGCAGCTATAAATATGAATAGTTACAGCACAGTTTAACAGTACAACATAATAGCAAACGATGTAATATGAAAACACAGCATAGTGACATATAGCTTAATGTAGTGTATCACAATATTATATTTCTATCTATCACAATGGAGACCATGTAGCAAAATATGCTAAACGATACCGTACCGTAATATACTAGACTACAATACAGGATAAGATAAAATACAGTATAACAACAGACATGTATATAGCCTAATAAACTTTTATGTTTACGTACTTCATATTGTGCTATATTCTAATATATGTCACACTGCATTTGCTTATATACATCAACGTATACATACAAATCCATGCTTCATGCCCACTCACACACGCATGTATATATACATATTATACACACTCACATAATCTGCGTCAATGATCGACACTTGACACAGTGATCGTCCTCAGCACGAGCCGATGCTCCAAGGCTTTGCCCACGAGCCGGCTTTCTTGCACCACCACCTCCTCAAGGAAAGTCTCTCTGAGTTGAGGGTAAGGGTTAGCGCTTTAAGGGTCTCAAGGAAAGTCTTGCAAAAGTTGTTTCTACCTGTCGCACAACAGCATTCATCCGGGAGCCTTGAGAATAAGTGCTTAGCGTGTTAGAGCGTGTTGGACTTGAGGCTTGTGGGTCCTATACCCTCCTCAGAATAGGGCAACCCGCCGAAATAATTTGGGTAAATATTCCAATCCCTATACCAAGGGTTCGATCCTCTCCGCTCTGAAACGCAGTTCAATTCCCATGCGGAGCAAAGACGCTTGCAATATGTAGGGTGTACTTCATCATAAACCACGTATCTCATAGTTCATATGAACTTCAGCTATCAGATACCCGTACATGAAATGTATAATGTTGAAAGCCGTCCTGATCCAGAGGTGGGGCCAGGATCGGAAGCTCCTTGCAAAGCGGAGAGCATTTCATGAGCCGTTAACAAGTGTCCTTCGGCCCAAAGAAAAAACAATCTCCGAAACCCAAGGTTTATATAGGGTTCTCAATGATTAGAATAGGGTTTTGCAGCCCATAATTAAAAAAGGAGACCCCGAAACAGTATAGGTCATTGTTTAGGCTTGAGGGAGCTTCCGCTTCGAGGCGGCTCTGTCTGCGACCCAAACCCTCGTCGCAAGATCCGAACTCGGGTCTCGGGTTTCGGCTGCAAGGAGTCCTCAATCCTAAGAGCTACGAGGTCCCTGAGTAGCCCCTTTAAGATAAAGGGTACACTTTTTCCTACTATTCGGTTATGCATTCGGTTTGAATAAGAGGGCCCCGACAAACAAAAAAGGGCAAAAGGGCAAACCCTAGACCCTGAACCGTAAACTCCTACAAAACCTCTCTAGGCCCCTTTCGGTGTTGGTTTGTCCAAGTCCTCGCAGGCGCGGAGCTCGATCTGAATGGGCGTGGCGAGGTCTTCGATCTCACACCCGCCAGGAAGTCGCAGAGCGCTGTCCACCTCCCAAAGTCGGGCTTGGGGCTTTGGGGCTTAGGTTAGGGTTTGTATTCGGGTCTTGTGGTAGTGTTTAGGGTTTAGGGTTCTTTCAGGGTTTGTTTTCGCTTTTTCATGTTAGGGTTCGTAGGGCTTGAAGTCTGTATTGGGGTTTAAGGGTCAGGGTCCAGGCTTCATTGAAAAGCCAAGCCAGGCTGAAGGCAGCTGTTGTGCAGGAGAAGACTCCTCCCCACCAAACCCATGCGACCTGCCTGGAAAATGACCAGCACTCTGCAGCTTCTGGGAATCATCCGGGCGGCCACGAACCGGTTTCCGGTTTGCCGCTCTCCTAGGCTTCAAGGTTGTCCGGCTATAGAGATGTAGGCGAAGCCCAAGCTTTTTCGTTCAAGGGTGCTCCAGCGAGCAATCGTGTCAAGGAAACCGGATTAACACATTTCTTCGAGGTCGTTGCAAGATTTGTGAAGCTAAAGGCCTGTTATGATGAATACACCAAAGGGGCTTTACCTTCGGATTCTGGGGATGATGAAAACAGAAGTATGACAAGGCCTAAGCAGTCACAAGGGACCGTGTTGCTAAATGTTCAGGCTTCTTCTGTAGGCTGGCACACTACCGGAAATTACATGAGCATGCCATCAGCTCGCTAAGGAGCCCACACGAATACTATTAACCAATAGTATGTATTCCGACCCCGATCTATACCCGCCTCAGAACCATAATAACAACGGTATTTCTACTATTCTCTTGGGTTTTATATGAAAAACAATAAAGATAATTCCTAAGGAGACTATAGCAATATTATAAGCCCTGACTTCATACGGAAGCCTGTGCTCCGCGACTTCATGACACTTCCTTCTCTTGTCTTGCGCCGCGGCTGAACCATCAACCAAAGAAGGATCAAGGACCCTGCAAGATTTGCAACTCCTAAGTCTAAGAATGTTGGGGATAAATCGCAGCTTCAGCGGCCGTTCTTCTTCTCCTCTTTCAATCTCAAGCCGGCACGGAAGCCGTCAATGGACGTGAAGGCCCACACGGCCTGGGTCGCTTCATTATCTCGAAAAGCTGGCTTCTGCACGTGCAGCTCGGGAACGTAAGGGCGCACGGATTGTTGGAACTCTCCTGTGCCTCTCCCAATGACTCTGGCCACATCACACCGACGGCATGCCAAGTACTGTTTTTCAATGACAAGAAAGCAGTCAGGAATTTCGAAACCGTGTAATGCTTCGGTTCTCTGTTCCAGCAAAGCCCAAGTCTTCTCAATACAGCATACGCCTGAGGCTGCCCACGGTGTTTTCACGCACAGCATACGTCCTTACTGAAAATGTCTACTCGCCTGAAGACTTGGAGCAAGGTATTGGGGTATAAAGGGAACTCCAGAAAGTTGGAATATGGTTTCAGGGTAGGATACCCTACAATTTACCATAAAGGCTTTAGGATAATCATATTCCAACTTTCTGGCTTTTACCTTAATAGAGTATACTGAGGGCTAGTATCCCTAAAAACTAACACTAACACTTAACACTTCTTCAGGCGCCTACTCGAAACCCGTAACCCTCTTAAAGTCGTTAAGCCCTTTGAAAGGAACCCTCATAGAAACCCAAGGGCCTTTGGAATCTGGTCCCCTTCTGCCGGCATCCAAACAAGCTCATGTCGCTCCCAACCTGCAAAAACGCAACAAAGGCAGGCCGTTCAACTTACCGCGGCTTGAAGCTTGTTTTATAAGATCATCTTAATTACAAGCGTTACTTGTAAGGGCTCTGATGTTAAGTCAACTTGCCATAACACTGAGGGGTTTCAGGTGCCTTTAATTTACCATAACTTAATGGCTTTCCAGGGTCTGATAGGGGTCATAGGTTGGATACGTGTTGAATAAGGCTCAAGGCTCCGTGAGAAAGTGAGAAACGTACTTTGACCTGCCGGACCGAAGACAGCACACGTTTATGGTACTTTGAATTAGGTTCCTTGAATGTAGGGCTGCTGACAGCGACCTTTCCAAATACCCACGCCTGGACTTGTGCACGCGGACACAAACGATCCTAACTACATCCATAACCGTAGTAGCAATCATGACGCAGAGGGCATGTTGACAAACATGATGCGACTCGGTTGATATATCGTGCCGGGAATCCTCACCACCTCAAGAGTGGCGCCTGGAGGTTACATGGACGTTTTCCAATGAACAAACGTTCCGTGAATTCGACGAACCACATTGTGAGCAGGATGCGATATTGGGGGTTTCCCAAAATAGGGGACCCTAATCTAGTACCCTAAATAATAGGACCCTTATATTATAAGGACCCCTAAATAAGGTGCCCCCAATTTTGGAAACCCCCATATATGAAGTAGGGCTTATATTACCATGTTGGTGAGTGTAGATAGGGCTCCTTTTGAATTTTGGTGAGTGTATGTATTGGGTTTTATTATGGGGATACTAGTAATATAAACCATACTCTATATACCTTCACCTGCCGTCTCATCAGCCTTCGCAGGCCCAGCAGGTCGTTTGCTGCTCCAGAACATCACGCTCACGTAGCACCTCATCAGGAGCACCCAGCGAGCCCTTAATACCCCTTAGTTAAGGAATATGCCTAGGGTTCCTTTAAAGGGATCTATAGGGTTTAGGGTTGAGGGGATTCAAAATACCCCTCAATTCAGGAATATGGCTTGAATCATAATATGAAGTCCAATATAATTGAAGCCATATTCCTTAATTAAGGGGTCTGGCATGGGGCTCCCTGGGCAAGCGAACGTGTCAAAATGCAATTTGAGAATCGGGCAAGCAGAACGGGCAACAGCTGGACACGAACTCTTGTTGTTAGGCCTGTCTGTCATGAGCTACTGTGCACGTACAGGGTGCAGATTGCCTGATACATCCTGATAGGAGAAAGAACCGTTCTGCCTGCTCAAAGCAGGCGGCGTGCAAGGACCGGCGGTACATTTATGTTTCCATGTTTCCATGCTGTCACAAGGCGCACAGAAGAGCATGCCAGGCTCTTTATCATAAGGTGCCGAGGTAGCCACGTCCTCGTCGGACCAAACGCACGTCCCGACATCTTGCTGTCCCTGTGCCTCGGGTATGCATGCATACTCGACTTCTTCGTCGTGAACCCGAGTCAAAGCAAGAAGCGCGGACTAGTCCCACATGTTGTCGAGGGGCATCTGCCGTGCTGGGTCTTGCAGAGGCACCAAGTCGATCCTCGTTCCCCTCCGGACACAGAAGGATGGTTTAAGAGCGGAGCTGACGATGGCAATAATGGATGCATACTGTATGCTATATTATGCTATACAATACTATACTATACTGTGTTATACTATACTGTACTATTCTATAATGCTCTACGACTACTAAATATCGTATACGAGACTATACTACTAGTGTTGCATACTATGCGACACGATACTGTACCATACTACGGTTGATGATATAAATCCTGCATTACCTTAATGACCCTAAACTATGGGAACTGATTATGGTATATTCCTTATTATGGGTAATGCAGGATTTATATCATCAACCGTAGAGCTCCCGCTTGACCCCGCCTGTCGAAGCTCGCCGAAGAGCTGCGGCTGCGACCCGCGTCCGCGTGGCGAGGGCATCCTGAATTTTCGGGTTTAGGGTCCTGGATCCATTGCTACGACGCCCAAACCCCTAGCACAGTAGAGTCTAGTATAGTTGGGTATAGAGGGCTCCGTAAAGGGATCTCTAGGCTTCCTCATAGGGACCTATGGGGTTTAGGGTTTGGGGTCTACTTGCAGGGTCAGGGGACTTAGTAAGTAGGTTGTAAGTAGAGTTATAAGCACCCTACATGGAGTTACCCCAATGATAACCCTACTTATAACCTACTTACTAAGTCCCCTGCCCCTCCAAGTAGTATAGTCCGGTATAGTATAGTAGTACAGTATAAGCATACTAGAGTATGCGATACTATAGGACTATATGGTCTAGTGACCTAGTGTAGTGTACGATGGTATGGTATACTATACTATCTTCAAAGGTCGTATGAGATGCAGCCGACTTACACATGTCCATGATCTTCCCTAAACCCCTTAACACTCAACCGCCCTACAGCCCTGAAGTCACTTCCAGTGCCCTCCAAGAGTCATCTTTTGCGTGGGCACCGCCTCAAGGTTGGGGCTCACGAAACCTGGCACAGCTTGCAGGTAATAGACACTGAAGTGAGAGCCCCTTCACACTACCGGGATTGAAAAGGCCTTCATAAGGCCTGGAATAGGCTCCCTAACGAACGCAGAAATAATATTCTTCGTGCTGAATCAAGGGAAATTGATCTCTGGTTGATATGGTCAGAAAAACTGGTGCTGCGGCACCCCCCGATCACAGCACGGCTTGAGAAAGCATACACCTTTCGTGGACCTGCTCTGTACATGCTCAGGACAAGGCGGCTTGTTGCCTCACATACCTCTGCCTGGCTTGTTCGTTCGGCCTTTCGACAACATGCCCCTGAGAATTCTCGGCCATGGACACAGCAAAAATCGCTATTTCTTTGGCTGCTCCCCTACAGTACAAGTCCCAGCTTTGCCAGGAGGCCATCGGCATCGATGATGGCGGCATTCCCGACGATGTGCAGCCCATAGAGGTGATGATTGTCTCGCAGGCCCTCCGCAATGACCTGGCCGAAATCTTCGGAGTTTCAGAGAGCTTCGGGTAGTAACTGCAGGGGCCTAAAGAATTAACAATACCATTTGGGGGGTTCCTTATTAGAACTACGCTATAATCCCCCCAAAAACCCTGTTCCAATTACTGAGGCCCCTATATTAAGGCTTCCGGTTGAGGAAAGCTTCGCTTAAAAGCTGAGGCTCCCCTCCCCGCCCAGAGACTCCAATACCCCTTAATTAAGGAAGATACCTTAAATTCTAGTAGGGACCCTACTATAATTTAAGGTATATTCCTTAGAAGCTGCCCCCACCCTGTAATAGTGACTATAAGGAATATATTGGGGCCCTATTATATTCCTATTATTATACCACTATTACAGGGTGGGGGCAGCTTCTAAGGAATATACCTTAAATTATAGTAGGGTCCCTACTATGATTTAAGGTATATTCCTTAATTAAGGGGTCTTAGAGTCTCTGGGCCCCCCTGCGCCTGGCAACAGTCAGCTCCCAGGTTGTTGTAGCTCAGGTCCAGATGATAGAGGGTCACCTTGAGCGCTTCTCTTCTGAACCCCTAACCCCCATGCCTTATAAACCCTAAAAGCCCCAGAAACCAAAATTCCAAAACTTAATATCCTGAAAACCCTAAACCCTGAACCTCCTCATGAGGGTCACCTTGCACTTGGCTTTGTAGCTCTGGGCCCCTGAGAGGCATGCTCGACTCTCCATGCACTCTCCGGCACTTGAAACAACCCAAGCCTCCTGAAGCAGAAAGAGCTCTTCCCTAAACCTGTAAACCCTGAAACCAAAACCCCAAAGCACTAAACCCAAAGCCCTGAAAACCTAAACCAAACCCTAAGGCCTAAGCTCTGAAAGTGCGGCCCTCGCGGCAGACACCCGCAACGCCTCTGCCAGTGCCTCGGCACCAGAGGCAGCGCCAGCATCACCGAGGTGATTCCTCGGAAGCCAAATTCATTGCTCCGAAACCCGGCCAAAAAAGGTAGAAATACTAGGTTTTTCTCAAATATTCTGATGGTTTCAGAAGCTGTTTGTTATAGGGCCCGGAATATACCTCAAGCTATTAAGGGATATTCCTGGACCAAGGACTCCTGGTTTTGAACTTTGAAAGCACCCCGCAGGGAGGGGCGCCCTCCGTGTGCTAGCTAGCTCGCGCCCGGGGACTTATAAGGCACTTCAAGGATCCAAGATTCGTGGTTCAGGGCTTCACGGTTTCGGATAGTTTTAACTTCGGTCTCTGGATTTCAGGGTGTTGGACGTTGCGGCAGAAGGTTCATTCGACTACGCTAGGCCAGGGCACATGACCGAAACGATTGCCGGGAAGCTGGCACAGTGCAGCCGAGCATCCATGCTACATCCAGGTCAGCGATCTGTCCACCTTTGCCTGCAGTGGAAATGTATGGCTCGACGATCGCGGTAGTCATGATGAGGATGATGATAGAGATGACACTAACGATAGCTGTGGGCGGTAGTTTTTTGCAAGTGCTGATACTTGTCGAGTGTGCTGCCTCTGTGTGTGCCACCTCTCTACACCATCATTCTCACGAACACTGTTTTTCTTCCGTCGTGCCGACCAAGGTACAGTTAGCAGGTTTCCGATGGTCTCTTCTCTCATGGTGAAATCTTTGCACCCAGACGCTGGGCTTATCCTTTAACCCGAAATGTGCATCACGTGGATCCGAGGTTCCCGGTCAGTTCAAGATCAAGCTCTCAAGCTTCAACTAAGCCCACGCTGGGTAGGAGACCTATCATACTGGAGCCCACCATGAAGTTGATACTGATACCCATCCCCATCTCCAGTGAATTTGTTAAGGCTGCCCCAGGAGTTTGTTTGGCTTTGACGATGAAAGTTCATGTGGAGCATAGGTCCTTGGTGGACAGGGCACCCTCCAGCACAGAGTGTCCGCCTAACCCAATGTGCTGACAGAGCATCAACGCGGCTTTGCATCTGCTGCGACCCGACTCTGGTAAAGACCCAGTCACCAAGACCACCCTGAGTACAGAAGCTTACATCTGCCTATCTTTCGCCGTTCCGATGAAGACTTTGCCTTGGCCCTGCTGCGATGGGTGCATCCCACCAACTTCAAGAGCGAGGCACTGGCATTCTGCTTGACACCATTGAACCTCAGGCTGTGAGACATGTTGGGACTGAGCGATGTGGCAGGGTGTGGAATCGAGGATATACGAGGCTGATACAGAAAGTGCAACAGGTTCACGAGGGACGTTGGGCGAAGAAGGCAGGGCCGAGAAAGTGTAGAAACTCCGCTGCCGTGTGGGCTAGGGGTATGCCACAACTCTGTTGTTTGCTGGCTCGTTCTTCGCTCGTGTCCGTTCCTGCGGTAGACCTAGAGCAGGTATCGTAGAGAGTCTAGTAAAGCGGCAATCCTCCCAAAAGCTTCGAACAGGAGCCCTCTCAAGCAAGAGCAATTCCATGTCATGTCAGCGAGTTTCCGAAAGTAGGGGACCCTCATATAGTACCCTAGATAGTAAGATCTTTATTGTAAGGGCCCCAACATAAGGTACCTCTAATTTTCGGAAACTCCCATGTCTCTATCGCCGGGACGGGACCGAAAGCCGAACTTGGGGCCACGGAGCAGTGCGGCGCCAGCGTGGCCACAGAGGGAGTTGCCGTGCAGCGAGAGCCGGGCCAGCCTTGGATGCTTGCCCAGCAGCTGACCCAAGGCGTGGCCTGCAGGAGGCCATGGGAGAACCGTTTTAACGAACAAGTATGCGTTTCTCTTCATGGGGGCAACGATCATAGTCATGAGAAAGATTACCAATACGATTTAAGTCTTTAAGTCTCCTCATACTATTGAAGACAACCCTGGAAGAAGGATAACAATTCCCTAAGCCATGATGGAACCGCAGTCGTGTACAGCTTTTCGCTACAGGGCTTGGACCATGATTGCAACCTGGCTGGTCACCATAGTCGGCGTGGTCATCATGGCTTCTGCGATTGTCATCAGCATACTTGGCAGTTGTAGTATTCCTTCATCACTACCGCTATTCCCAGCACTGTCATCAATATGAATACGACGATATCGATATTGGTGTTGTTGTCCAGGCTGTGAGGGTTCAGGGTTGTAGGGTCTTAAGGCTCCAGCGTGTGGAGCAGATCAACTAAAGGCCATGAGCGACCAACTTGGGAGTTTAGGATGGGTTTACGGGAGAACAACAGTAATGATAACAACAGTAGTCGTATTCTGTAATATACTGTAAGATACTACAGGATAGCATAAAGATATTATAAGATGCTATGGACCTGCGACTAGATCACAATTCTGGGGGCTTCTTGAGATTTTGCCTACGCACTGTTTACTTACTTGGGGCTCTAGAAACTCCTTGTAATCAGGATACTCTCGGTGACTTGGAGGATCATGAGACTTAGTAAGTATGGCTCCTGAAAAGGATCCTTACAGGGTTCCTTAAAGGGGATCTATAAGGGTTCTATAGTGGGAGGATCATGAGACTTAGTAAGTATGGTTATAAGTACCTTCATTGGGGTCATAGGTAATTATAAGTATAGTTAGCCTACCAAAGACAAAGGACGTTTTCGGGTTTTGCGATTTCTGTATGCATAGATGCACATATATGCAGGCGTTTGCTGACGGAGCCGCCCGCGCACCGATACCTCACGAGCCCTAAACCCTGAACCCAAACCTAGACTTATAAACCCCACCTCCCAAACTCGACCTAGCAGCCAAGCCGGAACCGCAAATAAACCACACCCAGAAGCAAACCGCTTCCGCCGCTTGGGGCCTTCTGCGATCTGATTGTGATTCAACTCCTGAGCTCTCTGCAGGAACAGGGCAGGGCAGCCAAGTTGGTGTTTTTGGCTTCGTGTCTCCTCTTATTTAGGGGGTTTAGGACAAAATTTTCCACGAGAGTCTGAAAGGTTTAGGATTCAGTTTTGCAGAACAGCGGGGTTTTGTAGGGCTTCGCCCACAATGGACTTTAGCCGGGTGTGAGCTATCTTGGCCAGTACTGCAAAGTGCACCTCGTTATTTACGATTCTGAAAAGAAATTCGTAAACTCCAGCGCTGTAACCCGACAACACGAAAACCTAAACCTGAAAAACCTTTCAATGCCCTCACACAACCCACCTCGCAAAAACCTGAAGCTCAATACAAAGACTGTAGAGGGGCTTGAACAATGAGAACAGGGTTGGGCAGTTCTCTAAACTAGAACCCCTTTTTCAGTCTCCCAAATAGTACGGCGCCCATTTGAAGAGGACGCTAATAAGGGACCCTCATGTAGAGAACTATCCACATGATGGGACTACAACGGGAAATCAGTACTGATGATTCGGATACTTATGGTTTTGGCTCAATCCTGAACCCTACACCCCGCACCGCGTACCCCGAAACCCTAAACCCCTGAACCGTAAACCCTAAAACCCTCAACCCTACACCTTAAGCCCCAAAGCCTTAAACCCATACACCTATACCCTGCGCCCTAAACCCCTAAGCTCTATGCCGTCTCTACCCTAAGCCTGTAAACCCTGTTTGTGAAGCCGAAGGCTCCAGTCGCACCAGCAAGGGGCAACTCAGCAAGCTGGTGGCCAAGCCTTTCGGGTGTCTTCTCAGCTCGCTTTTTGTTTTTCGAGCTCCGTTTTAGCTCCAGTTTAAGGGCTGAATTCAGCTTAGGTGCCCATGGGATTCGATTTTGTTTTCATAGCAAGGGTTTAGGGCTTAAGCTTTCGCGTCTATGGCCTGAGTCTGTTTTGCATAACAAGGGCTTAAGGTTCAAGTTCAGGTGTCCCTGGCATTCATTTCTTTTCGACAAGAGCTTTCGGGCTTGGCCTGTAAGCTCCTTAACGAGGATCTATAAGGGTTCTCAAATGGGGTTCTAGGTTTACCCTGTCCTAGAACCCCGTCGTACCTTTGATAAGGGACGTGGCTGTTTCAGCTCCAAGCGCTGGAGCGCTTGGGCACCTTGGGGGCCTTGGGGTTCACGGTCCTTGAACTTGGAAAGGTTTAGGGCTTATAGGGTTTAGGGCTTATAGGGTTTAGGGTTTGGGGCTTATAGGGTTTAGGGTTGAGGGCTTATAGGGTTTAGGTGGTTTTGCAGGATTTGGTGGGTTTTTTCTGCTGAAGGGTTCAGGGCGACGGCTGCAACCGTCCCAAATCCTGAGTTGCAGCGCCAGTCATCAGCAGCCACATACCCTCAGGCCGAGAATCGCCGCATGGCCCAAGAACCCTGAAATGTTAATGCTTGAATTCATCTTTATGTTATAGTATGTTAAAGTATAGTAATCTCCGCATAGCTCTGTCCCTGGCAGCGATGTTCGTCCTTGGCAGAACTCCTCAGCAGTAGAGTCTCAGCGGCCAAGCGACCGGCCACGGCAGCATCCTTGAGGCTGTTCAGAGACAGGTCGAGCCAGCGCAGCTGTGGCAGCCTCAATTCAGCCTACACCCGCAAAGCTCAGTCGTAAAGTCGAAAGGAAGTTCAACCTGCACCCTGGCCCTAGAGATCCCTAATGTGGTGGCTTGTTTAGTACCATGCGCCTCTTTAATGCGTTTTCTTTTCCTTATTCGAGCCGGGTACCAAAAAAAAGGTGTCCTATATAATGCGTTGTTTTTTGGCTGGTGGGATTTTTTTGGGTGGTTGCTCCTTTGTGCTGATGGTCAATCTTAAGGCACCCACGACCTAAACCCCCGCGCAAACCCTAAAACCCTGGCCCTGAAGCCCGAAACTCGCCCTAAACCCGAAACCCCACCTACGCTACTACTGTACTATTACTGAACTACTACTGTACTACTGCACACTACCAGGGGTCAGACTTGGTCGATTGTGGAGGGGAGTGTAGGCTGGAAGGAAAAGCCTTCAAAATGAAGGGTGTTGAGTCTTAGTAATTATCTTGGAGTGATCGGGCCTTGAACGTTTGGTCATCCCAAACCCGGCTAAACAGCTCTAGGTACTCCTAAACCCTCGTATTGTACTACTACGGTACTACTACTCTATACCCCAAAGCCCCTACTCCAATTCTGGCCCTGTTCATCTCAGCCCAAATTGCGACACAGCGGCCCAAACTGCAGCTTTGCTGCGACTGCCGCGGCCCCCCGTGGTCCACCCTCGTTGCGCGAAAGGTCCAGCATCCTCGTTCGTACTTAAGTAACTAGGGTTAGGCTTCCTTAAAGGGCTCCTGTAAAGGGATCTATCAGGGTTCTATAAGGGGGGCTTCAGGGCCCACAAGTGTTTGTAGCTTCGCAAACGACAATATACGATAGCATCGATAACATGCTGTTAGTATACCATAATAACTAGGGATTGCAAACGACAATATACGATAGTACCAAAACATGCTGTAGTATACCAGGCTTTCGCAGATGCCGTGAGTTCCTATGACTTTGGCCATTCTGTAGACCTATCACTCGACATGGCTGTGTCCTTCTTTCTACTCCCCACCTGGAAGATATGCTTCTGTCCACCATGCCGCAGCAGCGAGGTTCAGAGCTCGGAAGTATGGCTTGCCGTTGCTAGAGCAGAAGGCAGATTGGGGTCCAAATTAGTTTCGACCTCAGATGGTTCTCAAGCGCATGCCATGGAACTCGGTGTGGTCCGGCAGCTTCGCCATAAATGCCTTGGTGGCATGGAGGTGCTGTGGAAATTTGTGACCTTGTGAATATGAGGGCTCCGCCTCCAGCGGTGAACATGTCAAGGATGCTACTTTGGGTCAACTGAGCTGCATATTGTAACGCCAAAATCATTCTGAGTCGTGTCCGTAAAACACCGCCCAAGTCCAAAGCTTTGGAAGCAACATCTGCCGCACTTGCGGCTCTTTCATGCTATTCGAGTCAACGAACCACAGCTTCAAACCAAAACTCTAACTGCTAAGAACCAAACCAAACCCTAGCACCGTTAACGCTTTAAACTCTATAGCCCTATCCGCACTTGGTTGTTTCCGAAACGCGAATACAATAGGAAACCTAAGCAATGTAGGGGCCTTAATAATTAGAATAGGGTTTTGGGGCCCATTATACTCCAGATTCTAGTTAAAATAAGGAACCCCCACAAGACTATTGGTAACTAGTTGGGCCCCTATATTAAGCAAGGATTTGAAGAACCCTCACCTTCTGCTACCTTGTCGAGCCCGGGTGGCCTCGACGCCGCCACCGCTGAGCCGCAGGTCGCGCAGCCGAAACCGGGAGACACTTTGCAAGGGCATCAGCAGCCGGTCTTTCAGCCTCGTTTTGGGGGGCTCGGTTCAGCAGCCGGCCTCTCAACTTGTTTTGGTTCAGGGCTCGTAGGGTTTAGAGTTAGAGAACAACGGGTGGCTTGAGGAAGCAAAACAAGAGCTTCAAGGGAAGGGGACGGTTTAGGAAATCAGGGGCTGAATGATTTTTTGGGGCTTGGTTCCTCGGGTTTACAAAAAAAAAGGGTTTAGGGCTGCACGACCACTTCAAAAAGGCCTTTGCAGTCATGTGCCTTCCGCACTGCCAGACCCTACCCCCCCCTCACACCCTACACCCAATCAGGTTTCTTTATAAGACCCGTCTTCAAAACGTGTTTTGACCCTTACTTGAACGCTCAAAGGACTCTAAAACCCCATAATAAGACCGTCGAAGGAACCCCTTGAAGGTAAGGGCCCGCTTCGCTTTCGAGGGGCAAAGCCTGCAGCTGCAGGTCACCGAAGCCGAGGCCGCTTAAGTCCAGGAGATTCCTCTCGCGACGCTCCTGGTCTGAGGTGCCTTTTTCATGCTTATAGAAGACTTAAAGGATCTTGGGACTTAGTAACTAGGGTTATTACCTATACTTATAATTACATATAACCCCAGACTTACTAAGTCCCATGATCCTCCAAGTAGAGTGAATAGAGCTCTTCTTGCAGCGGGACTCCCTGTAAATGGATCTGAAAGCTCTGACCGAGTAGAATAAGATGTTTTTTTGAAGGGTGGGGGTGTTCGGTGTCTACAACGCTCCTGATCTAGGGGCTTCCTCTCTTAGTACTATAGGGATCTCCTCAAAGGCTTCCTTCTAAAGGGGTAAGGGCATTTAGGGCTTTAGTGGGTTTTCAGCCTTTGGGAGTTAAGGGACGTCGTGACGCTGCAGCGGAAGGTTGCTTGTGCCTTCAGATCGAGCCCTGACTTCGGGTACTTGTGGGGGGGCCTTTTCAAAGAGAATATGGGGTTTTGGGGTGCGCTATACGTATACTAAGGAACCTTAATAAGGAACAACACTGGTACTTATTGATTCAGTCTCAATCTTTTGCTCCTGAGCTCTGTAACACCCTCAACTAGGGAACCGCCAAAAGGACCCAGAGAGCCCAATACCCTTTAAGTAAGGAATATGGCTTAAATCATAATATGAAGCCCTATATAGTTTAAGCCATATTCCTTAATTCAGGGGTATTTGAAACCCTAAACCCTATAGATCCCTTTAAAGGAACCCTAGGCCCTAGGCATATTCCTTAAGGGGCCCCTTGGGCTCTCTGGGGACCCTCAGACCCTCGCGCCTGCACTGCACGAGAGTATTTTGGCAGCAGGCCCATCTTCGCACAGGCGTCCTCTGCCGACGCGACACGTCTTACTTGGGCCCTTTAGAGAGTATTCGTAGACATTATCTGATTCAAGACGTTCAAGAATGTGGTTAGTTAATCTCCACTTCACGCGCAGGTCAAGACGACTGGGAGCGCAGCAGCTGAATTTCGTGTCAGTGCGCCACGGCCAATGCATTGTGATCAAGGTCAACCACGGCACCCGTCGAAACCCCGGCACCCTTCTACTCCCTGAAAGTCGCGAACAATGTCCGTTCAGGCAATGTGGGTCCTCGTACTCGCAAGATAACCTGCGGGCTCCTCCTGCCAGAGGCAAGCCGGATGGGGGATTTAGGGCTTGGAGGGGGATTCAGGGCTCGGGTTCCCAGAGACCTAGATCAGGAATGTCCCTTAGCAAAAGACGGGGAACGCTGTAGGGATCCTTGCAGTATGTTTTGAAGGATGCTGCTCTGAGCAGGGAAAGATTGCTAAATAAATTCTGGGCTCAACTGCCCCGAGTCCAAAGTTTAAGAAGTCGCATACAAACTCCTTTAACTGAAGCCTGAACCTTGAACCCTGAACCCCGAAACCCCAAACCTCTGAACCTTGTGTTGCTACTTACTTGTGATGTGCACATAACAAGTAGCAGCACAACCCCGTAAATCCTAAACCCCAAAACCCCCGAAGCCTCCCCGCCACTTTTTCAGAAGCCATAATTTACTGCAGGTCCCTATGATGGTAACTTAAAATAAATTCCTAGGCTGGCCCTTTAAAGCCTCTGAAAATTCGTAAATAGGGGTCCTATTAAGCCCTATACGGGAAAATATAAAATATCGCAAAGGCCTGCCTACGTGGAGGGGCAGGGGACTTAGTAAGTAGGTTATCAATAGGGTTATAATTGGGGCAACTCCATTTAGGGTACTTATAACTCTACTTATAACCTACTTACTAAGTCCCCAGCCCCTCCAAGTACAGAACCCATACCCAAAAACAAGAATCCCTACGAAGAAGCCTCAGATCTATACAATGCTCCTAGACCACTACCCCTCTGGTAAATTCCTTAACAAGAACCCACTTTTTCCAGAACCCGGGCCCTTTATAGGTACCCTAATTGTTACCTTAATAATATATAACTCTTTCTAGTTACACGGTCCCATGATCCTTTGAGTAAACCCTAAACCCTAAACTCCCAAACCCTATAGATCCACCCGAATCCAAGGAGCCCGGGCCTTTGGGAGTGCCCCTCGGAGAGGCGCCCGGACTGCAGGGCGACCGAAGGCCTCAAGTTTCGGGCCTCCTCTGAAATTTAGGGCTCTAAGGACCCGGAGTTAGGGTTTCTCTAAAGGGATCTATAAGGGGTCCTTCAAAGGGATCTATAGGGTTTAGGGCTCTAAGGACTCATCTATTAAGGCTTTTGGGTGCAAAGACCAAACTATGGAAGGCTTTTGGGCTATTTTGATCCCCAGGGGAAGGGGCTCCTATAAGGTTCTAGAATCGGGCTGCGAAAAAAACAGCTCCTGAATGGTTCGGTTCCTGTAAGGGTTGCCACAAAGTTCCGTTCCCCTATGAAGGGCTCCTGAAGCTTGGGTTCCTTTAAGGGTTCCTACAGTATAAAGGTCTTTCAACGGTGTCAAAAAAACAAGGGACTCCTTCTAAGCAGCGTGTATACTGAGGGCTCCTATGAAAGGGTATCTGGTTGTTGAAGGGGTTTCTATTTCTATAAAGGGCTTCTTTTGGAGCTTTGGTGTCTACAGAAATTTCCGTAAGGGATTCTATAGACAACAGGTTTCTGCAAGGGCTTTATGCATGCTTCGCGGTGAAGGATGTCAGCCGGATCGTTGAGGAATTTGGGTTTAGGCTATACGTGGTTTTATCTTTGTGTCTATATCTCAGGCGTTTGGCTTCAGGGTTTAGGGCTTGAGGGCTTCAGGGAAGAAGTATGGTTTTGGTGTCAAGGGTCTGGGTTTGGTGGCTTCAAGGTGGAGAATGGAGAATCTCCGCAATAAACCCTGCACTCGCACCACAAGCCCTAGGTCCATGAGCTTCTGCCAAGAGGCTTGGAAGTCCCAACTGCGAGGTGGCGATTTTGCTGAGGGAGTTTGTACCTCTGGACAGGAAGGCTTCCTGGACCCCCAACTACCCTCTAATGTACCCTGAATACCCACTATTCGGGGCCGTAAGGGCTCCATTCAGGGTACTTGGGCGGGGGTCCTGGTTTATGCTTTAGGATCATAGCGTCTAGGGTTTGGGTAGTCTTTAGCATTCTGGGTCAGGTTTTGGTTGGTTTGGGAGATGTGAGCATCCTAGACTATTGGAAATTCTGATTTATTCCTTCTAAGGCACCGAAGGGCTACCATGCTCGTAAAAGTGTTGCAGGTTGTTCGGTAGCATGCATTAGCCCTGTGACAGACCCGAAGTGCAAAGACGACAAACCCCAAAATAACCTCAACGGCATGGCCAGGACGGTCTCTGGGGATGCAATGATTATCAAACGTAACATGACAATACAACGAACCAGGAACAAAAAGGGCATGTCAATCATTGCTAAGAGCTCTTATGTAGATATCAACCTTACATTCTTTCGCTCGGTTTGTCCCACCGCTGCCAGCAGCACCCAGACTGCGCACGCTTCAGGCGCATGCTGGGTGAGGCTGTGGGGGAGAGGCACGGCGATGCACTGCCTTGGCCTTAGGTCTGGCGTCAGTCTCATCGAAGACAAGATGTAGGTTTAGGGCATTTATATAGGGTGTTCGGTTTCATAAGGTCCGAGAGTGAAGGCTCTGAAGACTCCGGCAGAGACACATCTCCATGTCTCGGAGTGTCTGCAGCTGGTGCGAAAAACAAGCATCATGTGCATGGACCATGAAAGCATCCTAAGAGGGGTGTAATTCATGGAGGCTTTAAGCTTGGAGTGCGGGGTTGGGGTATATTATACCTGTGCCCCGAGGAACCCTGGGCAAAAGAAGTAGGGCTCCGAGTCTTGGGCCTTGGCTGCTTCTAGGCGAAAAAAGACTTTTCCTTCTGCCCCGGCTACCCTTGCCGAAATCCAGAGAAACCCAAGACTGAAACAATACATCCCAAACTTAACCCTGAAAGCCCAAACCCAACAGGCTCTTCTAGTACACTTATAAATCCCTCATAGTAGCCCTAGTAGGCCCCTTTAAAGGAACCCTATTCTCTAAAGGAACTCTATTCTGACTAGTAAGGCCCCACCTCAAAGCCCTAACTTCAAGACGGGCTCTTATCGGAGGCCTCAAAAGGTGGGATGAAGGTAGGTGGGATATTCCCAAATAAGAGTCCTTATATAAGGGATCCTTGATCCCACCTACCTTCATCCCACCTTCTGAGGCCTCCGATCTTCAGCGGTCGGGCAGCAGGGAGACGAGGGAGTTCCAAGGGTCTTGGCCACTTGGTTCAGCGTGGCCTGAGCAGCCTAGGGCCCCAAAATAGCACACAAGCAAAAATTAGGATAGGGATATCCCATATGCAGCCCAATAAGGTAGGGATATCCCGATAAAATGCTTATGCTTATGTGCTTTTTGGGTCCCTAGCAGCCGCCGCTTAGGCTTTTCAGGGGTTTTTTAGGGTTTGGGGAGTCGGGATCTTTAGGGTTCGGGGTAAAGCTGCGGGAACGAGTTAGGATTTCGGGATAATTGTGCACTTCTTGGACGAAAGTCCTGTTGAGCACACAGCTGCATGGGGAACGCTTCGTGTGAGACGCCACGCAGGCGCACGGCGAACGCATCGATCGGCGCTACAGGATTGGAATCGACACCCCAGGCAAGAGACGCAAAGAGCAAGAACGCGAGGCCCCCGGCTGCCGGCTGCGTCTTGCACATCCGATCCTTCCTCCGCGTTGAGGTCGGCCTGCAGAGGACCGAAGTTCGGAGCAAAGGCTTAGCTTGCGAGGGTTATGATCATGGTAATAAGGATAATAGCAATACTGATACTGTTTGAAATAACAACAATAACAGTTGTGCTTATAATCATCATAACGATGAGATAAATCCATGTAGCTGTGGCATTGAAGACTTAAGACGTAGACTTCTGGATGTGGATCAGAGGTGCTTGAAAACGCTGAAGGATTCTGCGACGAAGCTTTGTGTCGTGATTGCAGAGACTGCCACAGCAAGCCATCACATTCCATGTAGGTCTCTCCACATGGTTTCGGAAGGTATCTGAGAATGTTTACTCCACGGAAAGCCACGGCATAGCATACTGCCGGGGTAGGAAGACTCGTGAAAGGTCGTGCAGACTGGAGAATCGCAAGGCAGAGAAGATGCGCACATTTTGTCCGGATTCTGGCACCTGCATACTCTGCTCTGTACGTGCCGAGGACAGATCCCATCGCATGGGCAAAGCAACGATTGTCAGTCTGAGGTATCGACGACCGAGTTAGGCCAGAACCTGCGAACTGCACACAGGACTGAAGACCAGGCACCCGAAGCAGCGGGCTAAGCTCGGGCAGGCAGTCGACTCCACCTGGAAGTCTCCGGGGCGGAAAGTGCAGCTGCATGCGCTGTCGGTCCCAGACGAAACCCGACGCATGGTTCTGCGTGGGGCTGCTACGCGGGGAGCAGCTCGGCAATGATGGTGTCTCTGCTCTGCATGCAGCCCAGGCGATTCAGCTCTGCGGTGGCAGTCCTTAGGTTTGCGATGTCTGGGAAGGATCGCAAGGCTCGGGCAAATGGAACCAGAATAAGGTACTGGGGAATACTCGACTTCAATAGTTATGATAAGAGACCCCAAGCGGAATCCTTAAAGAGCCATGGGTTTGTATTCGTCTCTGTGGACACTAAATCCTGCTCCCTATAAACCCTATAAACCTAAAAAACCAGCATATAAACCCTATAAACCCTGTTAGCCGAAAGCCTCTATATCAGACTTAAATGAACCCGAAAAACCCTAAACACCTCTGAGATCTTCATGAGTCTAATTCAAGTTGCCACGATAGGGGTCTCTATGAAGTATTGTGGTTTCTTTATTATGGTAACTTAAACCTTAAACCCTAAACCCTTAAAGAAATCCTTATATGTCCCCAGTATTGTAACTCAAAAAATAGGTTCCTTAACAAGAACCCAGGGCAAGGCTCCGCTGGGTTCCTGTTAAGGAACAAACGGAAGCTACCATAACAAAGAAACCTAGATCCCTACTGTTGATGGACAAAATCCTGCATGACCCTAAGGACTCTAAACTATGGTATATTCCTTATAATGGGTAATGCAGGATTATGTCCATCAACAGTATTATGGTAACTTAAACGTAAGTTCCTGAACAAGACTAGACTGAAGCTAGACCCCTAGCAACAAATATAACTCTAGCTCTTTCTCAGGGGTTAAAAAGAACCACAAATTACGGTTGATGATAGAAATCCTGCATCACCCATAATAAGGAATATACCATAATTCCCATAGCTTAGGATCCTTAAGGTAATGCAGGATTTATATCATCAGCAGTAGGAATTCGTTTTTGAGCTCCTTAACACGAAGCCCGGACAAGGCTCCCTAAGACGAACCCTTATAAACCCTAAACCCTAAACCGTGATAGACCCCCTTTGAAGGAACCCTATTCTACCCAGGGGCCCCAACGTAGTTCCTTTTTGGGTAGTATATTAGAGTCCCTAATCAAAAAAGAGGACACACCCAAAAAGGAACTACTTTGGGGCCCCTGGGTAATTACCACCCCTAAATCCATTCTAATTACCACCCCTAAATGGGAGTTTCCGAAAATAGGGGTACCTTATTTTGGGGTCCTTACAATAAGGATCCTACTATTTAGGGTACTATAATATAGGGTCCCCTATTTTCGGAAACTCCTAAAATCCCTACGACGAAGCCAGGGCCAGGCTCCTTGCCAGCTCCGGAAGCGAGGGCCGATCCTCCGGCTCCCAGGCCAGGCACCTGGCTTGGGGAGCCTTTTTTGATGCGTTTTTTAAGGGTGGGTGAAGGGGGGGTCAGGGGTTAAAGGGCTTACATACGAGTTCAGTATAATTGAGGTTTATGATTTGGGGGTGTAGGGCTTAGGGGAGATAGGGTTTAGTACAGCAAAAGCTGCCAAGGTCAAAGGCATGGCATGAAGCCCTACAGGAACCCTTACAGTACTTTCGCAGCTCGATCTGTCTGACTATTCTGACTGGGCCCGGCACCTGTAAAGAATCTGCTGCAGAGGCATAGCATCGTCCTGGGCTTGCCTTAAGCTTCGACCTCATCTCCCCCAAACCCTATTCTACTTATTAAGGCCCCTTAAGGTCGCTACATTACACCGACAAGTCGCAAGCTGCGCTGGATTCCATGGTTCCCAGCCTTGCCATATCCAGGCAGCTGCCTGGGCCAGGCACCAGGCATCCGTCGCCGGGGAGAAAAAGCCGGAGCGAACATCGGGCATGCACGTCACCGAGGGGTCTCCGGGGCGCTGCGTTCTCCTGGCAGAAGCGCCCTTATAGTGAAACGCACTACCGACCAATACATGGGGTCGAAGAAATCACCAATATGACTCTTTACATTCTCTAAACGTAGCCCAAAACCCTGCTCGAAATTGTAAAGCCACTACGTACGTCGCTACGTTAATCGCGAATGAGCCACCAAGAGGAGGGGTCATCCACCAGCCGGGCGTCCCCAAAGTCAATGAGCCACATGTGAGCGGAGCCCGGCCTGAGGGAACCCGGTGCTGGGCTGATATTTCTGGAAGCTTTAGCGGGTTACACCTTACTGGCACTTCCGGCTTCGCCAGGCAAGCGCATGACTTACCTTGGGTAAGTAGGGAATGGAGGAATGGGTTACAATTAACTACTATTACTACCATTCTTCCATTCCCTACTAACCAAAGGCAAGATGAGGGGACGTCGGAGAGTGCAGCACCACGTTGTCCGGCTTCACGTCGCAGTGGAGGATGCCGGCCGAGTGCAACTCTGCGAGACCCAGGGCGAGACTCTCGATCATGGCCACGAAGGTTGCCTGCACTTCTCCAAAGGGGCTAAAGTACCTCTCTCTCTCTCTCTATATATATATAGTCGTTGTATATCCATCTAGTAGAATGTATTGTTTCTATACTCGGAATTACTATGGCAGAATTGGAACCACGACCCGAAGCCTCTAGCTCGCAAGGCCTCTGTATCTATGGAAGCGACAGCTGCAACGTGAACACCCGAACTGCTCAGGCAGAAGGCCTTGCCGAAGCCTCTGGAAAGGGCGGCTGCGAGCGTGCCGTGCGAGGCCAGTTTGAGGATTTGGACGGGTCCCTTCGTCGCTTTGGGCCCAGAAAACCCGTCGCTACCTAGCCTATAGGGCCTGTAGAGATTTGGTGTCATCAAGATGCAACGGACAAAGACCCAGACCTAGGGCAAAGAAGCTGATTCTACAAAAAGGCCGTGGGGTTCCCAACCTCGGGTGTCTGGTGATCCACGGCTAGCACGGGCACCACGCCCTCCATGGATGTCGAGGCGATCCGGCGTAGGCATTCCAACTCAACGCGATTGGTCCACGTCTTGACAGCCACGGGTATGTTCCTTAGCTGAACATACTGAATATGATGACGACTTTGTCTACATCCACGTTTAGAGTATCATACAGACATTGCGGGCCCCTGCATCATCTTTCTTCACTAAGAGTCTGGAAGCTGCCGCGGAAGGTCAGTCCACTCGCCCCCGAGCCAAGCACGCCAAGAGTGCTCAAATCATCCGAGGCATATTTCGCCAGATCGCGGCTGCCGTTGAGGCAGTGGCCCTTGTGGCCCTTGTGACCCTTACGGCCTTTATGACGACCCTTATGGCCCTCGTGGCCCTCATGGCCCTTGCCCCATTTCCAAGCCTCCCAACCCCAATCGTGCCAGTCATGCCAGTGATCCCAGCCTTCGGGGTGCCAGTGCCAGTCCTGCCAGGAGTTCTCCCAGCCATGCCCAGGCCAGCGGCCGTGGCTCCAGTGCCACGGCCAACTCATGGCACGAGGCAAAGACCCTCCTTTGGTTTAGGGCCTAGGGGTTAGGGTTTTGCGGTTCAGGGTTTTGGGGTTTAGGGGTTAGGGTTTAGGGGTATTAGGGGTTTAGGGGTTGAGGGGGAAGGCTGCAGAAAGAGAACAGCGGAAGCCGCAAGGAACCGTTTGAAAGTAACGCTCCCGAGCTTTTCTGTCTCAAGAGGAAGATGTCTCTCTCGAATCCTCTACATCTACTGTGGGGGCCTTGATGATTAGTATAGGCTTTTGGGGTACATTATACCCTAGGTGTAATCAGGAACCCCCAAGTTCCGCTAGGTAGTAATTGAGGCCCCTACAGCTAGCTTGCCCCAGCAGTAGTCGCAAGTGGTCGATACCTTTCACATGTCTGGACCCCCGACTCCGACATGGTCCGGGCATCTTCCCCTAGGGATCAAAATAGCCCAAAAGCCTTATATAGTATGGTCTTTGGGCCCGAAAGCCTGAATAATATTCACAATGTAGATATATTAGGACCTTAATAGTAGCCCTATTATAGACTCTTACTGTATGGGGTCCGTACTCAAAGTATAGGATTATTAGGTACTTGGACCCTTGGAGTCTCAACAAGCCTGCATGATGCCTTCCACTCTGACATACTGACACTCGCGCTGTAGGCTTGTTAAGCTACACTGCCCTATTGGGGACAAGGCAGGCCCAGCATGTAGCAGAATTGCCCGCCCACAACACAAAAAAAATCCACGGTTTAGGGTTTAGGGTTTAGGGTTTAGGGTGCACAAAAACAGACGGATTACAATGCCAGCAGTGCACGGTCAAACCAGCGACCTGGTTCCGCCAGCCCCGGTAGCAAGCAGCAAAAGTAATTGCCCCGAGCCAGCTCAAGGCAAGTTAAGCCATTATTCCCCGCCAGCTGTTTAAGATATACATACATATATAATCATATATACATCTACGGCATTCTTGAGTCGAGCTCATGCATATCGGTGCACATGCTTAACGTCAAGAACTGGATGCAAGTACCCTAATCGGAGTTGCCTTGCATATAAGCCTACTTGTATCTCGCTGACTACTTGAAGGACCATGGGACTTAGTAATCAGCGTGATTATTTGGGTAACAATACTAATCAGTACTTATAAACACAAGAAAAATATTTATAACCGTACTTACTCAGTCCCATACTCCTCCAGGTAAGTCCCATGAACCTTCGAGTACACACAAGCCTTGATATGCAAATCGCCGGTACCCTCCAAACTCCCTCAACCTCACGAAAAAACCCAAAGAAACGCCACAGAGCTTTTTAATATCCTTCACCCCTAACACTAAACCCCTATAAATCCCAAACCCACAAACCCCTAAACTCCTCAACCCAAAAACCCTAAGACGATCAACCTTGAACCCAGCGATTTCACGGCCTCGGCTGCGGTGGGTCGAGCAGATTTGGCCAGAGCCCCTTGGGGCTCTGCATCTCTCCCATCCTGGGCTTCGGGTCTGAAAAGCAACCATCTACTGCACATGATAATATAAACAAATATGGGTGGTTGTCAATATTATGGTCCCTTTTTGGGTCCTTATTATAGTACGGCACCTATTATTTGGGGTACCCAAAAAGAGCCCTAATTTTGACAACCACCCATCTGAAAACAGGGGTCCGAGGATCTTAGGGTCAGAGGGTGTTGGGGTGTTGGGGCCTCTCTGTCTTGGGGTTTTGGGTCTCTGGTCTTAGGGCTTACTTGAAGGACCATGGGACTTAGTAAGTATGTTTATAAGTACCTTAATTGGGGTTATAAGTAATTACAAGTATAGTTACCTTAATAATAACTCTAGTTACTAAGTCCCATGATCCTTTAAGTATAGGGCCTGGGAACTTTAGGGTTTCTGGTTTGGCGGATTTCGGGGTTGGGCAGGGCTTCGCGCTCACGGAAGGCTGTCAGATCCAGTTAGTACATGAGGAAACCTAAGTACGGTGCCTCTGACACTCAGAAAACCTCATCAACCACTAAAAACGGTGCAACAAAATGCGTAGATCAGTAGATCTATACACACCGATACAAACCGCTCAAAAAGTGCACTGCCAAGCCCATATACAAGTAACCGTGATCTTCAAAAAGCCCCACCAACGCACCCCTCGCTACAAGGCAGTATAAAACCTTCTGGGACCGAAGATTCTGCAACACCTCTGCTTTGCAGTACCTGCCTGAAGCGATGGGTGAGATGGGTTGCTGGTGTGGATGCCATGTGCCAATGCTCAGCAACAGGCAGCAGCTTGCAAGGCTACTCACTACTTGGAGGATCATGGGACTTAGTAACTATGGTTATAAGTCCCTTAATTGGGGTTATAAGTAACTAAAAGTATAAATACCCCAAGAATGACCCTACGTACTAAGTCCCATGATCCTTTAAGCAGCTGCCCCTTCAAAAGGCAGGCTGGAGGCTCACTTGCCAGAATTGCCGACTACAGTGAGTACAGGTTTGTGTCCTGGATAAGGGAGTTTCCGAAAATTAGGGGTACCTTATTTGGGGTAATATGGATCCTACTATTTAGGGTACTATATTAAGGTCCCCTATTTTATAAAGCTTCTGCAAGTAGGGCGGGGTAAGGAACCGTAAGGCAGAGTATAAGTAATCATTCAGGCCCTCAGATTACTCAACTGGCTCTTTGGGACATTTGAGGCGCACCCCCATTTTTCTCCGCTGGGTCCACGAACATCCGTCATAACCAGGCGTTTGCCTGCTAAACTTGGATCGTGGGATCAGGTGTGCCCCGTGAAGTTTGACTGCAGGTGCACGTTTCTTCAAGGATCCCTCCGTGTCAGCAACTCAGGTGGAAACAGTAATAACAAGAAAAACAGCAATAATCATCATCATCATACGATTTCTATAGAGGTTAGATGAATAGCTACTAATACTGCCGCCTTACAGTCCCTCGTATGCTGATAACCTAACATTGCCACTAACAGACAGGTTGAAGGGATCCCTGTCAAGATGCGATGAAAAAGGTTTCTAGGTTCCTGAGTAGCCCCTTAATAATAAGAGTACCCTTTTCCGAATATTCCGCTTTAAAGCCACAATACAAGGGGCAAAGGATACTACTGAGGAACCTAGGTTAAAGATTTTCTGAGAGCCCCTCGCAAAAATCTGGAGACAGCCTCCCGAATCGCCAACTTGCCAGGAACGGCTGCGGTCGAAGAATCCAAGTGCCGCAGAATTCGCTTCGTCTCGCCTTTGTCTTGCTGGGGCGGCCCGCGGCGAGGTTTTTCATGAGATGAACTCTCAGATCTGTGCATGACTAAAGAGGTTGTAGCCTCTGCAAGCGCCATGGCCCACAGGAGGGATGATGTAATAGGGTCGTATCCCATATACATCCCTTTATAACGCATCCCGATAAGGTAGGGATATCCCTGGCTTCCCAATTGGAGGCTTGCTGCAAGGATGAGACATGGGTGGTTGTCAAAATTATGGTCCCTGCTGGGTCCCTATGATAATACGGCAACCCCAAAAATTTACGGTACCCCCAAAGGGACCATAATTTTGACAACCACCCATGTAACAACAAGGGTCCGAGGGTCTTAGGGTCAGAGGGTGCTGGGGTTTTGGGGCCTCGTCTCTGGTCATGGGGCCTTGGGCCTGGGTACTTTACTTGGAGGACTATGGGACATAGTAAGTAAGGTTACAAGTACCTTACAGTAATTGGGGTTATAAGTAGTTATAAGTATAGTTGCCTTAGTAATAACCCTAGTTACCAAGTCCCATGACCCTTTAAGTAGACCCTAAACCCTCCTTATAGGAGCCCTATAGATCAGTGTAATGTTTGATGCAAAGATGAAACATCTCTCAAGGGCTATGGCGCATCGGCACTCGGAGGGCTCGTCACGTCAGACCTGTGGGGTCTGCACTGCGTCTGCCTTCCTTGGCTCAGAGAGCTGTCGGATATGGGGATTAACAGATACCCTAAGCCCTAACCTCCCTAATAAACTCCCTAAATCCTAAACTCCCTAAATCCGAAACTCCCTAAATCCAAAACTCCCTTAACCCAAACCCTAATTAATTGGGCCGAGCAGAAACACCCAAAATTCCCTAAAAAACCCTAAGCCCAAACTCCGAGGTCTGCCCCTAAACTCCCAAACTCTCCACTGGTGGGTACTAAGGTTTTGTCGAGAGGTGGGCTGCGGAGTCTAAGTAACCCAGAGTCCTTTAAGGGTTCTATAGGGTTTCGGGAACAAGGGTTCTATAGGGGTTGGGGTAAGGCTCCACATCACCACTGTGGAGTTGGGTCCCAAAAGACCATCCTTATTATAGTTCTAGGGCCCGAACTCCATAATGGTAGTATATGAAGACCCTCGGGGTAAACCAGCATATACCGCTATATGCCCCTATGTAAGCGTACAAGGAGAGTCCTGGATGATTGCATATAACATGCACTCTCTCCCTCCCTCTCTCTCTCTCTCTCTCTCTCTCTATATATATATATACATATACTCTTCACATAATCGCTTATCGATTGTGTATGATTTGGCACCATGACTCTCGAACACGCAGTATCATACCCAGGATATACACTCTCGATGATTCCCGAATGGGATCTTTCCAAGGCTCTGATGCGCTGCGGGCTTACATTGCCGGACTCCGGCAGCGTCGGCAACGAAGAGGACGCTGCCCAGCACGAAACCTTCCATGAGCTTCTGAAGGGATTGCTAAACGGGGAATCCCTAAAAGATTTCCTTAAGGAGGGTCGTAACCTTCTCTGGGCCTCTACAGAAGAGGGATTCCTAAGGGGGTGCCTCAAAATGCTACAGGAGGATTTCCTGTCAGATTTCTTTTAAGGTTTCTATAATGCTATAAGTGCCGTTGTGCTAGATTTCTCGCTAGGCCTCTGCAGGATGTGGCACAACTCAGGAAACTATGCAGGAAATACTAGCATCTTCTGGCATCCTAACGCCCACTCGTTCAACCTCGTGTCAGATCCCTATACGGGAGTTTCCGAAAATGGGGGATCCTAATATAGTTCCCTAAATAGTAGGATCCTTATTATAAGGACCCCCAAATTAGGTACCCCTAAATTTCGGAAACTCCCATATACTTGCTTGTGTGGTCGGAAAAACAGGTACCGGAGTTCTGATCTGAGCTGTCCGATGAGGTGCTTGTCATCCAAGGCCCACAACGACATGTGGGAGTTTCCGAAAATCAGGGGTACCTTACTTTGGGGTCCTTATAATAAGGATCCTACTAGTTAGGGTCCTAAATTAGGGTCATCTATTTTTGGAAACTCCCACATGTGTCTTTGTTCTATGGATGACCCAATCACACACGAACCCAATTCACGTAGTTACTGCCAACTAGAGTCTACACCTCAAAATACTGCACCCCTCCCACATAGACATAAACCCTTCCTGAAAAATCGACAGCGCCCTATCAACCCCGATATATCCCTCAAAGTCAGAACACAGCCTTCCTGACTCCTACCCTTGTTTAGCTCCCTAATGTTTTAGCAAGAAGCAGAAATTTCCTGCATGCCCCAGGTTGGCGTACTCGGTCACCAGGGAAGCGAGCGTGTAGAAAACCTCGCGGTGCATAGCCACGAGTGAAGAGAAGCTCGTGAGAAACTAATGACAATAACTTTGATGAAGGCGACAACAGTACTGGTAGCAATCGTTCCAGTGTTCATACTAGTGAGCCGAGATAAACCTTGACCTATCAATATCTTGAGTAACCTCATGGAAGTAGCTTAGTATTCACACTGAAAGTTGACTAAATAATAGCCTTGACAACGTTTGATTGCAGATCTCTCGCGATGCCGATCACACGCTTCACCGAACCCACTGAGCAACAAAAGATGCACACTCATGAATTGGGAGAGCAAGAAACGCTTCCTATCAGATACAGCACGCTCCCGACAAGGTAGTAGTTGTGGACGGCCGACCCGGCACATCTGTGCCCAGGTGCCGATGCTGCCATGGTCTTACAGTTGCTGCTGTCTAGAAGAAACCAGATATGGCCCTGTCTGAAATACTTGCGTCAAGGCTCATAGCACCTTCTCTTCTGATTGCTGTCATAGCATATGTCGTGCTCTAGGCCTATATTCGTCTCAACCCAGAGCCTGTCCATTACCGATTGCATGTGCTGGGATATTTGAGGCCTGAACGGCTGCGAGTAGGAGCTGAGCGAGACTACTGCATGGGGCAGTGTCAATACGAGTTCCTGGTACTTGAGCAGGCAGCTCTTCAACCCTAAACCCTAAACCTCGCTACACCGGCATCAGCTTGAAGCATCAAGCTCTGCGATGCTCTCGATGAGCTTAAAGGTCCAGGTCGTCACGGTCTCTTGTCACAACAAAGCCTGTGCTTTCAGGGACCTGATGAGTCGGTACTTAAGGGGTCTAGGGCCCTCACCATAAGGTCCTTGGAACCATCTGGAAACAGCTGAGAAAATCTTTGGCTTTCGAAACCACACATTCGGTGGTTTCCGACAATGGGGGACCCCAATATAGCTCCCTAAACGAAATAGGATCCTTGTTTTGAGGACCCCAAAATGAGGTAATTCCCCCGAATTTTCGGAAACTGCCATTTCTTCACGTGCCAGGCGTCTCTTCCGCCTGGAGTTTGCCAGCAGAGGAAGGCCTCCCACGGGAACGCCCCGATACGCTCCATGGTGACGGGCAGCCTTGTCCGTGCTCTTGTTAACGGGTTTAGCTGAAGTTACCATAATAGGTATCTACAGTAAATATGGCTTCTTTATGATGGTAACTTAAAACTAAACCCCTTAACAAAGAAACCAGGTGTTTGAAGGCGGCATGATGCAGGCATGCTGCCTTGTGTTGTTGGGATCTGCTTTAACAGCGTTCCTCTGCATGATGCAGCACTCAGTGCCCAAGACCTTCTTTACATTCATAGCCATATGTGCGTGGGCGTGTCACCTAGTCCCGTAGAGGGACCTTGGCACACGATTTCTCTTCGCTTCAGAGAATGTGTCGAGTCTCAAGATGCTTCTCGACAGCTCTTGGAAGCTGTCTTTGTCACTTGCCACTCGGCTGAAACATCGACATGGGTCTGACGACACGCCGGGCAAAGATGCAGCCAAAGCCAAACGTTGTCAGAACGCACAAAACCCAGAAGCCCTAACCCCTTCCAATTCAACCAGAATCACCATTTGCTGGGTTCCTGGACTTTAAGGAACAAGTGCCCAAAAAAAGTATTCAAGTATGGTACCTTAAACCCTAAACCCTGAACTCCAAACCCAGGGTTCCCGTCTTGCCAGATCACGGGAAGTTGCGACAACCGTAGTCATCAGAGAAGGGGCCCCTAGCCCCTGTACTTAAAGGATCATGGGACTTAGTAACTTGGGTTATTATCCGGGTAACTATACTCATATTTACTTATAACCCCAATTAAGGTACTTATAACCAGTTATAACCATACTTACTAAGCCCCATGATCCTCCAAGTAGGCAAGGAGCCTTTATGGTAAGACCTGGTGGCTTGTGACTTCTGTCAGGGTTTAGGAAACAAGGTCCATGAGTTTTGGGTTAAGGCCTAAGCCCTTTACCCCAAACTCTAAATTCTAAACCCTCGTATCCTTTTGCCCTAAACCCCTATATTCTGGACATTTGCATGTTTGGGGCTTGCGGTGAAGTTCTTGATGTCCCTCGGCCTCTGAGCAAGCTGCTTTCCGACGCCACCACAGGGCCGCAACAATTGGGATGAAGTGTCGGAGTGTATACACTTTATCTCTCTCTCTCTCTCACTCTCCCTGTCTCCTTCAGTACATGCATAAAACTGTACAAAGAAATAAATAGACAGATACATAGATCGTTTTGCCCCTTCTTAGTCCCAGCCCTACATCACCTGTTCTACCGAGCTTAGGCCCTGACCTGCAGCATCGTCCGCTGCCGCCTGACCAGTGGCTCAAGCAACAGTAAAACAAGTACTAGAGGGGCCTAAATAATTACCAATACTATTTTGGAGATTCAATGTTCTAGTTACAGTATAGTGGGCCCCCAAACCCTATTCTAATTATTAAGGCCCCTATATTACCACAAGATACCACATCATGTAGTCTCTACTACGATGCTCTTATGTACGATAATGATCAGTAATGCAGAACACTATCAGACGATACATGTAGACGTGCTGTGGCATACTGTCGAATGAGTTGAGACCCTAAACCAAGATCCTAAAGCCCAAAACTGAAGCCTCAGAACCCTTAAACTCTCAAACCCCCGATTGACGGATCATGAGACTTAGTAACTTTGGTTTTAAGTGCCTTAATTGGGGTTGTAAGCAATTATAATTCGCCTCGGCCCCGGCCGAAGCGGTCAGAGGTTCCTATTCGGATTCCCTCTATTCCCCACCTTTAATCCCCTCCCCACTAACCCCAACCCCGAAAAGTGGCCACCCCCCCCCCCCCCCCCACCCCCCGTTAAAAATGGAAACGTGTCTAGTAGGCCCAAGGTCCGGCAGCGAATTCTCGCCTTTTCCAACAGATTTTGGCTCTCTGTACGCAGTTCCACCCAATTTTTCGTTCCCTGCCCACCTTTCCCCGCTCCCCCCGCCCACTCCCCCCCCCCCCTCCCCTCTTCCCTCCCGCCCCTCCTCCGCTCGCTGACAGGTGCGAGCTCTCTGGAGTTTTCGACGACACGGGACTGCAATGCAGCATGTTTATCTCTTGGGGCGCGCCTTTAAGGCTGCAGTACCAAGGGAGTTTCAAACCTGAACTCCTAACCCTACACCCTAACCCCAGCCTGAAAAATTGGGGCTCGCTTGTAAGGCTGCAGTACCAAGGGAGTTTCAAACCTGAATTCCTAACCCTACAGCCTAACCCCAGCCTGAAAAACTTTCAAAGCCCGGAAAACACCTGCACCCGAAAGCACGACGCCCCCCTCCCCCGCCCCTGCCCCCTGCTTCGTGTTGCCATGAACATTACTTTTACTATAAGTGCGATTCCAACTGTTACTTTTTTCCTACAAGAGCTTGCTGCAGATAGTAGCCACTCGCCGCATGCGCGTACAGCCGGGCCGAGGCGGACGACGCGCAGCTTCTCAAATCAAACATAATTATCCTAATATTCCCTGTATAATTGCTACAACATCAAGAACCCTGCCTCCGGTGTCAGGTCCTCTGGCAGCACCACGGCCGGCGGCGCATGCGCCCGGGCCCGCATCTCAAAAAAGAGAAGGAGGGACCCTTAATAAGGACTCCTAGGTATATACCCTTAATATAGCTATTATATACCCATTATATAGCCCATTATAGGGACCCAGGGGTCCCCATTAAGGGTCCCTCCTTTTCCCCTTTGAGCATCCCCATAAAGGGGAACCGAAGCTAAGAGCTGCCGGCTACGAGCCCAAAGAGGGGCGAAAGCTTCCACGTTGCTTTTAAGTTAATATCGGGGCCTTAATAATTGGAATAGGGTTTGGGGGTATTTTAGGCGGTAAACTATAATAGGAACCACCCCCCCTCCCAAGAAGAAAACAAAGTCCTGTATATCTATTTAGGCTCCTAGAGTAGGGTGTGCAGTGACATGTCAGCCTCGCAGTATGCGGTGACAATGCTGACTCCGAAGCCCCCTGCCCTGTGGTGCAGCATCTTTCCACGTCGCGATAGCTCTTCCACCATGCTCATGCCTAGGTGGCCATGCAGCTCAAAGAGCAGGCGGCCCACATCCAGCGCCTCGGGTGCACGTTTGCATGCTTCAGGTTCTAGAAGTGATTGGGCTTGCCGCTGCTGCTGGATGTAGTGGTGGCAGTGTAAAGGGGAAGCCTTTCCAGCTTGTCGGGGTTCGTGGCAAGTATCGACGAACCGATGCATGCAAGAAAACCAAAAAACAAGGATCCCATGCTACAGAAAGAGCGAGACCGCTGATAAATCGAGCAAGAAGAGCCTGAAAACACTGCTCTGCAGCTTTCAAGCTAAACAGTATGCAGCTCGTGGACGGCCAGTTTGATTGTTCTGAACGCTCTGCTTTCAATGCTGCTATAACATGCGGTTCCTGCTACTTACTATGTCGTTTCGAGTGCTGCTGGCATGGCTGACTATGGTCCGTGCACGCGCTACTCTCGCCACTATCCTGACATTCCGATCCTTGCGCCTTGCCCCAAGCCGGAACCCCAAAAGCACCACAAGCTTAGCACAGCATGGAATTCAAAGTCTTGCCTAATCGCGACACATAGCCTCTGACATCTGTGCACTAAGCACTACAGTCTTCCGGTCACGCCATAAGTCAAAACCCAGTATATGTAAGGTCAAAAAGCGCAAGAACTTAAAGATTACCTGCACTTGTCCACAAAGTTCCTGACTACTTACTATTATGTGTGTCCCCCTTGCCGCCCTTAAACCATAAACCTTGCGTACTGCCGCCACTCTGTAACCGTTGGAGAATACTTACACTATACTTATTATATATAGCTCTTATCATGACTCCGAATATAGACTGTTACAGGGTGGGGGAGTATCCAACCTAAACCCTCAACCCTATAAACCCCCAAACCCCTAATAGAACCCTTAAAGATCCCGTTTCAAAACGCTTACTACGCATAGATTAGTTGCTAAGTCCCATGATCCTCCAAGCACTCTCTTGGGAGGCAACCTGGGAGTTTCCGAAAAGTAGGGGTACCTTATTTTGGGGTCCTTGTAATCAGGATCCTACGATATCAGGGTACGATATTAGGGTCCCCTATTATCGGAAACTCCCATGGTTCTAAACCCTAGACCCTTTGTAGAACCCTTATAGATCCCTTAACGGAGCCCTTAAAGGGTCCCCTATTTTCGAAAACTCCCGCCTCTAGGCGGGGCTGCTGAAGCGATTGAAAAATATTCGTAAGTAAGATCCTCTTAAGCCCAATAAGGGAAAATGTAAAATGCCCCAAAGCCCTATCCAGGCCTGCACTCCCCGGCAGGCGATGTCGGCAACCAGTGCCTTCCCCTGCGGGCCCCAGGACACGGCGACGACCTCAGCCGGGGGCCCGCGCTTTGAAGCACCGGGATCTTTGGGTGTAGGGTTTAGGGTTTAGGGTTTAGGGTTTAGGGTTTAGGGTTTAGGGTTTAGGGTTTAGGGTTTAGGGTTTAGGGGGAACACCACCCCAGATACATGCTATACAACTACTCTATGCTCTTATACCACGGGGCTTTCAAGGGAATTGTTTTCGGGTCTAGAGCTTGTTGGTTTAGGGGCATTTAGCTTTTACGGTTTTGGGTGTAGCCTGTAGGGTTTGAGGGTTTAGGGACTAGATGAAGGAGTAGAAGAACAAGCATGTAGGTTACAATACAGTTGCGGCAAATAGGAGCCTGATTGGAGATATCCTACTCCGGGCATGAGAATGTCAGAGCATAATGACACAAGATATAGGGATTACGAGACCACAATACCGTTCCAGTCGTATGGCATACCGCGATAACGTTGACCCCGAAAACAATGATAGTACTAAGGGCTACATGTACGATCAATAGTTTCTTGAAGTGGCTTAAGGGTCCGAGGTCTGCAAGTGTGCGATTCAAGTGGGTTTGTGGAGGTGCAATCCTGCCGGCTCTTATCACGGTGGATTTGCCCTGAAAACTCACGAGGAAACTGCCGCAAGACCCCGAAAGCTCATTAACACCACCAGCAGCTCGAAGATTGCATCACGGCCCTTCTTCAGCCATCGGAGCTAGGCACGCTCGCATCCCTTCTCCGCTTCATCGACCGGCTGCGCAGAAGGCGGGCAAACTCCACATGGCCGAGACTTTTGGCCCAGGTCAAAGGTGTTCGACCACTCTTGTCCACGATGGTGTCATCGGCACCGGCATCTAGCAGCAGATGGGCCAAGGGCAAACGGCCGTTAGAAGATGCCCACGCGAGTGGTGTCTTGCCGAGCTTGTCCGCCTTGTCTTTGTCGGCGCCGGCCTGGAGCAGCAACTGCGCAGCTTCTAAACAGCCGGCAGATGAAGCCCAGGAAAGTGGCGTCCTGCCCAGGTCGTCAGCTCTATCTTTGTCGGCGCCAGCCTGCAACAGCAAGCGAACAACATCCACGCGGAAGAGCGCGCAAGCCCATGTCAACGGGGTTTTGCCATCATTGTCCACCCGCTCCATCGCAGCACCCGCTTCCAGCAGAAGGCGAACGATTTGCATACGGCCTTGTTTGCAGACGCAGGAGAAAGGGGTCTCACCCTCGTGGTCCACCGTGTCTTTCTTGGCACCAGCATCCAACAAGAGCCGGACTACTTCCAAGCGGTCCTGACTGCAAGCCAGCGCCAAGGGAGAGGTCCCGAAAACATCGGCCCTATCTCTGTCGGCGCCTGCCTCCAGCAAGCGGTGGACAACTTCCACATGACCCTCAACACAAGCCAAAGCCAGCGGCGTCCGGCCATGATCGTCGGAATGCTCCAGCTCTGCCCTTCCTTCGAGCAACATGCACACCACATCGAGGCTTCCTCCGACGCAGGCCCAGGAGATGGCGGCCCGGCCTTTGTTGTCGGTCCTCTGCATTGCAGCGCCCGCCTCCAGCAACAAGATCGCAACATCCACGTGGCCCTGGTAACAGGCCCAAGCCAAAGGCGTGGTGCCTTCGATGCCACGGGCCGCAAGGGCAGCAGGGGCCACGCGACAACTGTCTGGATGCAAGGGTCGCTGGAGGAGGCTTTCCAACTTCTCCACATCGTTGTCCTGAGCAGCAGTCATGAGCTCCGCCTCTTCAGCGTCGGATTCAGAAGCACGATAGCTCAAGAGCACAAGCTGGATCTGCGCAGCTGCTTCCAGCTTAGCCTCATCGGTTAAGACAGTACCATCTTCCAGTAGCAGTCGCTGCTTAAACCGTGGCTCCCCGCACACGCTCTGCAAGTGTCGCTTGAATGCACGGACAGGGTGTTCCACACCGTTGAACTTAACATTGAACTCCTCAACTGGAATTGCCAAGGTTTCGTCGCCCGAAACCTTCAGGACCCGCAGCATCTGGATCCTCTTCCTCCATGCACAGACCCTTTAAAGTCTTAAAGCTAGCTGGGATACCAGTAGCCCTCAGAAGTCGCCCTAAGTCATACGCCAGAGGATGGCATGTCTAAGCTGGCAGATCTTGGCTTTCGTGTACCCTACATGCTCGGCTTAGGTATGGGTTTAGGGTTTAGGGTTATATGCGAAGCCTGTAGCAGGATGAAGCCAACAAAAAGCGGAGGCATCACACTGATCAACCAGGCTCACCGCAACTCGGAATCTTCAGATTGAGCTTGTGCTGACAAGCGGCATCAACGTCGGATTCATCCACGATCGCTCCTGAGCGTCTGGAGGAGATGGTGGCACTGCACTTTGCGCCGTTTCTGCCCAGAAGATGGGCTTGGCAGGCTATCCGGAACAGTCAAGGTCTATTCCTTCGTGAAGGGTATTGCTCTGTCTGGGCCTTGTTGGTGGGGCCTAGGGCTTTGAGGCTTAGAAGGCGACCTGACGACCTCACAGGCGAGAGCTTTCAGAATCGGTTCCTGGCCATTTAAAAAAACAGTCTCCGAAAATGAAGGTTACCTTATTGGGGGGATCCTTGGAATAAGGATCCTACCATAGAGGGTGCTATATCAGGGTCCCCTAGTTTCGGAAACCCCAAAAAGGGGTCCAAGTGCAGAGATGGTTAGTGCAGGTCTTCATCCCCACAACCACCACATAGGGCTCAGCTGAATACTTGGGCCCTGGTTTGCAAGCCTAAACAACAAACCCTAAACCCTAAACCCCTAAACCCCTAAACCCTAAACCCCTAAACCCCTGACCCTCAACCCTCGACCCCGAAACGCTAAATACGCTGGCCAAACCTTCTATACCGACATGCTGGGCTTCTGGCGAATACTTTCCAGCACATGCAGCCAGCGCACCTCAGGTGAGCTCTTGTTACGAGGCTGCGTGTGAGCTATCAATAGACGCAGGAAAACATGTATTCCAAAAACAGTATATATGTACATCCACGTTAAACTGACTTAATAGGTTCCCTAACCTGCATACCGTTATACCAGTAACCCTGAAGCCCGAGATTCAACCCCAAGCACCAAAAGCGGCTCGAGATACGCTCTCGAGCAAACACCTAGACAGGGCTCGAAGCGAGCCTGGAACCCCCGGATCCCTCGAGTTTTAGGGTTTTTGGCTTGATTTTAGTTTGGTTTCGGGGTAAGATCCATAGTGGTTCCTTTTGTTGGTTCGTCCTTACAATCCTATAAGGTAATCCCAAAAAGGAACTACTATGGAGCCTCTTCTGCCTGGAACCCTATAAGCCCCAAAAGGGGATCGAGGCGCCGTGGAGCCCAGCGTGAGGCTGTTGCGGCGCAAGAGCCGAACGCTTCGTGCACTGCTGAAGGGAGAGAGGCGCCGGGTCGCCACCTGAAGCCAGGGGCACGGCCTAGAGTTTACCCATAGGCTCCATAGTAGTTCCTTTTTGCGATTACCCTATAGGATTACATATGAACCCCCAAAAGGAAATACTATGGGGCCTTAGGGTAGAGCTTAGGTCTTAGGGTTCAGGATTTAAGGTTTAGAAGGTTAGGGTTTTAGGGACTTTCGGGTTCATGGTGTTAGGCTTCTTTCGGCCTTTAATCCTTAAAGGGGGAGCATCTAAAGCGCTGCTGTGACGGTTTCGTTGGGGGCTTCAGGGTTTTCGGAAGTTGGGGCGGGTAAGAGGGGCAGATGCCAGGCTGCCACTGGAGCCCTTACAGATTCATTTAAAGGAGCCCTTATAGATCCCTTTGAAGGAGCCCTAAACCCTAAACCACTAAACGCCCTTAACTTAAGCCAAAGCCCCACACCCTTAATGAATCCCCTGCTCTCTCTATCAATTTATACGGGATCATAAGACAGACTTCCTTCCAGGGGTCTTTTCGGGTCGTTCTCAGATACCCTGTTTCGGCCTCGACACGAGGGCTTGTTACCGCAGCGGCTGAAGAAAGATCATGAGCCGGCATCACTACTTAAAGGATCATGGGACTTAGTAACTAGAGTTATTATTAAGGTAACTATACTTGTAATTACTTATAACCCCAATTAAGGTACTTATAACCATACTTACTAAGTCCCATGGTCCTTCAAGTAGCCAGCCCCTCTCTACACCATAACATCCTACTGGAGTCTCCGTTCTTTCAATCGGTCTTACACTATTACAGTCCTACTCAACAGAGATACCAAGCTTTAGCTTGGTTGAAACAAGCGGAAGCGACGAATATTGCAACAACTCACTGGCCCAAAACCCAAGGAAATAAAGGTTGAAACTTTCAGAATCGACCACCTTACAAGAATCCCAACAGTTGAAAATTTGAGTTTACAGCCAATAAGACAACAACAGCATGCAGACGCAAGATGGCCCCCCTTTCTGTACTTAAACCGTAAAGACTCTCAATCATTGTTCTTTTGTTGCTACGGCTACTGGTACAACTTCTACTATCACAGCACTACGAACATCCCTAAACCCTAAACCGTCTGCCTCACGCATCATCTCGTAGGACACCTGCGCAGCGCGGACCTGGCAGTGCAATGAACAAAGACTCTTCTGATATGGGAGCTTCCGAAAATAGGGGACCCTAGTAATAGTAGGATACTTATTATAAGGACCCCCAAATATGGCACCCCTTGTTTTCGGAAACTCCCATATGCACGCCCCGTCATGAATTAGCTAATGCATGTTTCTGAAAATATAGGTTTAGGGGGTGATATGAACCTTTAGGCTTGTCGGGGTACTTGACATCAACATGCATACTTCCGAAAGGTCCCTAGTAGCGGGGCCTTCACCCTTATCACTTGAAAACACCACTTGATGAAAGAAGGGGGGTATAGTATATAGGCTCTATGATGTTGCTGGTAAGGCTACGGCTAGAGCTTGTGAACCCCTGATCAGGGTAGTGTACGCAGAATCGGACTGCTAACCTACTTGGTATGTGCACGATCTATGAAGCAGTGCCTGGCCTAAACGCTCTCAGAGACTCAAACATCGATTATCCGACCTCGCAAGAAGGACTCCTAGCCACCAACCCAACCAACACTGCCTGAACAGCCCAGTTGAGCAGTCGGTAATTCCTTCGTCCGCTATAGGGACACTCTACAGTGCATAACCCTGATAAACTCTGCTGAAAGGAACACTTTGTTGTAGTAACCCTACCCAGGGGCCGGGAATGTTGCATCCGGCGACTTCGCAGAGAACATGACTCCTGAGGGCAAATGTAGAGTTTAGTGGCTTCGCGCTTCGGGTCTAGGATTTGGTGGTCTCGGGAATAGTTGCGCAGTAGCTTGGCATTATGATCGTGGTCTAACTGCTTTGGAGTTCAGGTTGTCGTGTTTATGAGAAGCCGTGACTCTGCATTGTGGCTTTTGACACTGGCTGTGATGACTCAGGTCGGCTAAGAGACTGTGTAGGCCCCAGTATAAACCCTGAGTAGCAGGATACCCGATGAAAAGGACGCCTGAACCAGGGTCTAAGAAAGTCTTATTAGAGACTCGCTGGTTCAAGGACACTCGCAACAAAGAAGGAGCTGGCAATTGGCATACATCTCCCCGGCATGAACCCTGCAAAGCATTGCGAGCCTTTTTCGGGGCTTGCAAGTTTCACGGGCGATATGACTGATCAACAAGATCCTGCAACAATCTCATACATAATCTGAGTAAGCCAAGCAATAAACCACGGTTTTTGCCATCAGCAGGAGGACGCCTTCAACCCATAAACTATCCCGATTCAGGCTGCGTTAGATCCTGGAGATACCCGAACGGCAAAATACGGTGGTTCCATAAGGGCTCATGATGCTAGTCTACTTGTATTCTTTGTATTCTGATTACCACCAGCCTTATCAAATAGATTCTCCCCGTTCTCGCCTCCCCCCTCACCCCCCCAAATGCCAGGCAAAGCTTCCCGAAGCATGACCCTCTGTTGCCAGCTGAGCAAAGGGATGCCCAATCAGCAGCACGGACCTTCTCAGAAGAATCGGAAAGGTTTAGAGTTTAAGGGGCAGTTGTAGACGATCACCCCTTCAGGTTTTAGGGTTTAGGGTTTAGGGTTCCTAAACCCTAAACCTTAAACCCTAAACCCTTTTGGGTGAAGGGTGGAGGAGTTGTCTCTGCCGCCTCAGTGTCTAGGGGCCCAGGGGTGAAGAGCGTCGGAGCAAGGCGAACTTCTGAGCTTCGGGGGCTGCCGAACCTCGACAACCCCCTGGACCCCAAATAGCCTACCTGTTAACGGACCCAGAAACGGAAATCATAATGGGGATCCCTGAAAAGGAAGGTTTTATAGGGTCCAACCCTGCCTTGAGGTGGAGTGTTCATGTCAAGGGCTTTGGGGATTAAGGACCTCTAAATCCCTAAACTCCCAAACCCCTGATCAAGCACTATGAAGGGGGCTCCGAAAGTCTGTCCAGCAGGAGGTGATACCTACACCCTAAACCCTGAACAAACCCTGGGGCACCAACTCCAGTGTAATTCAGGGGCCTCCATTCGCAGTAGTATCTGTGATGAGGTATTCCCCCAATTTTGCCCCTCAATCCGGCCCTTCATTTGAACGGACCTTCGGGAAACCCTAGACCCTGTGCCGAGCAGCTTGTTGTTGAAGACCTGGTCGGAGGTTCGAGGTGCCAGGGTGGGGGATGTTTGATGATGTTTCTCACTTTTGGTTAGCAGGGAATGGAACAATGGTAGTAATAGTAGTTATAGTTATAATTGTAACCCATTCCTCCATTCCCTACTAACCAAAGGTAAGGTTTGGGTCTTTGTGGCTAGTTTTCAGCCTCGCGGGTACAGGAGTTCTCTACGTTGTTCTTCCAGACATCTCCCACTGAAGGTTTCGGACTATATGGGAGTTTCCGAAAATGGGGGACCCTGATGTAGTACCCCAAATAGTAGGATCCTTATATTACGGACCCCCCAATAAGGGACCCTCGCAACTCCCATGCCCATGGTAAAGTTTCGGAGCTCGTGGCTTTAGCCAGGTACAATCCTCCATCCCTTCCCCTGCCTGCTCCCAGCCTTGAATGAAGTCCGGCTGCCGGCTTTCGTCTGGTGGCCTGCTGTGCAGTGAGGGTGCAGCTAGAATTATGATTATGATTATGCTTTCATTACGACTATGACCTACAATATTAGCATCATTGTTGTTGTTATGCTTCCTACTACTACTACTACTACTACTACGACGACGACTACGACTACTACTACTACTACTACTACTACTACTACTACTACTACTACGACTACGACTACGACTACGACTACGACGACTACGACTACTACTACTACTACTACTACGACTACTACTACTACTACCACCACTACTACCACTACTACCACTACTACTACGACCACTACTGTTTACGACGACTACTACTACTACTACTACTACTACTACTACTACGACTACGATGACGACTGTTATTGCTATTCGAATTAGTGTTGCAACTACAAAGTGTTCGAGAAATTGAGCCTGCTCCAGTCGTACAGCTGAGGAGTTCGATGTATACGAATCTCTCTCTCTCTCTCTCTCTCTCTCTCTCTCTCCCTCTCTCTCTCAACCTCTCTGTCTTTGTCGGGTTCTTGAACCTTCAACCCTAAATTCCTACAACTACTTTCCTAAACCCTATGTAAATCTGAACCCTAAACCCTATCGTAACCCTCAAAATACCAAATCCTAAACCCTGGACCTGAAACCCTGACGCCACAGCCCGAGTCGAGCAGCTTGTAGTTGACCCACATGTTTCCGTAGAGGCCGGGAGGAAAGAAACGGAAGGGCACTTCCCGGAACCAGGGAGTCGTCTTCCTGGGGAGACTTGGGGGTCCCGCGTTGATGGTTTAGGTATTAGTGCCATTCTTTTTAGGGCTTAGGGCCCTTTGAAGGGTTCTGTAAAGGTTCCTGCAATCTGTCAGGTAAAGGTTCTGGGGTTTGGAGTCTTGGTAAGTAGGGTTGTGAGCAAGCAGTAAGATGTGCAGGCATGGGGCTACAGTGTGGGAAGCTATGTCAGTCTATCTGCATAACTATCTTGGCCTACCGAACCCTGCTTTTTTCGTAGGTTCTTAGCATGCACCCTAATATGGAATTCAAATGGACTCTACGAAGAGCCTACTTCTGATCCGACTTGCTCTTCTCCGTTGTCGCACTTGGGAGGGGAAGATTATACTATAATCAGAATGAGGCCTATTGAAAGTCGGTTGGGATTTAGGGTTTAGGGCCGGTTAGGAACCCCCAAAATAGTATTGATAATTCTTGAGGCCCCCATATCATTAGAAGCCATGCATCCACCACTCGAAGTGCGTGCTGTCGGGGAAACCGCTGGAGCCGAGAACGTCCACCATGGCAACCTGTTCTGTCTGGTTAGTAGGGAATATAGGTTCCTTTAAGGGTTCCTATAAGGGTTGCTATAAGGGCTATACTAGAGGGGTTTAGGGGTTCCTTTAGAGGGAACTAAAAGGCTTAAAGGGTTCTATAAGGGCTCCTGGGGGAATGGCTTATACGGAGTACTATAAGGGACCATAACGGACTATCATAGGCATCCATTCCCCACTATTACCTACTAAGGACAAGACAGTGTTTCCAGGCAAACCGCCGAAATCCAGAGACCATCGAAACTAACGAAGGAGCACTAATAATAGTTAGACTAGAGTTTGGGGGTATATTATGCTATCATTACCAAAAGAGACCCCCAAAATAGTATAGGTAATTATTAAGGCCCCCACCCATATTACAGCCTTCTGCTCGGTACCCGCAGAATCCTCCGAACAGCCGTGACGTTCGATGCGAACCGCCTCACTGGAAACAAGAACCGATACTTTTATGTGGGTGGTTGTCAAAGTTATGGTCCCTTTTGGGATCCCTATGATAATACGGCACCTATGATCCAGGGTACCCAAGAAAGGGACCATCATTTTGACAACTACCCACTACTTGGAGGGGCAGGGGACTTAGTAAGTAGGTTAGAAGTAGACTTGTAAGTACCCTAAATGGAGTTTCCCCAATTATAACCCTACTTATCACCCTACTTACTAAGCCCCCTGCCCCTCCAAGTATCCACTAAGATGAACACGCCTCCTTATACTGAACTTAGAACCCTAGCAAAAATGTAATTTTAGCTGTTTCTTAGGGATTATAATAACGAAAAACTTAAATCTATTTCTAAGTACCCCTAAGCTCCCCCGGGGGGCCTTGAACTGAGGGCAGCCAGTCGATCCCAGCCTTGCCACATAGGTCAAGGACTCCATGAGCAATCCTTGGCTAAGGCTTTACGTTTGGTAACTGTAGGGTTCCTTAAAGGGCCCCTTAACAAGGATCTTTAGGAGCTCTATAAGGAGGGTTCAGGGTCTATTTAAAGCGTCATGGGACTTAGTAACTAGGGTTTTTATTGGGGTAATCATACTTATACATATTTACTTATAGCCCCAATTAAGGGAACTATAACCATAGTTACTAAGTCCCATGATCCTCCAAGTAGGTAATTCAGTGCTCTTGCAAAGTTCCGTGCACTCACGAGGCAAGATGCATTGACAGAGCCCTGCACAGCAGGGAACCCTTGCCAGTTCCGCGCCCTAAACCCTAAACCCTAAAACCTAAACCCTAAACCCTTAAACCGTTCTGTTTAGGGTTGCATCGAAGTTGGACACTTCAGGTCCCCAGACCCCCTTTGGAGGATCCAAAAAGTAGATCCCCGTAATGGGGGTTCCTAGACCTACTTGTCGGGTATCGTGGGGAACTAAAGAATAACCTTTTGGGCGCAACCATATATAGGGATTATATAGGGACTATCCTACCCGAAAAAGATTACAGGTTCCCTACTCTCCTACTAGGTATAAAGTACCCTTAGTAGGATAGGGCACCAATTTAGGGGATCTACTTTCTAGATCCTTCCGGCTAACATGCTCGAGCAACAGATAACCCGGCTCTCAAAATCTGTCGTGTCTCTTGGCGACAGTCACTCTTTTCGAGTTTACGCGGGTTTTCCCCTTTGGGGTCTCATGAAACAGGATATCACTTTTCCTCTTTCTTGTCGTATGCTTTATATGTCCCGTGTTCTCTGAAACTCCACCAAAACAATCCCAAATCTGACACCTGAGTTATGCTGGCCGCGCCCCCTGGTCCACGCAGCGCATAGGAACTGACAAATGGCAGCAGCAAGCCCTACACCTCAGCTTTCTCGAGGATGCCCCCCGCCCTTCGTTGAAAGCTCGAGCCAAGGGGCGGTTCCGCTGCATTGGGGCGATGAAGCCGCGGTCCATCGCCCTGGTTTAAGGGCCCGTCTGTTTAAGGGCGAAGTAGGCTTAAACCCTAAGCCCAAAAGATAGGGTTTTAGGGTCCTAAAAATTCCAGAGAGCCCAATACCCCTGAATTAAGGAATATGGCTTAAATTATATAGGGCTTCGTATTATGATATAAGCCATACTCCTTAATTAAGGGGTATTGGGCTCTCTGGGCCTCTGTTCAACGGGCAGTAGGCTTGAACCTTAAGCCAAAAAGATAGGGTTCACCCATAGGCCTCAGGGCACTGAGTAAGTAGGTTATAGGGTCAAAATTGGGGTAACTCCATTTAGGGTACTTTTTAGCTCTACCTATAACCCTACGTGCTAAGTCCCCTGCCCCTCCAAGTACAGAACCCATACTGAAGCCCTGGACAGCCCAATAAAGTATATAAGCCCCCTCATAGTGAAGCCCAATAAAGTAGGGATACTCGGAGGGGCAGGGGGCTTTGGAAGTAGGTTGTAAGTAGAGTTATAATTACCCCAAATGGAGTTACCCCAATCATAACCCTACTTAACACTTACTTAGTCCCCTGCCCCTCCAAGTAGGCCCTAAATCCTAACCCTCATAGATCCCCTTAAGTGACCCAATAGAGCCCGTTAAGGAGCCCCTCCAAGTAGGGATCGGGTCCCTGAAACAGGTCCCAAAGTGCCAGTACTCGCCATCTCCGAAGCGAGCGGTGGAGCCACCGGCCTGAAGCCAACTTCCCAGAAACGCCCAAAAAGCCCCTTAATTAAGGAATTAGGGTTTAGGGTTTCCGGTCGTGAACAAGTAGAATATGTTTTTGGGGGCGGGTTTAGTGTTTACACCCATGAACAAACCGGAATCCAACGGAATTCCCACAGTAGGTGGGCTATTGATCCGGGGTCTACATCTTTCGAGGATGTGCAGTGGTGAAATCGCAACTGGTGCTATTCAGGCGTCGTAATGTTTTGGAATCCATACCCGCACCGTGACACTAAGAGTTGGTTCTCTCAATCGTAACGTCACGTTCCAAGATTTGAAGAAACCTGCGTAAGTAAAGTCAAGAGCTTTCTCCGGCAGTACGCAGCGACGGAGCTTTCCACGACCCTCTTGCACTGTGCGCATGTGGAATCATGTGGATAGTTGTAACCATTACGCTCTTTTTTATCTGCAAGATGGTCCATTGTTTGAGAACAGACAACGATTACGATTGCACTGGAGATTCCCGCAGCGACCGGAGTGTTGGGCAACCAATGACGCCGGACTTCCCACAAACGATGAAGAGATGTATCATAACTTAACGAAAGAACATCCACATTACCACCACTTCAACGTCGCTCATCTAGAAGGCGATCCAGTCTCTTGCGCCCTTCTCCGGCCTTCAGAAAGCTCATGGTCTCCGCCGTGCTCAACACTCGCTGATCTTTGGCCTTGCTGGCTCAGGGCGGTGCAGAACAGCCAGACTGCAGGCCGTCGGAGTCCTAGGCTTCCCAGTAGCCGTAGCCCCTTACTTAGTAAGGGCACCCTTTTTCCTATGCTCCCGCTTTCATAATCGGGGTCCTTACGGGGAAACCTGGAGTCGCTGAAACTGCGAATCCGTGGTCAGACTTACCTTTGGCTAGTAGGGAACGGAAGACCGGTAGTAATATGATAGTTATAATGGTAGTAATAATAGTTATAACGATGGTAGTAATATGATAGTTATATGGTGGTAGTCTGGTAGTAGAATGGTAGGATACTAGTAGTTATAATTGTACCCATTCCTCTATTCCCTACTGACCAAAGGTATGTTATAGGATTCTTAAGGCCCCTATATTATAGATCCCTTATAGTAACCCTTATAGACCTACTAACCAAAGGTAAGCAGAGCAGTGCTCTACCCATAGGCCCCAAAGTAGTTCCTTTTGGGGATTACCTTACAGGATTCTATATACGAACCCCAAAAAGGAACTACTTTGGGGCCTCAGGGTAGGCCAGACTCGAGAGGAGATCCGACACAAAAAGAGGGAAACACGGCAGCAGCTCCTTCGGAGCCCTGCAGTTTAGGGGTTTAGGCTTTGGGGTTTAGGGGTTTAGGGGTTTAGAGGTTTATGGGTTTATGGGTAGTTTATGGGTTAAGGGTTTAAGGGTTTAGGCTTTGGGGTTTGTGGGAGAATTTAGGCCCAGATGCCTTCCATTTTGGCACGATCGGCCCTACGAAGCGTTGCAGAGTCAGCTGCAGAAATGGCAGCCACCTCGTGGGGCACCAGCAAGTACAGTCAAAGTGAATAATACTGTACTGTAAGACTTCAACCCCATATGGCCCTCTCTGCCAGAGACTCTGCTTTCCGATAGGTCGGTCCTGTTCTTATTCCTGTGAAGACCATGCTTGGAAGCCGCAAAAAGGAGATATGCTTACCCTGAGCCCAAACTAAAAAACCCTTAGTCAACTCTTAACCCACCCGCACTAAAGTCCAACCTTCTTAAACCTAACCTCTAAACTCCTGAATCCAAACTTGAAACCCCCAAATCCATACAAACCCTCAACCGTAAAACCGCAAATCCACACAATCCACACCCCCAACCCAAAATCCCCTCCAGGCTCAAAACCTCCAGAATCAACAGCCCGCAAGAGGGTGTCTTCCCCCTAAAACCCTACCTATCCGCGGCCTCCGAGCTGCGGGATCTCGCCAGAGCTGATCTGCCTCAGAGACGAAGAAACAAATGCCCAGCTAAAGGTAGGGCTTTGGGGGTTTAATATAGGGGCCTTACCTATTAGAACAAGGTTTTGTAGCCCATTGTCGAGTATGATAAGGTTAAAGAGGAAGAAAAAATGCCCAGCTGAATGTAAGCTTCCCCCAAACTCCAAAACCCTAAACCTTGTAATGCAGGAGCCTCACGAAGTAGAATAGGGTTTTTGGGGCCCACTATACTATCAGTATAATAAGGGACCCGCCAAAATAGTATAGGTAATTATTAAAGCTCCTATAGCGGGTTTTGGGTTTAGGGCTGTCGGGTTTCGGGCCTGGTTCAGGTTTTGGGTTTTGGGTGTACGGCTTGAGGCCGAGAGAATTGGAATAGGGCTTTGGGCGCGTAATCTAACAGAAAAGGTATAAGGTGTCCGGCTTGGAGCTCGCGGGTACTTTTCAGTTACCATCAGCAGTACTACCCAGAGAGCCCAATACCCCTTAGTTAAGGAATATCGCTTAAATTATATAGGGCTTCCTACTATGATTCAAGCCATATTCCTTAATTAAAGGGTACTGGGCTCTCTGGGTATGTATCAGTCTTCAGGGCTCAGTTTCGAAGCTTTATGACTCTGCGCGCTTCGACGGCACAGGATTTGAAGACTTCAGCTGAACGTGTGGGGCTTCCATTCTTGAATAGGATGCATTCCACCTCACGGGATCAGGGATCCTGGAAGACAATGCATATCCATGCACAGCTGGTCTCGTGCTTGCGCGCTCTCGTCTGGATTTGAAAGCGAGCTCATGAATCTACATTGACAGTTGCGACAGCAGGGTTGACTGGGAACCATCGTCGCATGCCTTCCCGGTTAAGAGAGCCTGCATGTGGTTCGCAGCCATCAAACATCCAGCTCTTTTGCCTTGTCCATAAATGCAACACTCTCTGGCAAGGGCCGCACTGTTGTTCGGCCGTTCAAGGCTATCAAGGATGGAGTGGTTGAGACTGTCTCGCCGAACGTCTTGCGAAGGGTGATACCCACTGCGATGCTGAAGCTGCTTGTAATTCGGACATGCTAATACTTAGGTCTTAGGTGTCGGAACGGTCAATAAGAACTCTCGCATAGACTCCGTTTCTAACTAGACTAGAACATCCAAAACCCCATAATTTCTGCGGCCCTTATGTTGGACATCGGGAGAAAACAATATGACGGGCCTAAACTGGTAGAAGAGGGTTTTCGGCGTCGATTACACCATACCCAGATACTACTAATGAGGATGTATAGGGTTTCGGGATTGAGTCTACGAGATCTGCTGCCATCTTCTATGCGTCTCTTCTTCACGACTTGATTGTTACCAAGTTGCATGCAGCTCATCGATCTGACCTTTCGGCATCACCTGATTGGGTCTGGACATTCTCGGGCGTTTTCATCTACTGCGGGTACCTGTGTAGTACCCGACACAAGGGCCTGCCACTGCGTTCTTGTTTTTGAGGGTCATATTCCTCCCAAACCGTCTGAAACCATCCCTACAAAATACCCTTTAACTAAACACTACAATGGGTATCTTCCTTAACGAAGGAGTTGGCCATTGCGACCCGAGTCATGTCGAGAGGCGGCACACGTTCGTCCCAAGCAGCTGAGGCTGCGCTGCACCTGAACGTGGAGAGCATGTTGTACTATAGGGGCCTTAATGATTAGAATATGGTTTTGGGCTCCTTTATCATTTGTCATAATCAATAATACAGGTAATTACTTAGGCTTCTATAGTAGGGACCTTCAAATCAGATGGAAAACAAGCTTTTTGGGTGGTTTCTTGTCATGAACAAGTCTGTGGAAAGGTAGCACCGAGGCCTTCAAAAAGAAGAGCTCTCAGGTGTACTGCAGTATTGAGGTACAGTAATAGCTACTTGTTTTGGCGTCAGTCACACTCTCCGAGGCATTGGCACTGTCGGCGCTTTCGGGTGTAGTCTGGGGCAAGGTTTGGGTTCGAAGATGCGAAAAAAGGCAGCAGCTTTGCAGCTGTAGCCTGCAACAAGAGCTGCAGGTTGTTGGACTCGCATGCCACGCACATGGCCAGCAGCAACACCTTTGCCCGAGGCGTGGTTGACGCTTCAGGGGATGTCTTACTTTTCGAGTCTCCTCTGGGAGCGTTTATTCCTACCTTTGTGTTTATACAGGGATTCTGGTAGTAACCCAAAAGGTTGAAGGTTACCTACTCTACTACGGAGAGGAGATGTAGTCCAAGAGCTGGACGGAGTAATCGAGGTCCTGCCACGAAATCCTGGCTGCGCTGGACTTCTAGGGTAACGAATCATGAGTCCTTCAAGGAACAAGTGTCCAAACAACAAGTATTCAAGTATAGTACGCCAGCACTGAGGTGATGGTAAGGAATCCTTACACCCAACGTTCTGCATGTTCAGCCCAAAAGCTACAAGACTCAACGAGCTTTCGGAGGACTCCTCTCTGCAGAACACTGGGCTCACACTTTCCTGAAATCTTGAGTCGCCTTTAGCTCAGTGTTATACCTCAACCATGATGACCACCTTGAGGAGTAGCATTGAGTTAGTATTGCTCATTATTCGGGCTCGTCTATGACTTACGAGTCTCCTGCGCCAGATTATGGAAGCGCAGCCCCTAACTAGGGCCCCCCCAAAACCATATAAGCAAAAATTAGGATAGGGTTATCCCATATAAACCCCCGTATAATGAAGCCCGTTCAGGTAGGGACATCCCTATAAAATGCTCATGCATATGTCCTTTTCGGATCCTCTACAACGGAAGCCCGCCATGCAAGAAAGGCACAGGCCATTTTGACCCCCCTGCCGGTGGTGGATGCAGAATCGTCAAAGCACCTGGCAGTTGCAGGATGAACTGTACTTGGATCGGCCGGGGACTAAGTAAGTAGGTTATAAGTAGGGTTGTCATTGGGGGAAGTCCATTTAGGGTAGTACTTATAATCTACTTACTAAGTCCCCTGCCCTTCCAAGCAGGATGAACCGTCAAGCCGTATCGTATTACATAAGGCCCCTTACTATCGCACCCTTTCGGATCCCTTATAGTATATAACCCTTATAGGCCCCTTTAAAGGAATCCTATTAGTAATTATTTAGGCCCCTTATAGTAGGCCCAGGCCCCAGACTCGGAGCCACAAAACCGAATCCCTTGAACCGAAATAAACCTGACAACTCACTGAACCCGGCGGCGCTCTATGGATATCTGGGATCTTATTGTTTAGGGTCTAGGATGTAGGGAACTACCCAGAGAGCCCAATACCCCTTAATTAAGGAATATGGCTTGAATCATAACATGAAGCCCTATATAATTCAAGCCATATTCGTTAATTGAGGGGTATTGGGCTCTCTGGCTACTCCACGAGTGGCACCGACGGCATCTGGAGGGCAACAGCGATGGGGCCAGGCGCGAAGAGCCTGGAGCCATGCAGCCTGACGCTTCGGTGGGTTCAGGCGTTATAAGCTTCAGGGTTTAGGGTCTAAGGGTTTAGGGGTGTGGATGGGCTTAGGGTTTAGGGTTCCGGGTGTAGGCTTTAGGGTTTAATTAAGGGTTTAAGGGCTTAGGGTGTAAGTTCAGAGCTGCTGCCAAGCCGTCAAGCCTTGATCAACCTGCTTCCGATCTGCCTTGAACTGCTTCGGCCCTGCCTCCAGAAGTCCGCCGCTTTCGCGCTCCTTCCGGTAGGGCCCTTTGAGCCCTTTCATGAACTTCTCCCGACTACCTTGGCTCCAGAATTTTGGGCTTCAGGAGTCTTGAGGATTCAGGGGTGAGGTTTGGTGGTCCAGGGATGGAAGACTGGCTCCAGGATTCCGTGTTTCAGAAGTTTTGATTTAGAGGCTTTAGGAATTCACGGGCTTTTTGACGGCTTTAGTGCTCAGGCTGTGCGATAGAAGACAGCCTCCTAGCCAGTATTCATGCTACCAGTGACAGGTATCTTCAATCCCGTGCAGGACTACATCCTTCCCTGATTCTCCGACAGCTCTATCCTCCCAGCTCATGCGAAATATGGGAGTTTCCTACAATTCGGGGCACCTTATTTTGGGGTCCTTAGAATAAGGATCCTACTATTTAGGATACTATATTAGGGTCCCCCATTTTCGGAATCTCCCATATTGGCAACGAGAGGATAGCCCCTCTGCAAATGCTTGGCTAGGTGCTGTAGGTCAGACGGAACTGCTTCGGGATGACATATCTGGCCAGCTTTGGTTGTGGGCAGGGAATCTGGCGAGGTCTCTGCGATTGGAAGGCAACAGATCGGACAACAACCACCTGCAGCGCCCTTCTAGCCAAAGCGAACCAGCTATGCCGACATCACAGCCTCGTAAGTAACGAAGATGCAGCAAAAAGATACCGGTTTGCTGTAGAGAACCTAAGAACGACTGCCATCGTGTAGTAAGTCCGATGAAGTCCAGCGTAAGTCAGCAGAGATGAAAGTTCTGCTTATCCTGGAGATGGGCATGGAAATCAAGGCCTGAGGTCCGTTGGGATGAGGTCGTCAATGGCGTAGAGCCTTCGTGAGATCAAGAAGAACCCTTGATTCTTCGAACCCCCAACACCCCAACACACGAACCTCAGGCCTAAGTACCCTGAACCCAACGAAACAAACTTCATGAAACCTAAACTCGACACGAATCCGAAAACTTGAACTTCACGCCCCCAGCACTTCCTTTAACCAGACGCTGCCCACGACAGCTTAGGGCCCCCGTGAAGAGCAGCTTGAGAAGATCATGTTACAGTATATAACTGATACTGATACCGTATGAGGACCCCGAAAAGTGCCCCTTACGAGGGCCCTTGTGGCCCCTTAACACTGGGTATTTAGGGTATATTGGGGGGTAGTTGGGGAGTCTAGGTATATGGGCTTTAATGGTCAGATGTCTGGTTTGTACAAGAGTTGTATGTGGGGAACTGCGAGATGCAACATAAACGGAGTGTCAGACTACAAGGAGATCTTCTTACTAACTATCTTCGATGGGGCCGTGACGGGGCAGTTCTGAGGTGACCTGACGCTGCATTCCGGAAGAGTGTGGTGGATCTGGTATGCGGTGGGTTCGGGGTTAGGGTTTTGGATCTACGGTTCAACCCTAAAAAGCCCATAACCTCACAAACCCCAAACCCTAAACTCCTAAACCGTGATCGACGTGCGGGGGCTGGGTTGCGAATTTGGGAACGGCGGTAGAAGCATGCAGATAATCAGCAGCGACAGTAATTTAGCGAATGCAGTCTTTGTTGAAACTCCCCCTGAGCCCAGCCAAGGAACAAATACACTAATCTAGGGCCCTGAATACTTAGAATAGCGTTTTAAGGTCTACTCGACTATAACCATAATAAGGAACCCCCTCCCCCCAGAAAAAAACAGTATAGCTAATTATTAAGGCCCCTATATTAGGTCCCAAGGACCTGCCCAGTCACGGGAATCTGCTTTAGGGTCTCCATACCCTAGAAAACTCCTACTCGGAGGGCATGCAGGGGACTTAGTAAGTAGGCTAGAAGTAGGGTTATAATTGGGGTACGTCGATTTGGTGTACTCATATCTCTACCTATACCTGCCCCTCCAAGTACAGAACCCATACCAAAAAAAAGAATCCCTACAAGAACCCTGAGATCTATATAATGCTCCTAACTGACTAATCATCTAAGAAAAATCAACAAGGGAGTTTCCGAAAATTGGGGGGGTACCTTCTTTTGAGATCCCCTATTTGGGAGTTTCCGAAAATACTAATATGGTACCCTAAATAGTAGGATCCTTATTATAAGGACCCCAAAATATGGTACCCCTATGTTCGGAAACTCTAAACCCTGAACCCTTTATAGAACCTTTATAGATCCATTGAAGGAACCCTTGAAGGATCCCTTTAAAGGACTCTCACAACATCGTGGCCTTGCCAAAGGGATCCGCTGCCCTGCCACGGTGACCCGGCGATCGCCAAGGAAGTCGGCCAGGACGGTGAGCACCCCTGAATTCTAATAGGGTTTGGGATCTCTTTTTTTTGAGCCCCTTTTTCACCCAGCCCTAAACCCTAAACCCTAAACCCTAACAATCCAGTCTGCTGGATAAAGGCCAGAGAGGCCAGGGTTTGGGATCTAGGGTTTAGGGTTTAGGAACGGGCTCGCCGGGTTGGTGTTTAGGGCTTCTTTTTCGGGAGCTCTTGAGGCTTTAAGGGTTTAAAGCTTTTTGGAGAAATTTAGGATTCTTGAGGTTTCAGGCGGCATAAGCTGTTTTAAGCTGTGCGGCGGTGAGTGCAGGATTTCGGGTTCAAGCGTGTCGGAAGGCTGCTGCTCAATGTGCCGAGTTGCTTGCACCTTTTTTCCTGTCTGTAAAACCAGACCCAGCAGACAGGACACCAACAGAACTCGCAAGAACATGACCTCGACACTGCGACAACTTAAACCTAGCCGAAACCCCTAAAGAAACCCGGACCTTCACAACCCTAACATAAAAAAGGATAGGGCAGCCCATTATACTATAACTAAAATCAGGAACCCCCAAAATAGTATTGGTAATAGACCCCTCTTAACCCTATAACCCTACAGTACATCCCAGACCCAAATAACCCCGCCCCCCGTTGGTGCTGCGCGCCTGTCTCCACGGCGGATGCCCAGAGGTCTGCCACAGTGAGATAGGGCGCAGACTGTGTGAAGAAGTCCTGTTCTCTCGTGCCGGGTCTCTGATATGGGCGGGGTTCCTTTAAGGGTTCCCATAAGGGATCTGTAGGCTTTAGAGATAGGGCGCAGGCCGTGTGAAGAAGTCCTCTTCTCACGTGCCTGATATGGGAGCTTCCGGAAATTAGGGCCAGGATTCCTCTACAGGGACTGTAAGGGTTCCTTCAGGGATCTATAGGGTGAGTTTAGGGGACTCCAACATGGGAGTTTCCGAACAGAGGGTCCTTATAATAAGGATCCTAGTATTTATAGGGTGCTATATCACCAGTGGGGTCCCCCATTTTCGAAAACTCCCAGAAGCCCAGAGGAGCCCCTGAGACCCAACAAGAGACAAGATCACATGTCCCAATATCCGGTTGCTATGCAGAAGATGGGCCATGCATGTGGGCTACAGGAGACGCTGCGCAGAGGCAACAGAAGCATCAAAGCATTATGGTCATGCGACGTTACAACGATGATGGCTAGTTACTCGCTACTCATGATGTGATAACCGTCCTGATCGTCACCATTGTCACCATCATCAGTCTTACTCTTCAGCATCTTCGTCTCCGGCATAGCTATCCTCTCCCCCATCGACATGCGGCAAGCAACGGCTCTGCTCGACTCGAGCTTAAGATTTCGGAGCTCCTCAAAATCGGTGCTCAAAGTGCTTGGAGCACCAGCAGCAGCAATTTCAGGGGCCTTGATCATTAGGATAGGGTTCTGGGGCCCACTATAATACAATCATGATACGGACCGCCCCGAAACAGCTGTGGTAATTTTAAGGCCCCTTAGTAATTCTGAAGGCCCTACGTTACTGAGAACTTGCTTTGCCAGTCACGACTCCGATCTCCCTGAAGTGGCTGGCACATGATATAGGGGCCTTTTTTTCGGGAAAGGATAGGGTTCCTTTAAAGGGGTCGATAATAAGGGTTACTGTAAGGGCTACTATAATAAGATAGGGGCCTTAATAATTAGAATAGGGTTTTGGGGGCCCATGATACTACAACTATGATAAGGAACCCCCAGAATAATGTAGGTAATTCTTAAGGCCCCTATATTACAGTGCGACAAACGACCTCATGATTTGGCGAGTTGGTGCCCAGGCTTGTACCATGAAAGACCTTCGCCACTTACACATTCACGGTCCTTCCACCGGCTCTTCTCAATTCTGCTTGCCTGGCGGTCTCCGAATCTCGGAAGCAGTGCAGCGCAACCTTGAATTTGAACCTGCGGCAGGGTCCTCCACAGCGGCTTGCACCAAACCTTTCTGCGCCCAGAGCCGAACCGTCTAACTGAATGCCGAAAATTTAGAAGCTGCTGGTGCACATGGTTTTTCGTGAATACAAAGCTATTTCGCACAAGGGCGACCTGAGAATGACTCCCCAGAGAGCCGGAACGAACTACCGGCTGAGGCCATAGACTTGGACATGCAGCATTCAGCATTGTCCGATGCTTTGCGCTTCCGGTTGGTGTTTGGGTCGTGGACCGCCGTAAACTGCCGGAGTTGGTAGGTGCCTGATGTAAAACCAGGATCCTTGTTTTTGGAGTCCGTGAACCTTCGATGATAGACACAAATGAAACATGACAAGCACGAGACACGTCTGGGAACCTTCAAAGCAGTATCCTCCACATGCAGTAGCGTTGGGCTGTTCGGGGTCGGTAGCTACTGGGAAGCACTGAGCCGTTGTGAAAGGTCGGGCTGCAAAACCTCTCACGCATGTTGTGAAGTTGCATGCTTTCCTGCTCTTAGCGAGAGATGGCCGCATGGTGGGAAAGACGCGGAGAGATGGCCGGGTGGTGGGAAACAACGTGGATTTCTATGTTCTTGCCTCTATGCGGCATATCGCAATGACAAGAAAAACGTAAACCTGGGACACTGCCGGCAGACCACAAGCATCAAACTTCCTGGCCAAGAAGCGCCAGCCCAAAGCTCCGGAACGATTTCCCATGCTGATCCTTGCTCTGGGCTTGAGATTGCGTGCTATGGTGCCCAGTAACCTAGGAATAAGCAGGGCTCCCTTTTTGGGCTTGGGTAACTTGCAAAGGAACCTAGGACTACAAAAAGGCAATAAGGGTACTACTGGGCATCCTAGTGCTCTGGGCTTGAGATTGCGTGTGTTCTGACCATCGCAGAGCGGCGCAGGGGACTACTGCATGAGTCATCCAAAAACCTGCACAAAGAAATCTGCATGTCTCGAGGAAGACTGCTAGGAAGTGTTGCAACACACAAGCTTTTGTTTCGCCAACTGAATTGACATGAGATGTTGATCAGTCACAACAGCAAGCAAAACTTGGTACTTAGCATGCCAGTGCCAATTGCAGAAGCATGCAGCAGCACTGCTCCTGATAGCAAGAGCAGCAGAAAATGAAAGTAGTGGTTCATCGCGGAAAGGACATTCAGTGCTGTAGCGCATGTGCAACAGGTCGCTTTCCCTGGGACAAACCTGCAACGCCTTCTACTATGCACTACTTTCGATCAACGCAGGACAAATCATGGTTTGATACATTTCAACCCTAAACCCTAAACCGTATCCGTGGCATAATTTGATGGGCCACAACGCAGCGTGTCTCTCGCCAGCCCGGCCAGCGGTGGCCCGCCTTGTGAGGTCGCATTCTTGCTGGGCAGGGGACTTAGTAAGCAGGTTAAAAAGTAGAGTTATAAGTACCCTAAATGGACTTACCCAATTCTAACCCTACTTATAACTTACTTACCAAGTCCCCTGCCCCTCCAAGCAGGACCCCCCAAGGGCCCTTTAAAAAAGTCCTTATGGCCCTTAGTTGTGGGTATTTGGGGTATATTGGAGGGTGGTTTGGGGGTCCAGGTAAGGAATGCTATTTTAAAACACAGTAGAAACTGTGTACGTTAGCCATAGGCCCTTTAGTAGTTCCTTTGAAGCATGAAAAGGAACTATGGGGCCTATGGGTAAAAGAAATTAGGAACCCTGAATAGATGTAAGATGCATGTCTGAATCAAGGGGTTTTGGAATCTCTGGGGAGCTGGTGAGGACTCGGGGCTCCACCAAGGCTGAAGGCGTGGGATCACGTTTCATTGAAGGTGTTCTTGCTTCGCTCCGTGTGGTGTTCCGTGACACAGCGCCTGCCAAAAACGTACTGAAATTATTTTGTTTTTCTCTCTCTCTTTCTCTCTCTCGCTCTCTCTCTCTCTCTCTCTCTCTCTCTCTCTCTCGGTACCAGATCCTCTGGAAGCATAATTAATACCGATGGTCCTCCCAGAGCCTGGAAGGATTGTGATGCATGCCACTGGAGATTGCCAAGTGGTTGTGGCGCAAGCTTCCACGGACTCGGGTCTCCCCGTGTATGCAACCCGCATGCAAAAGCTTTCCAGTTGGGCAAAATGTGTTGAGTTAGTGATCTGCGAGCACAAGTGAGGGTCCGTCAATTGGGTTTCATGTCTCGACTGACCATATTTATTGCAGCTAGGTCCGTTACACGCAACTCTACCTTAAACCCTGTGCAACCTCCAAAATGCCGTAACGCACTAAAGCTCCAAAGTTTGAAGGGTTGGGTTGCTTCGACCGGAAACCATACACAAATCACAGCAACCTTTGTTGTGGCTGAGAACCGAGGTGTAGTGCATGGCAGGCTGGCATTCTTAAGAGACAAGCGATGTCCTGTCAAATTTCAGCCGAACACAGTATCGCCTTCCCAAGCGTGCAATTCCACAGCGGCTAATGACTAGAATCCCAAATGTCCTCGACCTATAATATCTGAGGAAGATTGCGAGGCACGTGCTGCAACATAGTACGGTATTCATTGTGACATCCCACCACCGTCGAATCGTGCGGAGAACATTGCCACCGCAATGAAAACAGTGCAATGCGTGTTTAGCTTGGGATTGGGGTTTGGAGACCTGGAACTACGGGATGTCTCTGTTTTGTATAAAGTGCGGGCGACTTTCGCATGACAAACTCTGATACACGGAAGGCAAGGGTTGCTGAACTTGGCCTTGAACATATTTTCGGGACTGGAGTTTCAAAGTCAGCTAAGTTTCTTAGCAAGTGTTTAGGTGCAGCAGCAGAGCGTGCATGTCCAGAAGTAGTGGTGGTAGTGCGGCGGTGGAGACAGAGGCGGCGGTGGTAGTGCTGCTGAAGGCAGTGACGACGACGACCAGTGTAATGTTGATGATGATGATTATTGTTGTTGGACTTTGTGGTGGTTATGTCGTCTTTGTCGTGGTGGTCGGGGTCGGGTCGCTGCTGCTGCTGTGGTGGTTGTGGCTGCTGCTGCTGTGCATAATCATGACCGAACATCATGATAGAGACCATGCTGGTACCGCTGAAGAAACACTGGTAAGGATGATGTTAGCTGTGTTAGTAATTTATGACTTTCACCGTGATCCTGATCTGATGCCGGCAATGACCATGACGATTGTGCTCGTAATAATGATGACGACGACGGTGATGGCGGTGACGATGATGATGATGGTGGTGTTGATGATGGTAGTGACGATGATGGTCATCACGGTAATAATGTTGCTGATGTTGTCGGTGATGACGAGGATGATGATGATGATGATGAAGAGGAAGAAGACAATGCTGTTGATGAGGATGATACGAGGATGATGATGCTGGCATGTGTGATGATGGATCATGTCCGTAATGATGACGATGACGATGATGACGACATGGTGCTTCAGATGCTGATACTAATGTTGATGGTGCTGCGGATGTTGATCATCTTCTTGTTGGGACTGTGCCGCTATTTTAGACAACGACGTGGGTGTTGAGTGAGGTGACGCTGATCATGGCAGTGCTTCTCTTATCACCCCCGTTGTTGTTGACCCTACTCAGCAGCAGGAGAACAGACAGACATGACAGTAGCGATTTGAAAACACTGGTGAAGATGATGTCGATCATGCTGCGAAGGCACCAACAATCACCAGCAGCTATGAGGAAACATCTTGCACGCTGAACTGATCTCCCAAGCGGCCGGAGTTGATGGAGCTACTCATAATTCGGCTTGTGCCGATCGATAAATACAAAATCTGTGTAGTCATAAGACGTAGGACGTAGGACTCAGGGTGCTACTATGGCAACCGAACACAACGACATCACACTTATCATCCCGACAAATTTTCAATAAACTAACCTTTGCACGCTGAATTAAAGGTGCAGCTTTAAGCGAGCTGTCGACTGTCGAGTGGAGTTCCACATCGTCCGCACGTCAATCAAGCATCTGCAGGGGCCTTCATAACTAAAGTAGGGTTTGGGGACATATTGTAGTATACTTACGAGTACCACTTATTCAGGCCCCTATGCTTGATACTGCTCTTTGGAACCAATCCGTACATCTTTGTGGGAGTTTCCGAAGACAAGGGGAACCTTATTTTAGGGTCCCTATGATGAGGATCCTACTTTTCGGAAACTCCACTATGAACGTTGCCGAAGGTCCAAAGCAAGTCCGCAGGCAGTCGGGGCAGGACAAGGCCCAGCCGGTCGATGCTGAGCTGCTGCAGGTAGCGCAGCGTGTAAGCAAACATCCTTTGAAAGCCCATTCTTGGACTGACCTATGTGTGTGTATATGTATATACATATATGTATGTATGTATGTATCTGCATGTGTATACACACATTCATACACATATACATATACTAGACAGTTGTGCATGTATATATGGACACGATATGATATGCGCATGGCGGCCCATGTCCATGTCTCCGACAGACGATAGAGTAGCACATGTCAAGTTTCACATTCATGCAGCAAGCATCTGCGACAGAGTGGCGGCGTGCCTCTTTCGTATGAAAGACATATGTATATATATATACACATATGTAGATGTATAGGTATACATATATATATACATACAGACATACAGTTATATAGCTCTGCATATATATATATATATATACAGTTATAGATATATCTATCTATATATCTATGCATGTATGCATATTCTATAGATATACAGATATACAGATATCGAAGTGAATATGCGTACATAGACAAAGACACAGATGCAGAGATACATGTAGATTTCGACGTTTACATTGATGTAGCTTTGGGCCTCGGGCTGGGAGGCAAAGAAAGCCGATCTGGAAGCCGAAAGCTAACCGCAGTTGATGGTATAAATCCTGCATTACCTTAAGGATCTGTATTCCTTAGTATGGGTAACGCAGGATTTGTGCCATCAGCCGTAGAAAAGCAATTGGCTATATGAAAGTCGACATTCGAGAATTAATCTAAGTATCCCCAAGGCATAATGCGGGTACTTATAGTAGTTACTCGGGCCTGCATCTTCTAGTAGTTAACCTTAACCTGTATCGTAACCCCCAAGAGACCCTGTTGCACGCAACACGAATCCTTCCGAGGGGTCCTCACCTGGGGACCGATAGATTAGGGTTTAGGGTTTAGGGGTTTAGGGTTTAGGGGTTTAGGGGTTTAGGGGTTTAGGGTTTAGGGTTTAGGGCTCTTATGGAACCCTATGCCTCGGCTCCATAGTCGTTCCTGTTTGGGGTTCATATTTGGGCAGTTGCCGAAATTAGGGCCCCTTTTTGGGTATCCTAATATTTGGTGTCGTATTATATTAAGGACCCCAAAAGGGACGATAGTTTTTGACAGCCACCCATTTAGAATCCTGTAAAGTAATCCTAAAAAGGAGCTATGTACTGTGCAGCCTGTGGGTAGATCCCTGAAAGGGATCCGAAAATGATACTGACGGGAGCCGAAGATTCCCACGCCAGCCAGAGTCCTTCAGGATCAGCGTGGGAATCAGAATCAGGCAGGTGGCGCACTCGATGGAAACGCCTAAGGGCGCAGAGGATTTTTTTTGGTGGGGTTAAGGGTTTAGGCTGGTTCTTTGCTGGAAACCAACTTGCACAACCTGGATGTCAATCTCGGCCTTGCCCTCTTTCTCTTACAGGTAGACAAACTCCTTGAACAGCATTCTATACTGCAAACCCCACCTTCAGCCGGAATAACCTACCTTTTTAAGGATTTATATAAGGAAATCATAATAAGGAAGCCTAAAACGGTAGGTCATTCCGGCTTAAGGTAAGCACTACGCAATAAAACTCGCAAACCGGAAACTCCCAGTGTTTGCGGGTCTGAATAATTGTCTAGACAGGCTTCGCGCAAACTGTAAATACTTTATGGGTGGTTGTCAATATTAAGATCCTTTTTGGATCCCTATTATAATACGGCAACCCTAAACCCTAAACCCTAAACCCTAAACCCCTAAACCCTAAACTAGTACAAAGGGTTCCCAAAAAGGGAGCCTAATTTTGAGAACGACCCATATGAAAGAGGAGCCTCTGGGAATCCTTGGGGGACTCCTCGCCAGAAACCCTGTAAACGTCCTTTCCCTCAGCCTCCAAGTATACAAATAGTAAATAGTACCTACTTTGGGGTCTTAAGTCTATAAATACTACCTACTTTGGGCTTTTGGGAGCCCCAGGGTTTGAAGAACCCCAACAGAACCCGGAAAAAGCCCGGCCTAAGTTGCAACCTCTGGCGTCCGCTGGATGCGCGGTGCATTTGCAGTGACGAACTCGAAGGCAGCATTCCGCCTCACACTCGGTCATTTGCTTCTTGGTCTTTACCCATAGTCCCCATAGTATATAGTTCCTTTTGGGGGTTCGAATGTAGAATCCTAGACGGTAATCGCAAAAAGGAACTACTATGGGGCCTGTGGGTAGGCTGTATAGAACTGAAATATAAGAGTTCAGGGGGCTCTTGAAATTACGATGTCTCTTCTGTAGCATGTACAGGGGTCGTATACGGGGTTGCTTACCCTCTCGAACCTTGAAGTCTTGTCAGTGTTTCAGAAGGATGTAGGCTAAACTGGTGTTCCCTTTCGGGCGTAGTAAGGGCCCGACTGTTTCAGGTCTATCTTGGAGCGGCAGGGGACTTAGTAAGTAGTTTAAAAAGTAGAGTTATAAGTACCCTAAATGGGCTTACCCCAATTATAACCTACTTATAACCTACTTACTAAGTCCCCTGCCCCTCCAAGTAAGGTCTCACAGGGTTTGTAACCTGCTGTTTTCGGGTGCTTTCTGGGCTTGCGCCATGGGAACCACTTCGGCAATCTAGGGGCCTTGATAATTAGAATAGGGTTTTGTGGCCCATTATACTAGACTTATCGTAAGGATCCGCCAAAATACCAATAGGCCCCCATAGTAGCCCCTTTTGGGGTTACCTTATCGGATCCTACATATGAACACCAAAAAGGAATTACTATGGGGCCTCTGGGTAGTATAGGTAGTTCTTCCGGCCCCGGTATTGGGGAGTCCAAGGTTCAGGTTTCGGTGTGAGGCCAGGGCCACACCAGACTCAGAGGCTCATCCGAAATCGTCTAGAGTTTCGGCTATACTATAATACAATGTAATGTACTATACATGTAAAAACAAAACAAGATTCAGGATCCCGATAAAAAATGCAAGAGACATCGCACAATCAAGGAGACAAGCTGACATCCGGAAGCAGCAAAGCTCAGGAGCCGGTCTCACTGATGCTGAGACCCCACCGAAGAACCCGACAACATCAATAAAAATACCAAACCCCTAAGCCCCTAAACCCCTATAAACCCTAAACCCCTAACCCCCTAAACCCCTATAAACCCTGCCCCCTAAACCCTGAAACCCCTAACCATGGCCTGATCTGCGCCATGGAGCATGCATTCATCAAAGCCTGCCGCAAGGGGGGAGGTTCTGCTGCCATCAGAGACAAAGAGAGAGAGAGAGAGAGGCCTGGGAAGAAAGAGAGAGACAGAATATATATATATATATATATACACATACATAAACAAGCATGATATGCGCACGTATGTAGACTTATAAGTAAAAGCATAGATGTAAGCATCGAGTTTAGAGATAGAGAGAGATGCACAGACAGCAGAGTGGCGCAGCTTTTCATGTGTGCTTTGGACTGCCTGTGTCAAGCTCCGAGGAACGCGATGAGGCTGGGACACGGCAGGGCGCGAGGCCCGCGAAGTACTTAAAGGATCATGGGACTTAGTAAGCCTAATTATAAGTGGCTCAATTGCGGTTATAAGTAATTATACGCATAGTTACCTTATAATAATAACCCTCGATACTCAGTCCCATGATCCTTCAAGTAGGTCTTACTGGGGTTCCGAAACCAACATGGACGCTCTCAAGGATTCCAGGTACACTACCTATCATAGGCCCCATGGTAGGTTGTTTTGGGGGATGGACCGTGTAGGATTCTACATATTATGAACCCCAAAAAGGAACTACTATGGGGCCTATGGGTAGTCCTTTTAATGGTACTTGGAGGATCATGGGACTTAGTAAGTATGGTTATAGGTACCTTAGTTGGGCTTATCAATACTTATAAGTGGAGTTACCTTAGTAATAACTCTAGTTACTAAGTCCCACGATCCTTGAAGTAGGGTTCAAGGGGTTCAGGGTTTAGGGTTTATTATAGCTCTTGCTACTTCGACTGCTACTGCTACTTCTTCTTCTCATCAATATCTTATGGTCGTTGCGCTTAACTTTGGGCGCTTCAGTTTGGTGACGACTCTCCAGGCATATGGTTATTGATAATTTTGCCCTGGAGGGTATACACATACACTCACCGTCACTAAGCCCTATAAGCCCTAGAACCTCAGCATGTACAACTATAGTGACGACGGAGGTTGAATGAATGTCTTGAAATACTGATTTATGTAATTGCATTGTTATCCCTGAACCCTAAACCAAATAAACATTGCGGCTCCAGTCCTTGCACGCCGGCATCAGGCAGAATGGCATTCCTCGGGTCCCAGCTGCTTACCAAAAACGAAAAATCCATAGCACAAGAAGCATGCGATGGCCCTTCTACCAGTATGGGTTACGGTGTTCGGGTTCAGGGCTTCTGCGCTTGTAAAGCAGCCATCACAGAGGTTAAGTGGAGAGCCAAAGCGTGTTAAACGTGAAACCCAGATTCTGGCCACAGGTTTGTGGAGAGCCAAAGCGTGTTCAATGTGAACCGAGATTCGGGCCAAAGGTTTGATTGTGGAGAGACAAAATCGTGTTAAACTTGAAACCCAGATTCAGGCCAAAGTTTTGTGGAGAGCCAAAGCGTGTTGAACTTGAAGCCCAGATTCGGGCCAAGGGTTTTGCGGAGAGCCAAAGTGTTTTGAACTTGAAACCCAGCTTCGGGCCAAAGGTTTGTGGAGAGCCAAAGCCTGTTCAACTTGAAACCCGGAAACGAAATTCGGTTGTGAAGACGAATTTCTCCATCCTCCGAGTTCACGGTTGGTAAGAGTCCTGCTCCAGCAAAAGCAACATAGGCCGAGCTCAAAGCCTCAAGGTCGCAATTTCCTCGTCGGCTTGAGTCATAGGGACCTTTAGGGGGATAGGGGGCTTTAATTAAAGGAAGTAGGTTATAAGTAGGGTTATAATTGGGGTAAGTCCATTTAGGGGTACTGATTGCTCTACTTATCCTACTTGCTAAGTCGCCTGCCCCTCCAAGTAGCCCCCTACCCCCCTACCCCTTACCCCCGTACGGGTCCCTATGAGTGAGGATGAACACTCTCGTGCTCACACGAGACAGGTGCACAAGCTGCCTTTCAGCGCTTGCATTGGAGTTTCCGAAAATTAGGGGTAAAAGTGTTGGGTTATTCTAACGAGGATCCTGCTATTTAGGGCACTATATCAGGATCTGACACGGCCGCGGCAATGTTCAAGGACCGAGTTGGAGTCGCTACATCCGAAAGCAAGGGAGCCCAATATAGGGGCCGTAATAACTAGAACCGGGTGTTGGGGTATACTTTACTATAATGTACTAAAGTCCTGGTATTGGTGATATATTTGGGCTTCTATGTTTTGTTCGAGGACCCTTCTCTGTCTCAGAGTTCACATGCCCAGGCTCGAATCATCATAGGGCTCGAAGGGCTTGTGCGAGGAGAGGAAGAGCCCACGTAATGCGACCTCACAGCACTGAAGTCTCTGCAACATTTCGAGGTAATGCCGGCTGAGATATTGAACTGCACGAACATAAATATAGGGGCCTTAATACCATAATAAGAATAAGGAAGCCCCGAAAATAGTGTAGGTATCTTGGCCCCCACATTATTCGCCTTCCCCATGTTTGGAAAGACTGGGATGCAGGATGAAGTGAAACGGACGGGTCTCAGTCTGCCAGGCTGCGCCCATGCTACAGAAGGGGTCTGAAGGCAGCGTGGGAAAGCGCGGCGCCACGTTGGTCTGCATGCAGTCGAGCTCGTCCTCTTTCCCGACACACCTGGAGACGCTGCGAATGCTGTTTGCTAGGGCCTAACCTTACTAACCCAAAGAACCCCTTTAAAAGGAGCCCTGATAGTAGCCCTTTAACATGAACCCTTATCGTGCCCCTTTAAAAGGGCACCCTGCCTTGTAGCACCCCTTTCAAAGGGAGCCCTTAGAGTACCCCTCTAAAAGGGAACCCTTACAGTACCCCTTTAAAAGGGAGCCCGTTTATAGTACCCCTTTAAAACGAAACTCTTATCGCACAAGTTTAGAAGAGAGCCTTTAGGGGTCCCTGGAGCCCTGCGCTCTGAGGCGCCGGCTCGTCGAAAGCTGCCTGCACCGTGCGCCAGGCGCCGCGGAGGGGAGAGAACTCGCAGGAGACCAGGGAGGCCTGCATCTCCTTCTCGAAGCAAGTCTTAGGCTGTCGGATGTAGGGCTTATATTAAGGTTTCGGGCTTAGGGTTTAGGGTTTAGGGCTTCGGGCGTAGGGTTAGGATCTAGTTTTAGAAGGTCTTCAGGAGGGCGTTAAGGAGGGTTTTAAGGCAGCTCCTTTTCGAACCAAGGCTAATGGGGGCTTGTAATTTATGGGGATTACAGGGCTTTACGGGTTTCGAGGGCTTGCAGGGTTTATAGTGTGTTAAGGGTCGAAGGGTTTATTGGGTCCAGGGTTAAGTTGCCCTGAGTATCTCCTCTTGAAACAGGCTACAAGCGTTTGGGTTTAGGACTTTGGGGGTGAAAGGGTGTATGGGGTTTAGGCTTGGTGTAAGGTCACTATAAGCATGTCCTTGTTAACAGGGCTTAGGGGGTTTATGGGGTTCAGGGCCGGCTTAGGGTTGCGATAAGCAGTTCTGTCCTCTTTCTAACAATCTTTTCTCACGGCCAAAAGGGCTTCAGATTCACGTCTGCGGTGTGTACAAAGGGCAGGGTCGAACTGTTACACCCCGCCTCGGTTGAGGCAGCCTCCTTTCTACAGCTGCATCAACCGTCAAAGGAGAATTTCATGAAATCTGCGCCTACCCTCCCAACGTCCTCAAACATGTTTGGCACGGAGTAAAGACTCTCACGTTATGGTTCCTGACATTCCCACATGTTGGGAGGTGGTAGCGCTCACCACGTGAGGTGGTGATAGCAATCCTTTCAGGTGGCACCGCTCGGCCACGCGCCTGTACAAGCTCTCTTTCGAGCAATCTGCGATCTTCGCGCAGCCTCATGACCTCATCTTGGAAGTGCCTCACCTCTGTGCACCTCTCAGCCAGAGCTTGCCGAAGCTCCGTGGCTCGCTGCACATACTCTTCTTGAAACCTCTCCTCTGAACGACTCATGCCCCGATTGGCTTGCACTCCGACATCTCGTGTGGTGGCCTTCACTTGGGTCTCCTGGTCCGTAGCCGTATGGGCCTGCCTGCACCAGCTTGCCAGCCATCCAGAAAATCTGAAGAGGCCAGTCACCAGCACCCAAGGCACACCCAAAACAAGAAGCCCAACCACCAGCGCAACCAGAATGCTAGCCAAGAGCTCCTCGTCGAAAAGAGGGGCTCCAAAGCTCAAGCCCTCAGCCTCCATCACTTGACACATCAAGATCACAAGGGGCATGATCTTCTTCACTCTGCTCACTCTGGCACCTCCTGTCTCTGACACCTCCACGTTTGCTCCTTCAGCAAGGAACCTCACACATTCCGCCACGTACAAGGCCTCCCCGGAGCCGCCGACCATGGCGATGAACGCGCTCTCGCCACTGGAGAGCGCAATGCTCCTTTGGCTCCGGACGTAGCTAGCCACCATGCTTCCACCGACAAAAAGCTGTATTGACGTGCGGCTGCGGCGTGTCCTCTTGCAGCCTGCCCAGTCTGCGTCTGTGATCGATTCGATCACAAGCTCCCCATGCTGCAACCCACCTCGACCATTGAAGCCAAAGCAGCCTCCATCTCGAGCGGGTCGAAGCAAAATTCCCAAGGTCGGGAACTTCTTGAGGTAGCCGATGACCCGCTGGAGCCACTTCATGGCCATGGCCGTGGGTGTCGCCATCTTGGAGCTCAGCACACAAACCGGGAACTGGATGTCAGCCCGAGAGTGGCTCAAGTAGAGAAGCCTTCCCACTGCCTCGCGGTACTCCCGAGCCTGGTTGCCGTCAAGGTCCTTGGAGCTGTCGGGTTCCAGGAACGTTGCATCTGAGGGGGCATCCCTTAGCTTGGCATTCTTTCCAATCCCAGCAAAGAGGGCCTCAGCGTACTTCTCATTCGGGTACACGACAATGCCCTCCTCGGTCATCACGTAGCGCCTTTTTAGGAACTCGAGTTCGCTCCCCGGGTCCTTCAGCGGCGAACTCGTTTGCACCGTCACCTGGGACCCAACCTTGCCAAGGATCCTCTCACGCTCTGTTGCTGTAGAAGCAAGGAGTCCATCGTCGGCGTGTAGTATGAGGCCTGTGCGGTTGTCGTGGTTGATGTGCCTGAAGAGAGTGGGCTCCTTGTCGAAGCTTTCCATGTTGCATTCCTCCAGCATGGATTTCGCGAAATCATACCATGCCGAAGCTCCGATTCTTTGCCCTGGGAGCAACTTTTCTAGGACGAAAGGAATCAACCCTTCGCGCCCGTCGTTGAGGATGCCACTGTCCACCATGATCACCGCCGGGTTCGGTTGGTCCACCTGGAGGTACGCATCTTTTATATCGAGGCTCACAACCTCGAGGTTGTGGGAGATAGCCCAGATCAAGAAGGCGTGTGTGGTCCCCAACGTGGAAGCAGGAGCGAAGAGTTCAGCAGTATATGGGGAGTTTCCACGGAACTCCCTTGCAACTAAGCGGCTCCTTCTCGTCCATCCCGGCCTCCGTCTCCAGTCTCTCACCAGCTTGGTTGTTAGGCGGGTGTAGCCCTCAATCATTTCGCCGGGCTTGGGCTCGCGGAGAACCCCCATCTTTTGCAAACGGGTCACCTCTGCAAGGTCCGATGCCCTGTCGACTTTTGCCAGGTCCTCCTCGCTGAGTTCAGGGGCCTTCTCGGCTTCCGGGTCCCAATCCGGCGGTGGGTCAACATCCCACATATCATCTCCCATCTCCGCCTCCAATGCCTCGCCGACCTCATCAATCCAATCCTCATGGTTGCTCCACTCTTCCAAGGGGATGTCACCATGAACATGCCGTACCCCTGCGAAAGAAGGAGGGTAAAGAGGTCCTTGTGGAGACCCAGCCGGAGAAGCCGCCAAATAAGGTGAAAGAGTTGCACCTGGTCGGTCAAGTAGAAGTCGGGGCCTCTTGGGCACTGGCTCGGCTTTTGGGGCAGCCTCTCGAGCGATGCTCCCCCGGGCTTCTCCTGTGTCCATCTCTGTGGCTGGCTCCGTGCTCGCGGCGGCTGCTTCCCCTGGCACCCTTTCAGCAGCTCGTTGTGGAAGCTCCTCTGCTTGCATGCTGCTGGCCGGGCTGCTGCTTGAATTGCTGCTAGAGGCCCTTTCTGGGGAGTCTGCTGCACGCCCTGCTGCCTTGGCCAACTCTTCCAAGGAGGCGGTGTCGGGAAGGAGTGCAGGGCGAGCCGCTGAGGTATACAAGGGCCGCTTCCTCTTAGCTGTCCCCATATAGTCCCATGGAAGCCCACGGCAAGCAAGGATTGCAGGCCCGTCCCATTGCTCCTCGGCCGGGAGCCTTCTGATGCTTCTGGCCTCCACCGCCCCGGCCTCCGACAGAAGGATGCTTGCTCCATTCCTCTCGCTCTGGCCAACATAGATTCCCCTGAGCCATTGCAGGTCGCCTCGGTGTCGGGTCGGGGCATGATACAAGCACTGCTCGCCGAAGGGGATCAGGCTGCCATGAAAACGCTTGCCGTAGACGAGCTCAAAGGGCGGGTTTCCACGCACTGGCACCGAGAACCGATTCAAAAGAAAAGCCGCGTGCCTCATAAGCCACGGGAAAACATGGGTGTGGCCCTCAACTTTGGTCTTCGCTCTTTCCTCCAGGTGTGCCCTCAGGGTGCGGGAGTTTGCCCTCACCGTTTGGATGGTCCGCTCCACCATCCCGTTGCTCTCGTGGGACCCTCTCGGAATGGCCGGGTCTGGGTATGCAATCCCAGCCGGCTTCTGCAAGCCACCACGGAGTTGATGATCTGCTTGATGCTTGCCTCGGGGTCGCCTCGGAACATCACCGGGCCGGCCGGGCTGATCTGCATGCTTGCTCTCACAAGTTGCTCGGTCACACGACGTAGGGCACCAGCCCCCTTTTGCAAAACAGGGATTTCCAGCTGCCAGCCGTGGTTGACTCAACACCGAAAAGGGTGAGCCCGTATTGGTCCTGAAGGTCCACGTTCTCAGGACCGGGTTCTGCTTCATGGTCGCCCTCGTCCTCTTCAGTCTCCTGGTTCCTCCTCTTAGTAAAGGTGTAGCCATAGTCGATCTGGATCACAGGCATGGCCCCCTTCTCAAGGTCGGGGCCGTCCTTGGCTTCCTCACGGGGCTTGTGTGGTGAAGACTTAGCACGCCCGGCCACGCAGGCAGGGCACCACGCAGCAAAAGGCTGGTGAGTCACATTGTGTAGCTCCTGCTGGCGTGCACTTGGAAGCCGGGGTGCTCGAGGAACGTCGGGCGGCCTGGCCTCCTCAAGGAAAAGCTTGTGTGCAAGTTCATTGGCAAGCTTGTGTTCAAGGATCTCGTGGTGCTGCTTGAGGCGCTTGAGGATTTTATTCTTTCCCGCTTGTGGGCAGCCCCTGCCGGCTGCACAGCTCCCTCAGATCTTTCAACGGAGTCTCCACCGAGAGCTCCACACCTTCCAAAACCTCTCCATCAGGAACCTCCTCCTCCATGTCGCGGCCAATTCCAACTCCCCCTTGCATGTCATCATCACCGACCCCGCCTCCGCTCTCATCGACTGGTAGGACAACCCCACCTCCATAGTCGTTGGTTGGCTCCTCGAAGAAGTCCCTGGGGTTTGTCAAGAGGTCGGTGGGAAGGTGCTCGACGTGGAGAAGGATAGCGTAGTCATAGGCACCCTTCAGGTCACTGTTCAGCTCCTCCAGCTTTTTTGGGGAATTGTCAAACTCAGTGGTCTCCATGGCATACATCTGGGTCCAAAGGTCGCCGGCCTGAGGAAGGCGATCCGCCGGCTCCTGTCGCCGGCGCCGGAATCAACCACGACCTCCACCTGCACGGGCTGGGCCTGGACAGCCAAGACATTCCCCGGCACCTGGGCATACAAGTCGTAGTTCGCATTGGGCTCATCGGTTTCCAAAGTCCAGTTGCCGTCGTGGTCTGTGGCGTCCATCTGGAAGACCTCAGGGCCGCAAGCCCTAACCACCATAATACCCACATCACCCGCGAAGAGGTCGGGAACCGTATCCTCCAAGGCGCTAATGTCAAAGAGCTGGCTCGTGTCCTCGAAGAAGGGCGGCGCATCGTTCACCTCGATCCGGTTCACGTTGTAGTTCATAGCCCTCTGAAGCGCGGTCGCCGTAGAAGGCTGAGTTGCACCACTTGCCGTCGACTGGGAAGAGCTAGGCACAGCCGTGGTAGCAGCATCAACTTGGTTCACTTTGCCCTTTCCCTTTGTGGGACATTCCCACTTCCAGTGCCCATACTGACCGCAGCTGTGGCACTGCTGCTTGCCCTTTCCTTTTGCAGCTTGCTTGTCCCACGAGCTGCCTTTCCATGACTGCTGCTGCTGTCCTTTCCAGCCTGGCTGTTGCTGTTGTCCTTTCCATGGCTGCTGTTGCTGTCCTTTCCAGCTCGGCTGTTGCTGTTGTCCTTTCCACGGCTGCTGCTGTTGCCCTTTCCATGGCTGCTGCTGGCCTTTCCAGCCAGACGGCTGGCCCTTCTTCCCTTTGTCGCCTTTGCCATCTTTTCCCTTCTTGCCCTTGCCGTCCTTGCCCTTCACGACGTCGACCTCCATGGGCTGGGGACCGCCGCCTCCACCTCCGAAGCCAGGGCTGCCACCTTTCATAGGCAAACTGCTCGCCCACGGTGCGTTCACACTTTCATATTGAAGAATCCATTTGCGAAGGTTGCTGTACCCTGTCGTGCTCGTCATTCTGAGCTGCACCTGTGAGCGCAGAGGCTCACGAAGGTTTGCCACAACGGTGGCAATCTGGAGGTCCGGCGGGTAGCTCTTTCCGCTCGAGCTTTCATAGCTTGCAACGGCGTCTTCAAACTGAACAAGCTGCTCGTGCACATTGCCCTCCTTGAAGGTCCAAGAGGCCAACTGCCGAAGAAGAGCAAGGGACCTTGCTCGCTCCTTGGGTTCCATCTCCCGCCTGAGCACACGCATTGCCTCGAAGCCGGCACGCTCCTTCTCAAAGCCCTTCACTAGCAGCAAAGGCCGCCCTTTCAAGAGCGACACCAACACGCCAAAAAGGCGCTGAGATCTCTGCACCTTGTCGGCCGCCATCAAGGCATGGTCCTCGACCTCGTCGTCCTTGATGTCGTCCAGGTCGTCGGCATACTTGCTGTCATGTGCTGTGAGCCAAGTGACCAACTGAAACTGCCAGTCCTTCCAGCTCCTAAGCTCCTCCTCTCTGTTGGCTGGTCTCCAGACGTCCATTTTCATCATCTTTGTGAGCCCATCGTTTCTCACAATCGAAGCTTGGCTCTCAGCCGCCTTCGCCATCTTCTCCGTCGCTTGGAGGACCTGCCCAAAAGCATTCCCAAAAGCTTGCTGCACCCTTTGCCGCACGACCGCGTCCACTTGCTGCTGCATCTCCGGGCTCATAGCCGGCTGGGCCTGCTGGGCCCCATGGGCAGCCTGAGGCTGCTGAGCCTGCTGAGCAGGCACCTCTCCACTCATCTTGCTGCCTTCCCTCGCGCACACAGAAAAGAAAACTGAAGCCTCCCTTTCCAAGACCCAGCTGGTGATGACCTGCCGGCCCGCGCTCTCCTCCCAAACTTGAAAAACCTCTGCTCCAATCCCACTCCAGGGGAATTCCGGTGCTGCCCCAAATTGGGGTCTTACAGCAAAGCTCCACGGGCCCAGTGGGCAGATCGAACTGCAGCCACCAGCCAGAAAAAGAAAAACAATGTGCCGGAAATAAAACCCCAAGACGTGAAGTTTCAGGGAACCCCTTGGGTGTCCCACAGTCGTGTCTCGAAGCTTGGGCTGTCCCAAGCTCCGCTACCATCTAACAATCTTTTCTCACGGCCAAAAGGGCTTCAGATTCACGTCTGCGGTGTGTACAAAGGGCAGGGTCGAACTGTCACACTCTTTAGGGGCTTAGGGGTTAGGGTTCAGGGTTACTGGTTTCGGTGTGGTTAGGTTTTAGGGCTTTCGACGTGCATCTCCGTTTTAGGGTGTAGGATTACTATAAGCAACCCCTTTTGGGGGATACGGCCCTAAACCCTATAAGAAGCGCGCTCCTCCACCGTCTCCCATGGGCAACAAGCCATGAAGAGGTCCTGGCCAGGCTCCCAGCAAGTGAAGCTGCTTGGAGGTTTATGTGTAGTTATAAGTAGGGCTTACAAGTCGGACAAGTATGGTTATAGCTTATATAGCGCGATTAGGCTTGCGGTGATGATTTCTGTTTCAGGTACTTTGCAAGCATTCTCAGATCCCCCAAATACTACGCCGAGCACACAGTAGCGTTGCTGAAGCAGATGGACAGCGCCACGTCCATGGGCTGGAAGAAGCCTGAGCGGAGCTCGGTGCGCCGGTTGGAGTTCGGGCAAAAGCTCAGGTTCGAGGCTTAGGGTTGAGTGTGTTAGGGTTGACAGAGGAGGGGTTGGGATGCAACATGTAGAACTCTGGAACATGACTGGGTTATGGATTCTAACTTACTTGGGTTTCATTCCCGGCCCAGACCCGACAGTGGACATGCTTTTCCCAGGACTCCATCATGCGATGCACTGTCCACCACAGCTTCCGCCAAGGTACACCAATCGTATGCCCATGAAAGCAGTGTGCACAAATATCGTAATATAGAAGCTTGAAGGATTACCTATGGAACCACTTAGGGCTCTTGGTACTACTATTATTATTATTCCTACTACTACTACTACTACTACTACTACTACTACTACTACTACTACTACTACTACTACTACTACTACTACTAGTATTACTACTACTACTACTACTACTACTACTACTACTACTACTACTACTACTACTACTACTACTACTACTACTACTACTACTACTACTACTACTACTACTACTACTACTACTACTACTACTACTACTACTACTACTACTACTACTACTACTACTACTACTACTACTACTACTACTACTACTACTACTACTACTACTACTACTACTACTACTACTACTACTACTACTACTACTACTACTACTACTACCTCTACCTCTACCTCACTCTACCTCTACCTCTACCTCTACCTCCACTTCTTCGACTACAAGTAGCTACCGAGTCGCAGCAGTCTTGGGGAAACCACTGGCCATCCCAGCAGCTTCGCGGCACCCTCAACCTCAGCTGAGCGAGTCTCAGACGCTTCATTCCTGCGATCACCTCCAGACATTGTACTATATATATATATATATATATACACATACATACATATATATACATATATACAAGAGGCACACACACTCTCTCTCCCATGTGTCTACTTATTATTGCTCCATCATACAACCATATGCACATACACACAAACAAGACCATGATGGGTATTGTAGTATAGTGCGGAGCATGTTGTGACCACGTGCTACTACAGATCGCCGAATGGCCTTAGGAAGAAGCAGCTGCAGTAGCCTCAACAGTTGTTCAGCTCCTCTCCGGAGACTCCGAAATCCTTCAAGTACGGAATGTCCCTCGAGTGATGGTAGGAAGGGACCCATTATCAACTCTAGCTCGCTTCCGATGTAACTGCGGAGGGTCTGAAATAGCTAGACGAAAAAAAGTTTCGGGGCGGCTTGGGTGTTTAAAACGACAGTTTATGAAACCACAAGAAACTGAAATGGTGCTGCTTGAACTGCGGTCCCCTCTGCAGACCGTTACAAATCCAACAGAAAATCGTAAAGCCCTTGAGATGGTCCCCTCGCTTGTCCAACATCCTGGTGCACCAAAGGTTAACCTTCCGCAATATGTTGGGCTTATAAAGAAACTAGTAGTACCCCAAAACAAGGTTAAAGGTTCCCAGCTCTACTACTAGGCTTTAATACATACCCTAAACCCTAAGCCCCTAAACCCTAAACTTCCAAACCCCTAAAGCCCTATCCTACTAGGTCACTATTTGGTGCAACTATGAGAGCCCAATACCCCTTAATTAAGGAATATGGCCTAAATCATAATATGAAGCCCTATATTTTATGCCATAGTCCTTAATTAAGGGGTATTGGGCTCCCTGGGTAGGTGGTGCAACTCTGAGAGCCAGGCCCCACTCGGGGTCGCACAGGGTTCAGCAGTGGTGGCACTTGCCCCTGCGGAGAAACGAGAGCATCTGAGGGCTACAGGGGAACCTAGATTTGGGAGCTTCCAACAATTAGGGGTACCTTATTTTGGGGGTTCATATAATAAGAAGCCTACTATTTGGGGAAGGTTGGGGTCAAAAAGAGCCCCAAGTTTGGGCTGCTTTCTGCAATCTCTTCGTCTTTCAGGAAGAACGGAGGCTTCTGCTTTTGCTTCCAGCGCGTTCCTGTGAGAGATGAGAAGTCTCGGCCTTTTTCTTGGCAGAGTCGGCTTTGCTCCCCTCCCAACCCCCGCCCCCCATACTATTTTGGTGGTTCCTTCTTGTAATTACAGTATACTGGGGCCCAAAATCCCCACTATTCTAATTGTGAAGGCCCCTATATCCCCGCCAATCCTGCGAAGCCTGCCCTAAACCGAACTCCCGAGAGTCTCGTCGGTGCCGAAAACAAAGCTAACTCCATCCCGCAACCCAAATTCCTAAACCTTAAACCCTAAATCCCTAAACCCTACTAACCCTTATCGCCCTAAGCCCTAATCGTAAACCCTGGAACCCTCAACATCTACACCGTATCACGCTAAACCTGAATCATCCAAACTCCTGAACCCCTCAATCCAAAAACCTCAAACCCTAAACCATAAGCCCTAAACCTTATCACCCTAAAACGCCAAGCCTAACCCCAACCCCCTAAACCTTATCACCCTAAACTCCTCAACCCTAAACTCTAAAGCTTTCTGAAGCCCTGTAGCCCTACTGCAGAATAGTAACCCGTTTAGACCCCTTTAAACGGAACCCTATTCTAATTAATTAAGGCCCCAACAGTGTAACATTAAACTGTTAAAGCCCTGTAACCCTAAACCTAAAACTCTAAAACCCGTTATGGATCCCTTTAAGGAGCCCTTTTAGATCGTATTGGAGGAACCCTAAACCCCCCATGGGTCCAAGTACCAAACAATCATGTCCTCTCCCAAAATCCTAACCTACATAGCTACAGTCCTGAAACCACGTACCTAATTATTCAGAGTTGCTGAGTTCATAAGCCCCCAAAAGTGCACACTTTCAGTTTTCTAGTGGGTAATACTATCCCAAAAAGTGCAATTAAAGTGTATCCACTCAGCTACTCGGTATTGGGTCCTTTGGACCCTTGGGGCTATATTAAGTCTCAACCCCTACTCTAAACTCCTACTATTGGAGTTTAAAGGACCCTACAAAACGAGTAGGTTCTGGTAGGTTAAGGTATATTTCGCCTCAGCCCCTTCAGCAAAGCACCACCGAAGCGAAGCGCCTGTGGCAGAGCCTCCCCCTGGCGAAGCTCCCAGGTGCGCCGTGGCCAAGCCTTACTTTGCTCCAAAGGATTGAAGGTTTTTTGAGAGTATTAGGTAGGGTCTAGGGTATTAAGGGTTTACGGCTTAGGGGTTCAGTTTAGGGTTCCCCAAAGTCCTTATTTATGGCTCTTAAGTACCCTAAAAAGGACTTACCCCAATTATAACCCCACTTATTACTTACTTACCATGTCCCCTGCCCCTCCAAGCAGGACACCCCAGGGCCCTTTAATAGAGTCCTTATGGCTCTTAATTGTGGGTATTTGGGGTATATTAGAGGGTGGTTGGGGGGTCCAAGTGAGGAATGCTACCTTAAAACACAGTAGGAACCCTGTACATTACCCATAGGCCCCATAGAAGTTCCTTTTTGGGATGGCCTTATAGGATTCTACGTATGAACCGCACAAGGGAACTACTACGGGGCCTATGGGTACTTGGCCTTAAATGCTTGAGGTTGTTTTAGGGTATAAGGGGTTTAGAGTATTAGGGTTTAGGGTATTAGGGGTGTAGGGTGTAGGGCTTTAGGGTTTAAGGGTTAAGTTAGGGTTACAAGGATATTACAGTCGATCCTAATATATATATATATGATAGCTTAGTATATAGGAACTTATAGTCGCTTGTATTTTAGAATGTGTAGTCGACTCTAGTACACGATACCTTTCTGTCACTGTTTCAACAACATTTCCCATGCTCTTTTTTATTTTGCTCAGTATATTCTCCATGTCTCTGATCATTTTGCAAAACGTGTTTCTATGTGTTTTTGATAGAAAAGGGGCACTAGGGCTTCACATTAGCTGTTCTTATTGCAAGTGTCACATCTCTGCGTGAGGGGCTTGATCATTGTTGTTACTGATCTCCCCCTTAAAACCCTAAACCCCAGAACCCAAAAGCCCTAAACCGAAGCAAGAATGGCCTCAGCTTAACTGCTATGCTATAACAATAGCAAGGAAAGGTGATAACGGTAAGAATCGTAGTGCTTATTACAACGATAAACCAAGGACTCATATACTAAGGCTTTTGGGCCCAAAGACCATAGTATATAAGGCTGTTGGGCTATTTTGATCCCTAGGGTAATACTAACAAAACCCTGACCAGACGGCCTGCCGCTTCGCAAGGAACTGCTGCCAGCCAGCCCTTCTCGAGACCTCGCAGAGTTTGAGTTCATGGCTTATAGGGTTTAGGGCTTTCAGGTTCAGGGTTTAGGACTGTAGGATTTCGAGCTTAGGGGGTGTCGGGTTCAGGGTTCCGGGGTTTCGGGGGGTGGAGCGTTTTAAGCCCCTAAACCTTAAATCGCGTGCTTTTTTTTTTTTTTTTGGGGGGGGGGGGGGGGGGGGTTCCAGAAATTTGGAGGCTCAGGTTGTCGAGCTTTCGTCCAGGGCAGACCCTTGGAGCTGCTTGGAATCTAACGGCTCCCTGAGCCAGGTTTAAGGCTCTTGGGGTTTAGGGCTTTAGGGTTTCGGGCATAGGGAGTTTCGGGTTCGGGGTTTAGGGTTTGTGGTTTAGGGCTTAGGGTTTAGGGCTGGGGCCTTGGGTGGCTTAGGTCTGTCGGGACTTTCGATTTGTAGGAGCCTTCAGTGTGCAGGGTTGTGTTGTGATTTAGGGGCTCAGGCTCTGTCTTCAAAGGTTATTTAATCTCGGAAGCTGTCATCTGGTTTAAGAGCTCTAGGAACGGAGTTTCTTGTCAATCTGCCCGACCCCATCGGTGCGTGTCAAGCAGCGTGAACTTGCGCCAGCAGCCCCCGAATCCGAAAACTGACATCTTCCTGCAGAGCTTCGAAACACAAGCTTGGGAAAGTGCCTTTCGGGTTTAGGGTTTAGGGTTATTTCGATACCTGGGCTTGGCTGCGGGTTGTGCAGCATACGTAGTTGGTCACCAAGTATCTGGTGGGGTGTTGATGTCAGGTCCTTGCGTGGTGGCAAGGCCAAACCCGGAAGCCAGTGTAAAGAGGCCCGGATACCTAGGAATAGAAAGGCCGCGCACGCATAGCCTTTAGGTGGGCTTTGGTGCAACATAAAGTTCCCTCCATAAAGCTGTTCTAGTTATACTGGAAGACGATACTGCGCCCATATAGTTAGGCCCCGGAAAGCTACTCTCACTGTTGAGGTACAGTCTCTAGAAACAGAAGAGGATTCTACTACCACATAATCAACCAGAGGCTCCATAGTAGTTCATTTTTTTGGATTACCTTATCGGATTCTAAATATGAACCCCCAAAAAGGAATTAGAATTGGAGCCGAGATTGGCAACCGTGGTAATTTTTCAGGCCCCTCATTCCCCAAAAAACCCTAAACCCCTAAACCCCTCGAACCCTCGAACCTCTAAACCCTTCGAACCCTCGAACCTCTACTCCATGGTAGTTCCTTTTTGGGATTATCCCTAAACCCCTAAACCCCCTAAAGTCTTCCCAAAGCGGCGTCTGCGGGCGAGGCGAAGGCGCCCAGCTCGCTCCAGTCCGCCTCGCAGCTTCCCCGCAGGATTGGTTTTCTTTTTTCTTGGGGGAGCCGAGTATAAGTGGTGGTTAGTAATAACGAGAAGCCGTAGAATGATAATAACTGAATTAATATATATATATATATATATATATATATATGTCTATGTATATGTCTATGTATATGTATATGTATATGTATATATCTATAGATATATGTAAGGGCCTTAAGTGGCCTTGTGGAACTTACATTAACGACAACAGTAACGATTCTGCTGATGGAGTTTGGGGGAATAGTACGAGCACATAACTATTTCAAGGAACCCATATAGGTAAAATACTTAAAGGATCATGGGACTTAGTAACGGTCATTGTTGGGGTAACTATACTTATTTTGATTGCTTATTACCCCAATCAAGGTAGTTATAACCATACTTACCAAGTCCCATGCCATGATCCTCCAACTACTGTATTGGTAACTGGCAACTATATTCAGGCTTCCAAAAGAAGGTGACCGTTGAGGACCGAGTGGGCTCCAGGTCTTCGGGTGTAAAGGTTCCAGGGTGTTAATTATGGTTGGGTTTAGAGTTTAGGGTGTAGGGTTTAGGATTTTGGGGCTTGGACTTCAGGTAGAACCATTTCTGGATGTTCGGCTTTGCTTTAAGTTTAGTTTTGAAGACGTTACAGTCTTGAACACCATGAACTCACAGAGGGGCCGCCGGCAACAAGGTTGGAGCGCGATGGCTTCTCAAGGATGTAAAACCTGAACCTTGGACAGACTTAGACTCTCAGCCGTCAGAAGTAGCTCTCTATAAGGGTGGCCTTTTCCCGGAAGACATCTGCGATGTCGAGGGGCGTGGCATTTACCGGAATCCTGGGTGCCGCGTAGGAGTTACGACCGGGCAGGCGGATGCCAGGCAAAGAGCCACGGGAGTGTTGCAGGAAATGAAGGATACTGCCAAGTGATGCAGAAGTCTGATTTGTATCCCCCATTCGTGGCCAGGTATTCTGCTAGGGTTCGGTCCATAACTTTGACTTTCGGCCGTTGAAAGGTGCTTAATGGTGCTTTTCACTCAGGAGTATACAGTAATTCCTCTGGCATCCGCTTGCATAACCACATGCGAAGTTGGAAGGAACAAACGCCGAGACGCAAGTCCGATTTTGCTAGCTCCGAGACACGTCATCGCCCTTGCATGATGCTGGGCTGAGCACTTTCCAGAACTGACTCATAATGTAGACCCTTGCTTAAGTTAAGAACCCTCACCCACTCCCTCAATTAGGGTTGTGGTAAGGATCTGCTCTTAAGGCACTTAACCCTCCACCCAAGTAAAAGAATGGGGTTTAGTCTTTAGTTATGGGGGATCTACTGACACTAGACCCAAGAGTAACCTAGGAATAAAAAGGGTGCCCTTTTTGGTTTAAAGGGGCTTATAAGGGAACCTGAACCCTACAAAAAGGGAATAAGGGCCTACTCTAGGTCCTAGGACATGAATCATCGACGCATGTGGGCAGTCCTGGGCCCTGAACCCAAAAAACTGGTCGTGAGTTGGGGTCCTTTTCGGGCCCAGGGCCTGCGCATTTATACTATGATTATCACACTTATACTAATTACTAAGTGACCCTTGTAGACCCCTAGAAAGGAACCCTATTCTAATTATCAAGGCCCCTATAATCACAAGGAGCCCCCCAAAATAGTATTGGCAATGATGAAGGCCCCTATGCTAAACCCTTAAACGGTTAAACCCTGATACTACTTGGAGGATCATGGGACTTCGTAAGTATGGTTATAAGTCCCTTAATTAGGGTTAAGAGTAAGTATAAGTATAGTTACCTTAGCAATAATCCTAGTTAATAAGTCCCCAAAAGCCCCTCCAAGTAAAGACTCGAAGCCAAGGCTAAGTGCATACAAGAGGCGGATTCAGCCCCGTCGGCAGCACGGCCATTTTTTGTCCTGGCAAGTCGATTGTCCTAAGTACCCATATGGTAGAATGTAGGGCTTCTACATAGGGAACTACTGTACCTAGGACCCTTTGGGTTCAGGGGATGGGCGAAGGTGCAAGGCGGGCCTTACCAACTAGAATCGGGTCTTGGGAAGTGTATGAGTGTAGCAAGGAACCTTGAGGAAAAGTGTCAGTGACTGTTCAGGCTTCCATATTAAGCCGCTGCTTTGCGAAGAAGTGGTGGAGCTGAAGCCTTGTTGAATGTACTTCATTACAGGGCATCAAAACGCCGTGGTTTTGGGTGTTGGGTGAAACCTACCTAAAACCCCCAAAAGTAGGTAAAATAATGGCCCAAACCCTATAAAGGGATGTTATTCTACATACTTTTGGGGTCCAGGTAGTGGAAAGTATGACAACATGTTCTTGTGTTTCCTCGCAGCAAAAGCAGACCCTCAAAAAAAAGCTGGCCTTGTACCGGAAGCCGAAATTAGGAACCCGCGATCTTGCAGTCATGCAGTCCCTACCGTGGTAGTTCCTTTTTGGGATTACCTTATAGGATTCTACATATGAACCCCGAAAGGGAGCTACTATGGGGCCCATGGGTAAGCGCTAAACGCTTCAACCCCGCACCCGGGGTTTGGGGTTTGGTGCCGCTAAGACAGACCTGCAATTAATAACTAATCAACAGCAAATTATAGGAACCGATTGCACACGAACACCTCATATAGGGGCCTTAATAATTGGAATAAGGCTTTGGGGTATCTTATACTATAAGTGTATTAAAGCACTCCCAAAATAGTCTAGCAGTATAGCTGATTCTTAAGGCCCCTAAACTATTTTCTTCCAAAGGCGCCTTAGCCTGGAAGGCAGCAGCTGTGACAGCTGAAACAAGCCAGGGCTTGCATGGCGCTCGTGCACGACGATGCTTCTTATTAAGGTAACTATACGTATAATTTTCTTGTAACCCCAACTAATCAAGGTACGTATACTGATCCTAAAGTACGAAGAAGGCACCTATAACCATGATTACTAAGTCCCATGATCCTCAAAAGTACAGAGACACTACGCTTGGGACACCACTGGGAACGTGGACAGTGGACTGCGAGCTGGCTGTGGGCTTCCTTCGCTTCTTCGCTGTGCACGAGAAAACTCACTTCTTCGCATTTTTATATCACGACTACCTGGACCCCAAAAGTATGTAGAATAAAAGCCTTGTCTAGGGTTTTGGGCCATTATTTTACCTACTTTTGGGGGTTTAGGTAAGTATTCTTTAATATTAATGTGAAGATTAGTAGCCGCAGCAACAGGAGGAGGAGCAGTTGTAGTAGTAGTCGTAGTCTTGCGATGACTGTCATTATTTCCATGATCAATACGGTATTATTATACGTTAGCATTATATCATGCTACTGAGATGACGATGATGGCAATTATTACGGAACGGCTTGTTTTTGCGGATTTGAGCGTTCGCGGCACGGCCCGGTGAGAAATGGCTTATAATAGGGTTTACGTATTTAGGGCTTTAGAGGCAACCCACACACATCACTGATCATCAGTAGGCCTTCCTAAGGCTGGAATCCCCTGTGGAAGTGAGGATGGCCTGTAGATCCAACCGGTAGATGCTGATGCCTGACGAACACGGTGATTGAATTGTTCTTGCTTCCTGGACTCGGGACTATGCCCTGCATGTTGTAGGAAATCGCGAGGTTAGGGTTTGGGATCTAGAGATGATGGGGAGTGGGTTAGACTTCCTTACTGGGGATTGCCACGCTCACATAGCCTGCTTGCTACGATTTCTCCTCTTTCAGGCGGTTAGGGTGCAATGATTTCGAGTTTACTCCAAACCCTGGACCCAAAGACATGAGACGACTGGCTTCGACTCTTTTCCAGCCCTGATGGCGTGAAGCTTGGGCCAGCGTTTCGAAGAAGTCGTGCCTAATGCAACACCGCATGATTGAGTGGCGAATGAGAGACACTTATCCGGCGGCACCATACGCACAGTGAAACGCGCCCGATTTTCCCATCGCAGCTCAAGACCTGTGCTGCACGCTTTCACTGGCCGCGAGCTACTGGATCAATGCAACGGCACATCGCTGCCTGAGAGCCACAAGCTCAATTCGCACATCCCTGAACACGGGTAGTTGTCAAAATCATGGTCCCTTTTGGGGTACCCTAAATACTAGGTGCCGTATTATGTTAAGAGCCCCAAAAGGGACCATAATCTTGACTCTTGACAACAACCCAGATGGACGTTCCGGAAGCCTGGGACTTCCTTACCAAAGGTTCCCCGAAAGCAAGGATCGTACTACTTGGGGGGCCTACATTTGCGTCCCGCACAACCTACTCAGCCGAAACCCAGCCGAAGAATCCTCATACTGTTGATGATATAAATCCTGCATTACCCAGAATAAGGAATATACTATAGTTCCCATGGTTTAGGGTCTTTAAGGCTTTAAGGTAATGCAGGATTTATATCATCAGCCGTAGGAATCCTGCACATCCCTGTAGAACAGCGAATCAGCCTGAACTCCAAGTAACTTAACCCCTAGATAAACCCAGACCACCAAAACCTCTTTGCGAAACAACCCGAAACTCTAAACCTTCCATAAACTTTACTAGCTTTACTACCGAACCCAAAGCTCTAAACCTTCCATCAACTTTGCAAAATAACCAACCCTAAACCTTAAACCTTCCATACTATGGAATCATGTTGGTCATTATGGCCCTAAACCCTAAACCCTAAACCCTTAACCCTTAAACCCTTAAACTCTTAAACCCTAAACCCTAAAACCCTCTCATCCCTGAGTGACCCTTAGGCCAGCGACAGTTCCGGAAGCAAGGCCGGCTCCTTCTTGAGCAACTCCTCAGGGCCGTCTTCAAAAATGAGTCTAGGGTCTAGGGTTCAGGGGTTTAGGGGTTTAGGGGTTCAGGGGTTTAGGGGTTTGGGGTTTCGGGTTTAGGGATTTAGGGTTTAGGGTTTAAGGGTTAGGGGTTTAGGGTTTAGGGGTTAGGGGTTTAGGGTTTAGGGGTTTAGCGGTTTCCGGGCTTAGGGTTAAGGGGTTTAGGGTTTAGGGGATTGGAGTTTAGGGGGTTTAGGGTTTAGGGGTTTACGGTTTAGTTTTTAGGGGTTTAAGGGTTTAGGGTTTGAATAGTCGCTGTGTCGTTACTATTAGTATTATTGCAGCTAATATTGGTATTATTCTTGTTGTTCTTGTGATTATCATTATTGAAATTGGTGTTCTTGTTCTTGTGGTTGTTGTGATGAGTACTGATATGTTCATTGCTGTTGTTGCTTATTACTATTCGCGGTTCGTATACGTGCTAAAAAGAAAATAGTTCTCATGATTGCCAGTGTTGTTTCTTATTCTGTAGTGCTGCTATTGCTGTCATTTTGTTTGTATACAGTGTAAATATTGTTGTCATTGCCTTTCGTATTGTCATCATCACTGCTATTATTGTCATCCTGGCTCTTCTCATATAATCCGGTTTTAGTTTCATTCGTTCTCGCTGTTAGTGATTCACGGCGACGACTGCAGTGACTAGTGCTATAGATATACCATTGTTCGCAGGCACAATAACGATAATTCCAATAGAAATCGGAAGAAACATCAAGAACAATACTGAAAACTGTATGACTTAATAATATCTACAGCATTAGCAACAACAATCGGAACAATGTATAGCACATAATGAACAGTATACAGTCAAACAATACATTAGATACAATATCTGCCACATCTAATATCAGTACAGTAATTCCATTCAGCACGATAACGTTGAGTAATATAGGGGCCTTAATAATTAGAATAAGGTTTTGGACCCAGTATACTAGAATTTTAATACCTATACTAGGGTCCCATAAACCCTAAACCCTTAAGCCAAAATAGGTCTCCTGGAAGCCGACCTGCGTGACATCCTCGGCTGCCTGTGAGTCGGCTGCTGCTGTTTTGTGGCGCCCTTTGAGCTAACAAGCACTTTGACCCATTATCCTGAAATCCTCTGCCACCCTTAAACCCCCAAAACACCTGAGCCAACTACGACTCAGAATCCTACAATCCGGAACGGTCTGTCGCGTCTCCACGCCGAGGGCGCCTCCTTCCCTGGTAGGGCTGCAAAGGCCAGAGCCTGCGGATGCAGCCCTTCTTGGAGGTTCAGTAGGGTTTACAGGGTTCCTGTCAGGGCTCTGCGAGGTTAAGTCTGACAGGAGGGTTTGATGGAAGGCAGTTACAGTTGAGTCACCTTTCGCATATGGGTGGTTGTCAAAATTATGGGCCCTTTTTGGGGTACCCTAAATAGTAGATGCCGTATTATAATAGGGACCCAAAAAGGGACCATAATTTTGACAACCACCCATATATTGCAACCCTAGAGCTGAGAGTCGAGGAGTCACTCTGCCTTGTCCACAGCTCCCGCGACAAAGAAGGGCTCCACCTGCAGCTGTGAATGGCTGAGGCTTTGAGGTTCTAAGGTTACCAGCGATACTTGATAAAGGCCTTGTTTTGGGGTGGAGGGGTTGGGGGATCAGAGACTGTAGGTTGACTACCCCAGTTAGCCTTCCTGCCAACTGAGCCAACTGCCTGCTGCAGCTACATGTCTCCAGTACTATATCTGCGTCGTAAGAGCAACCATTTCAATGCCGGGAACATGCGCAAGGACTATACGGCCACGTTAACACGGCCTTAGCTGCCTGGTGTCCTGGTCAGGGACAACCAGTCGACAAAAAGTCTGCAGCGCAGATCAACATTACTGTGTTGTTCAGCAGCTTTGTCAGTGGCTATCTATTCCCGCGCGATCTACTACGTTTCGAGGAGACGTGGTTGATATCTAAGTTGCTTCCGCTGTTGTTCCACTTCGTGCTCTGCTACTGTCCGAGCCTTCCTTCGCATGCTCGCTGACTACTACTACTACTACTACTACTACTACTACTACTACTACTACTACTACTGCTACTACGCTCGCCCGTGCCCCCCTGGCAAACGCTGAGATGCAGTGCCTGAACATACCGG